ATCAATTAATCATGTATATAAATACGAGAATGTGTGTTATAAAGTCCTATCTATTATAAATAATTCGATAAGTTAGAAAACTTTAACACTCTTGTATTATCTACTTTTAGAATCACAATTGCACAACTAAATTAAAAGCATATTTCAATATAATAATTTATTTTTTTTTGCTTAACATGTACATTTAAACCCGATTATCTTTTTGTGCTAAATTCCATGAAACTGATAAAACAGGACAATGGCAATTACATAAATGTTGAATGTTGCGCGAGTCGGCAGCATATTGTGCGACTGACTTATGCATTAATTAATGCGCGCTTGATTTACGTGCTAATTAATGCCTGAACGAGAGCGCTAATGTTTCTGCTAATACCTCAGGCCAAAAGGCCAGTTATTTTCGATAGGTGGTACACGATCGATCGATCGTGCCGGTTTCGTTCCTTATATTCGTGCATTCATGCACTAATAAAAAGCGTACGTTTACTAATGGATTAATGTACAAACACTCATTACTAACCAAAGCAATTTTCTTCGCTCGCAAAAAGCTGCATTATTCGCGAGTCAGAGTATTACCAAAAAATTGGAAAAAAACTCAAATAGATGGAGAAGTAACTAGATGAATAAAATAAAATATTTAAGATATCAAAATTTATATATACATATGTGTATATATATTATTTCAATTTATTAATAAAAATCATAAAATCAATTTTTCCAAATTCAAAAAGATAATAAAAAATTTCCTGTTTCTTTAAATGTGTCCTAATAAACAATATTATAATAAATAATAATGATTGTATAACTGAGACAAACTAATGAAACCTCGAAAACAAAATATAATTAATAGATCCTCGATTACAGAGTAGCGATCATAAATCATAACTATTATTATAGTATATAACTCTTTCTTATGCGAGTCTCGTTTAAGAATCGGATAATCATTGGAGATAATTAGCGGCGGGATCGACAAAGGAATTAGACAAATCGGATGAATTACATAACCGGCAATCATCATAATTTTGACCATTATAATCTTATTATGCGGGTATCTCGCTTGAAAATCCGCCAATGAAATGATCGATGGCGAATATTCGATAGCACTCGCGGAATGCGAAATTATATCGGGTTATTTGAATTTCTAATTTAACGTGCAGGTCCATCCACAACAAAGGCTTCGGTGTTAAATTCATATTGCGCATACGAACACAACAAAGCTTCCATAATTTCCGTGCGGACATAAATGACGGATGATTTCGCAACACGCAAGCATCCTCAGGCAAAAATGAGAATGTATGGTGTGCTACTATACTTTTGAACACGCATTATATCACGGAACGGTTCATTCTGAACCGTTTTTGTTATCTCTTGGAGATTTTCCAGAATCATCCTCGCACACGTCGTAAAGACCCCACGAGCTAAAAATGTCGAGAACGTGATTAAAAAGAGCCACCTCATCAGAATTAATTCTCTATTATATTTCTTTCTACCCTTTCTTCATTTCAAAATTTAGGATACTTTACAGTACTCTGAAAAATTAATATTGTTGATTTATGTATTACTTTAAATGTTTTATAATTAATATCAAATAAATTTCTTCAGATATCTTAAGTATGTAAATATATCGCAAATATATATTCAGTATCCCGATAAATATAAAAGTTTCGTTCAAATTCGTCATAAATCTTATTTTATTCTTCCTGTCAATTAATAAATAATACACCTAATAAATATATGCAGTGGATATACTTCATAACTTTCCTCGCTACGTGTAACACCTAATTCTTGGCTCAAAGTCTATAACATATATCACGAACTATTCCTTTAAACTTCTATAAATAAGAAGAGCTGTGCCAAAGAAGTTTCTCTCTTTTCTGCTGCTATTGTACATTATTCATCGTTATCTCTTATATCACTTCGTTGCCATATGATTTCTGGGGGGATAGCAAAATTTTGTTATTTCTTAAATCAAATTTTGAGTTACGCATTAATTGCATACATCTTTTTTTTTCTCGTTTGCAAAGTATCTCGCGAATTATTCGTCCGTTTAACGATTTTATTCGGGTATGAGATTATTGTTTTAAGACAAGATTGTATGTTAACCTTCCTCACGAACAGACTTCGAAAAAACGAAGTTATAAAGTTGAACATTTACTTGCTCTAAGGAGATTACCTTCATCTTGTCTAAGGAATACTGTCCATTCCTTGTTAAAAAGAAATTCTTTGTCCGGATCCTTTGCTAAGCTATTTCTACTTCGGAGAATTCTATTGATAGCTTACACTATTACTGAGATAGATTTTTCGATTTCATCGATGCGTGTAACTCGCCTTGCCTTTTTCATCGAGAAAAATAGTATCTTATAGAAAAGCCTCTCTTTTCTGCATTTTTTTATCTTTTATTTTTTTCTGTATTAATATTTTATAATTATTGATTAAGCCTCAAGCAAGAATCATAAAGTAGAGTAAGTATAAGTTACCAACAATTGAAAGATAAAAGTATCATGTTTATACATCTCTAATACTTTTTTATAAAATCTTAATGTACTAACAGTAAGTGCTTTTATTAATTTAAATAGAATTGCTTCGAATCATTAATAATGCGTTTTCTTAAAGAATTTATTTAACACATGATAAATGAAAATAGTTATATATATTATTAATAAATTTTATAAAAAAATCAATGTATACATTTTATGTATGTAATTATTACTTATTTTAATAGTCTATGCACTGAAGTAACTAAATTTTTTAACGCACATTTTCTCTTTAATTTTTAAATACTTTCATATTGGTCTCTCTCTCTTTATACTATTCTCTTTTTGTTACAGAATAATGTATTATATTTTCAATATATTATATACATTTTTTAAAATTACTTCTCACGTTTTACACATATAATTTTAAAATCCATTAGGAAAGATATGCACAAAAATTCCATACAAGTAAAACAAAACAATATGCAATTTTTTACTTTATGTATTTTGCTTTTTAAATTAATTTACCGGAAAATAACATTTCTTAATGTAATTTAGCATATTAATGAAATTTCTTCTACCAAATAAAATAATTATATTTTAATTATAATATAATTATTATAACTTTAAATGTAGGAGAGAGAGAGAGAGAGAGAGAGAGAGAGAGAGAGACATATATACAGAGAAAAAGAATTTCATTAATATATTTAAAAAAATAATTAAATTGTCTGTGTGTGACCTATTTCTCATTCTTTGTTTCTATCTGTATCTGTTGTATGATTTCTTTCCTCGCACACATTTTAAAAAGGACACCTGCCTCTCATTGGCGAGATTAAAAAAGTTACTTGGCGAAGGGTTAACAAGCTTAAACCGTTTACTGAGAAAAGCAATATTTCGCGAGTCAAACTTAAGTAACTTAAGACAGAAAGTGGACATATTGGCATTGGCAAAGCTTTTCCTTGAAAATGTTTACTACAATGCGGCGCGGGTGGACATAGAAACTAAATGTGGAATTAAATTTTCTTGCTGGAAATATATTTCAAAATATGGAATAGACTTTGTGTGTATGAAAGAGACGATTATGCATGCTTTATCGTAAATTAAAGTTCTTTGAGAGGTCTCGAGAAAATCATAGAACTTCTTCATTATTGCATAAAGTTATCAAGCAGGAATTCTTATAAATTCGCTACGAATATTTCGCGCGAAGCTAATTAATTTATACGATTTAATTCACTGCAAATTTTGTAGAGTTCCTAAAAAAAGATGATTTAAAAGAAGATGATGATTAAGTATTTGCTAATTGTAAATTAGAACAATAAAGATTAGAATTAAATCTTAAAAGAAAGATGAAAATTTTTTCGTAATATTCATTTTCAGTTCGCGGAGCGAAAAGATTAAACGCGAAAAAATGTAATTATTGTAGCTGTCTACTGAAAATAGGGCAGTTTGTTTAACCAGAAGGCAGATGAATGCTGCGCTGCGGGCGTCTGCAAACACCATTGTCTTCTAGACGGACATACGGATATACAAAACAGAAAAGATTGTAAAGAGATGATTAGAATTAGAAGATAAAAAATGCTTGCAACAGCTAGCAATCTTTATGGCTTAAGCGCAGTAAGCAAAAAGAAAATTCATGATCGAACAATTATAAATATAAAATCAATAATAAATATATAAAAAGAAATATATGAAATACTAATTGAAATAAAACGCGTGTGTTATCATAATATGATTATAATTTGATGATTATACAATGTCAGCGTGATAAAGCAACTGCGTTGCAATAATATATGTTGCGGGGAGAGTTTATTTATGTTATATATATGTTATTATTTATATAATTATATTGCTGCAAATCTACACTACTACTGCCGATTAATGCTTGTTAAACTAATTGACTGCTGTCGAGTGTACATGGCTGTTGTAATGTTGCCCGCAGGCATTCGCAAACGTCCGCGCTCGTTTTGTTATCGACTTGCTCAACTCCTGGTACACACAATTACGTATTATAGAAAACGATATTGCTGAGTCGCCAGATGCACCAGTATGTAAACTCTCTACCCGAAAACTCTCGCCCAACTTTTTTCCTCCTCGAACTATTTAATTAAAATTTAAATATATTCCTTTTTTCCCCTAGTTATAACTGAGAGATAGAGATATTTGACTAATTCGACGAATCGAGTGGATGAACGACTGTTTGGCTTGGAGAAATTCAAATAAAACCCCCTCCCCCGGGCAATTTCATAATTCATGAATTGACATTAGCAATCCATCCATTAAATAATCATTATTGACCTCTATACATTTATTCGCACAATTTTCGCTTTATTTATCTTAAGTAGTTCTTTGTAACGTTAATTTTGAGAAAAAAATCGCTTCGAGAAAGATTCGCTTTTAATTTCTTGAATAAAGAAAGAATTGATTGACTAGAGAGCCCCTCGAGAGTCTCGAGGAAGAGGATCGATCGATGGGGATTCTTCCCCTGCAATATTAATGAGAGCAATAGAGAAGAAGATCTCAACAACTAACCTCGACTAAATTGCTCAAAACTGGCGATCACCCTCTCGGCGTTCTTCCTGGCGATGTAGAACCACTCGCTGCTGTTGCTCAAGTACTTGTATTGGATCGCAAGATCCTTCACCAGGATACCATCCTGATTGGTCAGCCTATGGGCAAAAGGACAATAGAGCCAACGGTTCCGATACTGCAGTTTGTCGTAGCAATTGCCGGCGGCGAAGATGTCCTCGTCGAATTCCACCATCGAGAGGACGCTGGCGTGTAAAAGATACTCGGATGACAGCATCACTTCCGGGGCGTACTTCCAAAGGCGGGTGAGCATGTTGGCGCGATTTACGGCAAATTCCGCCTCGAGGCGAAATCTCTCTTGCGCGTACTGGTCGACGACGCCCTCGCCGAGATTTAAATCCGTGCCGGCGGTGCAATTGTCGCCCAATGTATGCTGGTTCTCGATTATCCGCAAGAAACGCGTGACGATGTCGACCTGGGTGGCCTGCGGTCTTCTGCGGGTTGAACGATCGAGGAAAGAGATATTCGCCGATTCCTCGTAACCCGAATAATCCACCACTACATCCTGAAGAACCTCCTCCTCCTCTTCCTCGAGATCCCGGATAGTTTCGCCGGTGTTCGTCGCTTCGGCCGTATCGATGCCGAGCGTTTCGGTCGTGTTGCGATCAATCGCGGCTGTCGATACGATGGTTTTATTCAGGAACATCGCTTTCCTCAATTTGCTGAAGGGATCGTCTTTGAGGAGACTCTTCAGGGGATCGGGACTCGCTCGCATAACGCCGTGATTCTCCGAATGGCGCGCCCTAAGCGTATCAAATTTCGAATTTCTCCATGTTTCGTCCTCGAGCTGATCCGCGAATCCGCTCCTCGAGTTATCCTTGGAGAAATTTTGCTCGAGCAGCCGAGAAAGATTACGCGTGAGAGGAATGGCGGAACTTTCCTCCGGCCCACTTCCCTGCCTTGCCTGGTATAGCTTGAGCAAACTTTCCGGTCCCTCCGGAACATTATCCTCGATTTTATCGAAGGATTGGCTGTTGGCCGAGTTATCCTTTGAGAAATTTCGCTGAAGAAGCCAAGAATGATTATGCTTCAGCGAAATCGATGTTTCCGGGAAGTCACTTACTTTTTCCACCTGACGCATCTTCAAGTGATTCTCGCGATCCACGCGAACGCTGCTCTTCATCCTATTCGCCGCTTCCGCGTTCAACGCAGGATCCTCCGCGAGTTTCTGCCGCGCGAAATGACTTCTCGATCTTCCGTGCCGGATCTGCGATCTCTCGACGTTCGACGACGCTTCCGCCAACTCGATCTCCATCATCGGTAGAATTTCCTTCGCGGAACGACTTCGCTCTTCCATCGTTTGCGAACGCATTTCCGCCGAGCGAGTCCCCACAGCGAGTCGTTTCTCCGTCGCGCGAGAATGTTCGCAGCACATCCTCCCGGAGGATCCGATTTCTCGCCCGATTATCGGACGGATTTCCGGCCGACTACTTTCCGACCGACTCTCTCCCTCCTCGTCCGCGCGAGCGATTTCCGCGATCGAGCGAATCGCTGAGGGACCCTCCAGCTTCGAGAGGATCTCAACGGCACGGAATTCCGCGGCGTCGACGAGCTTGCGGTCGACGAAGGACGACGTGCGGTGGTTCTGCTGATGCCGCAGATACCCCTTCGGCTTCTCGATCTGGAGGAGCTTCTCGTAGTGGTTGCCGAGGGAATCTTGCGTGAACGTGAGCAGGATGAGCGCGCACCAATAACCTGACGCACTCATCTTCAGCCGCGCATCTTTCCGCTTGCTAACTTGCTGCTGTCGCTGCTTTTGTTACATCCGCTCGCGACGATACGTTTCTGCGAACCCGATTCTTGAATTTGATCCTGACATTTCCAACGACGGCGAATTATTATCGTCCGCTTATTACGCGGGGATTCGTAGCGATGATCGCTCGCAATAATGTGACATCGTTATTTCAAAGTTTTAGCGCGCGCAATTATATATATTGTTATTTCTTGAGATTAATTTAACATCAGCACATCTCCGAATAATGTAGTTCTCCATCTCCCGGGAACGTTTACCCCTATACTACGATATTTCGCGAGACCAACGTGATATTTCATTATTACAATTTGATTATGATTTTTTGAACAATCGTATATTTACACAATATATGTTTCTAATAATCACTAACAACGCGAAAATTTTATAAGATTGCTGAAGATAATTCTTACGTTCTTCCCGAATTCCTATAGAGTCTGCGTAGATAGCTCTGTAACATCTTCGCAAAATGCTGAGAGTTTCTTCTTTCTTCTTACTCTACAATGCTTAATAGATCCTAGTGACGAATAGCATCTTCAAGAGAGAGAGAGAAAAATTGTCACACAATCTTACATTTCTCTGATCTAATCCGTAGGTCTTGATAGATCGTATCTCCTAATGGATCCAGAGTGCTTAACAGTCTCTCAACATCCCTGCAATCGACTTAATTTCCGCTTGCAACTTTGCAGCATTTGTTTTTTTTTACCAGTGATAAACACGTTCACTCGGAACCACAAATCGATTTGTCGGTGATCTGTTTTCGACGCTGAGATTAGACCAGGCGTGAAGTATTTTTTTCTTCCTTTTTCTTTTGCGTACGAGCTATACCGTATATATCGGGATCTTTCTTCTTCACTACCTCCCTCTCTTTTTCTTACAGCAGCTTCGATTTCCACAGCTTTTGCGCGACTTATGAATCGGAATTTTTCGCAAAAGTTCAATCTGGGCGCTAATGCATTACTGGAGATGATCGAGGATTGGCGAGGGAATATCGTGTGAAAAATGTTCAAAGATAAAAACCCTCGATCAATATCTAGAGGATATTACATCGATTCGATCTGTTAAAGGAAAGTCCTGTATCACCATAACCGATCGACAGTTTTATCGTGCATAATTATCACACAATCGCTACCTTTCGCGATTCAGTAAGCGAGAATATAAAGTGTTTCTTCATTACGATATGTCCCTCCGGCAGCAATTTTCACGGATAATTGCAATTAATTGAGATTTTCACTTTGCGACGAGACAGTTCTAACTTGTCTTTCCCAAGTGTGTAATTTTCACATGCACGTTATCATAGATTATGGCGCACTCACATCATCTGACGGTGTATTTTTACAAAAAAATTGGCACGTGACAAAAAATTTATCCATACGCGTATATCGCCATTTTATCCTACTAGCTATTAATGACAATATTGAGATTGTAAGCATTATTGTACTATCTATTTAATTAATATTTTTTTCTTACGTTACGTTAGTCAATCATTATTTATTTATTTATTTAGTCAAGCAAACGCTATCCGTATAACATAAATATGCGAATAATATTAAATAAAAATATTAAAATATATAAAATGTTTTTTCTTTGTAATTTTAATTATAAATTTCTCGTGTTTTCTAACAAAGTTGTTATTGAGAAAATTTAAACGTAAAGTCAAAGTAACAAATCAAAGTATAATAATGTATAAATTATCACAATAGTTGATTATACAAATTAAATGTGCCTTTAATTATACGATAAATCAATCATCGAGTTTTCTAAAGATATCTAGAGAAATATTCGCGTAACTTTACCCGAAAATTACCGATCAAATTGACGTCAAAAATTGCATTTAGAGAGTTCGGGTCTCATTAATGAGAATTCGCATCGACAGATTGTTCCATAATTACGCAAATTAATAATTGCGCTGAGATGAATCAATGTTCGAATACGAGAAATAATTCGATTTTGTGATAAGCGTTTTGAGGTTTTATGAAATTTTAGCCATTCTCATCATAATCGGTAAAATGTCGAAAATCTAATTCACTACATCGAAATATCATTTTGAACAGGTCAAATTAATAATCGTTTTGAAAAAGAGCTGAAGAATTTCTCTGCAATATCGAGTAATTAGCCGGAATTCATATCAATAATAAACGTCTCGACATTCTTTTTATATTTTCATAAACAAAATGTAACGGAAAAAGTAAAAAACCGGAATGAGAATTTATTTTTTACTTTGTTCTGTAACTACAGATTCTGTAAAAGAGATAGATAATAAAAGAAATATTTTTTACATAATTTTGTTCACAGCACCAAAAGATTAACATAAATTTCCTGATAATCTGCTTTACGGCTTTTATTATAGATTGGTTTGAAATCCACAATAATACATTGCCCCTTCGAAATTAAAAATCATTTTAAAGTGCATTTAATTTTAACGATATCCGAGGCAATCTTTTTTCGATCACACAATGCCTTGCATCGTATATTTTTTAAATCAAATATCAATAGCGAAAATCTCAACAATTAAACACGAAACGCTGGTTTATAATTATCTCAATTGATCAGCAATATCGCTTTAAATTTCATTTTGCGTTAAATCTGCATTATTAATAATTTTCAAACAATTATACGTGAATCATTTGTAACCGCTTATCTATCATAAACGTGCAAGATTGATAATCGAATTAACTATACATCCTTTCAATCACACAAATTAAAAAAAAAATTGTGCATCTTTTGTATGCATCTCTCGTTTCCTAAAAACTGCATGCAGTTTACCTTATATTATATTAAATATAATCTTTGACGAATAATGTGTGTTAAATATTTTTTTTCGCGCTTTTTGATTAATTGTCGATTTCAAGTCGGATCGGCAAATCGAGTGTACAGATTCATCCTGACAGTCGTCATTTTACAACAATTTCCTAAAGAAAAAAGAAAACGACGAACTCTTTTTTTTCCTCTCTCTCTCTCTCGCCTTCTTTGTCTCCCTTTTCTTCCTCTTTCCCTTTCGCGAGTCAAAACGGTCACGACAGATCTGTATACGCTCGCACGCGGCGTCAAACTGACGAGGGTTGGGAAACCCGCCACCCTTCGTGCCGACAAATGTGTGAATGCAGAGCGCATGATCTACCCCTCTCCCTTAGCGATGCACCGAGTTTCGCGCCGGTTTCCGTTCCCAACGCTTAGTCTAGATCTTAATCTTAATCTTTCGTGCACCATCTCCGTACAATTTTACAGCTTCCCTACTGGGACGTATGAATAAAATGAAGCTTTTGCTTTTACGCGTCGTAACAGGCATTGCGAAAAATATATGTATATATACAGAGTGTTCCAAATCAAATGTATCTTCTATGATCCATACATTCTTCAATCAGGTTTTTCTTAGAAAAAAATGCAATAAAACATTATTTCTGATATTTTTCTTTAAATTTTTGATATTGTATATATCTCAGTAATATTATATTTTAATATAAAATTCGGTTGAAGTAGAGTCCAATTTGTAGATTTAATCGAGTACTTTTTATTAGCAGAACTGCAGACGAATTCATTTCAAAAGCTCGTTATATTTAATTCACAATTTCAAAAATTACAAAATTATTTGTATGACATTAAAAAGGATTATTAGTTCAAACAAATAGCTAAAAAATTATTAGTCAGAAAGAGCGCTATTGATTTGAGACACCCTGTATTGTGCAGCTGTTTACGCATAAACTTCAAGCTTTCGCTTTGAGGTAAGAGATTGTAGCAGTCACTATGGTAACGCAAATAAAAAGTTGCGTTTATGTTTATTATGCAAAAAAAATAAAAGGCGAATAAAAGTTTATTATCTGTGAAACGGCCAAGGAGTTCATAGCTTGGCTTTTAAAATAAAAAATGTATAATTTATATATTTATATAAAATATTAAAATATATTGTTTCAATATATTTTTACTTAATTTTGTAATGTAAATCGATTATTGCTTTACAATCAGTTTCAAACGTTTCGCATTTCGCAAATCCAATGGTATATTTTTTATTTATTTTTTTATATCGTACGTAACGTAGGCCACAGTTCCATTTATCAAAAGAATATATAATGCAATATTATTTTAATCATTTTCTAATGTATATTATATTATAAATTATATACACAATTCGATTACTGATTTTATTTCATACGTTACTAGATTAAACTTACATTTATAATTCGATCTTAAATGTATATAAGTTTAATCTAGTTCTAATTCATCTATTTTAAGGTAAATCTATCTACAATATAAAATTATGATCTACATAAATCTGTTACCTCAAAATTATAGAAAAATTTATCTCACTCACCGATGCGTAAGAGCGGTAGTTGATGTTCCATGCAGCTACGTTGTCTGTAACATACAAATATAAAATCTAAATTACATCAACGATCAAATTAATTACCATTTCAAAAAACTTATTATTAGATGCATCGAACTTTATATTTGATGCATAACATTAATATAATAAATGATAAATATATAATAATTTTATAAATTTAAAAAAAACTGTTTTTACATAGAAATTTTTTATATAAGATTTATATAAACATTTATATATAATCTCTTAAAATATTTATATATCTCTATATAAGTTTCTCTTGTTTGAATTATTCAAATAAATAAATTGAATCAATTTATAATAATTAATATATACAAATAACGATATATATATGTATATATTCACCTTAGGGTTACTCTATCTGTGCCCGATGCCTCTCCTGGGCCTCTTCCTCCTCTCAGATTGTTAGTGTCGTCAATGTTTGTTAATTAACACACGCGATACTTTTAACGGCACTCCCGCACTCGTACGCGCGATACTTTGAACGACACTCCCGAATTTTTTTTACAATTATTGTCTGTGCAATTAATAAAATGCAAGAACACGCACAAAAGCATGTTCTTTAAATAAAATAAATAAGTAAAATCTGAATTAAAATTCTTTATATCTTTAATTTTTTCTAATTTTTTTCTAATTCATTATCTATTACGTCGTTTATGCAATTAATAAAATCATATATATAAGCGCGTTCTTTAAATAAAATAAATAAGTGAAATCTGAATTAAAATTTTTGTTATATATTTAATTTTTTTCTAATTCTTTATATCTTTCTTTAAATAAAATAAATAAATGAAATTTGAATTAAAATTCTTTATCTTTTTTTAATTGATATTTCAATTTACACTTGTATGTGTAATATCCTTTAATTATGTATAATAAAGACATATATCAAAAGTCCAATCTAACAATAAGTAAGTTTGATTTAATTTATTCTAGTCTATCCATGTTTTAAGGTAACGAAATATCTACAGTCTACAATCTACACTCTACATTCTACATTCTACAATCTACAACTACGATGTAAATCCGTTACCTCAAAATTAAATAAAAAATCTCACTCACTGACCGATGCGCAACAGCAGAGTAGTTGATATTCAAACCACGTTGTCTGTAACATACAAATATAAAATTTAAATTATAGCAGCGTTCAAATTAATTACTACAACAAAAAATTATTATTGAACGCGCCGAACTTTATATTTCGTACATATAACAATAATAAACTATAAATATATATAAATATATATAAATATAAAATAATTTTATAAATTAAAAAACAATTTTTTACGTAGAAACTTTTTATAGGATTTATTGTACATATAAATATTTGAATAATCTCTAAATTTATATATCTCTAAGTTTCTTTTTTTTTAACTATTCAAATAAATAAACTGAATTAACATAATTTATAATAATTAATATATTCACCTTAGGGTTACTTTGCCGGTGCTCGATGCCTCTCCTAGGCCTCCTCCTCCTCTCAGGTTGTCAAGGGTCGTCAAAGTTTGTTAACTAATGCGCGCGATAATTTTAACGGCACTCCCACACTCGTTATACGCGATACTTTTAACGGCACTCGCGAATTTACGTTGTCTGTAACATACAAATATAACATCTAAATTATAGCAGCATTCAAATTATTAATTACTATTTCAAAAAACTATTATTAGACACACCAAACTTTTTATAGCTTATGTTATACTTAAAAAGATGTAAGCTATCCACTAATAAAAGATTTTTTTTCAAATCGTAGTTTCTTTGATTGACTCCGAACAATGAAACAAACAAACTTTACCTCTTTATAAATTAGTATATAGAAGTATATACATATATATATATATATATATATATATATATATATAGACTAGATATAGAGATATAGATATACTTATAGCATTATTGAAATTATTTTATTTTACAATACATATATCAATTTATTCGTAAAATTATGTTTCTCGCGAATGTTCAACAAAAAAAGACAGTTTTAATTTTTGCCTTCTGCTATGAGCATTTACGTCATCTTTATTCATTTGACCCACTTTATCGTTCGTTATGTCTCGCTTCATTTTGTATCGCAAATATTGGAGACCGTAAAGAATGGTTAATATAGAGAAAACAAATAGAAAAGTTTATATTGGGGAATGAATGGCTAATATTTAATCGTAATCATTAAGTTTATTTCAGACGAAACACAGCCAACAAATACCCAAATAATTCAACTTGTCGTACAATCATATGACTATATAAAAGCGATAAATAAATAATTACTTTTGAGATAAATAAATTAAGTCATGGAAAATGTTACGTAAACTTTTTTTGTTTTCCTTGTGTTTTATCAAGATTTTTTACTGAAAATAATCCAATTGTACATGCATATACGTGATCATACATCTATGTGTATATGTCTATGAAACTTCAATAAAAATCATAGCATTAAAATATGTTTTGATTTCATCAAATTAAATTATATACACTGAATGTTCGAAAAGGAGTTTAGATATTTAAGATATATATTTTTTCTAAATACATATAATATATTCTTTTTTTCTATATAAATTTTATAAATAAATCTATTCTAAAAAAAATATTATTTATAGTTCTAAAAAATATTAAATGTTATTTATATCCGTTCTAAAAAAATATTATATAAATATTATTTTTATTATGCGTCACATAACGCATAATATTATCAATATTGAAAAATATCGAGAAATATATGCAAGAATATTCTACAAAAAACAACATAGCTTCATATATTTTATATATAATTTTTCAATTTTAAAATTTAATCGTTCAAATGCAATGAAATACATTTTGAATGAAGTAAAAGTGAAATTAAATTGAAAGACGCTTTTGACTACTCAAATTCGTGTGAATTAAATAACACATCCATAAAAGGATTAATGTAGCATGCGCGGTTTAGATGAAACAAAAGGAAAAGAATATGGGACATAAATGTAGAAAGATACGTAAATAGTAATATGCGGGTAGATACGCACAAATGAATTCCACTTATCGGATTGTACCGCAACGTCATCGTTAACTTGTCTCCTTTGCACAATGTCCACCAACGATGCCAATTTCCGAGTTCTGCATCGCTTCAACCCGGCACTTCAAAACCCATCGCGGCACTTTCACGCACTGATATGAAACAGTACGAAACAACCAATTATAATCGTATGTACATATGTTACATATATGCATGTAAATCTAGTGTATGTGTATGTATATTTTGCAGATTTTTTGTAAAATCAGACTTTTTTCACACAAAAACAGCCATTTCATAAAATGCCGAAATCATTGCAAGAACTGGCATTTTGTAATAAATTTTTTTTATAAAGAAATTGAATTTATGAGAGAAAAGTTTGCAACACACATGCATACATATGCATACAAAGAGAGAGAACAAATGGAGAATATATTAATAGATAATTATATGCATTATAATATCATTATGCATAATTTTTTTATTTTCACAGAAAATTCACCGAAAACGCAAATTAATAATAAATTATTCTTACTTTAGTTCATTTTATATATTTAAAGATTGATTTTTCTATGTTTTTCTAAATATCGAGATCTCTAATATAGTCATATTTCAATATTGCAAAAAGAAAATATTAATATTAATATGTTGCATCAATATGTCAATGTGTGCGTGTTCATTAAAAGCCGTGAAATATTAATTACAATCGTGGAAAATAAATAATGTACAAAGCATCATATCCAGATTATCATAAAGAAAAAATATTGAAAAATTTGTATTCTTCCAAATTAAAGATATATATGTATATAAATTTTATTATTCAATATTCTTTCGTATTCATCCTAGAAAACAAAAATAGAAGAAAATGATTATAAATCTATTCTATGTTATTAAAGTTATTAAAACATGAAGACAAATAATGTATAAAATATCATATCTGGATTATCATAACGAAAAAAATATTTAAAGATGTTTATTCTCCTAAATTAAAGATGTATCTAAATTTTCAATATTCTTTTGCATTCATCCTAGAAAATAAAAATAGAAGAAAGTTTATTATAAATCCATTCTATGATATTAAAACATGAAGACAAAGAATAATGCACAAAAAATCATATCCAGATTATCATAACGAAAAAAATATTGAATAATTTTTATTCTTCTAAATTAAAGATACATATATAAATTTTATTATTTAATATTCTTTCGTATATATCCTAGAAATAAAAATAGAAGAAAATTTATTATAAATCCATTCTTTGTTAAAGCAATTAATGTAAAAGAGATAAAAAAATTAAAAAACAAGAATTAAATATTTTCAATATATCAGCTATATATTCTTTCGGAAAAAAAATTTCCGAAGAAATGCATCATCGAACATTCGAAATCAATATACATGATTGAAAAATCTTTCAATCAATTCTTAGTTTTCAGAGTCATTAGAACTCGCGAATTAAATATTATCGCTCATTCCCTTTAACATACATACCTGTCCTTTTTTCCTTTTCTCTTTGAGCGACGCGATGCAACGCGATGTAATTAACACGAAAATAATTGCGAATATGAAAAAATACGGTTAGTAGCGACGATAGTCGTAATGCGTTAATTAACTCTATTGTGTATTTACTTGGTGCGAAAAACACTTCACTGGCCATATTTCACATCGATGATTTATCCGCGATGAGATGAAAAACATCAATAATACAAGAGACGATGTTCGAATCGACACTCGGTGGGATGCGGCGCAAAGTAAATATGGCGACCTTATTATGAATGAACGTAGCCGAATATGTTTGCCAACTAAGAACCGGAAAACCGATAGAAATAATATCATAATAATCAATATCGGAATCGACGTAACAAATAACGATGTAATGAAAACCAATATTTTCTAAAATTTAATCGTACGATACAAAACACACACTTGATTAAAATTTGATATCACTTTTCAAGAAAATATTTTCGAATGAAAAGTGCGGGAAATTACAAACTTCGAAATACGTCATACCCGACGCATGCTTTTCGTTTTAACTTTAATAAAAATTTATAGAGAGAGTTACGTGTAAAATTATTATTGCAAAAGCGCGATTTTATCGATGTTATTTACATTTATGATTAAAAAAAGCTATTTATTTATTTATAAGAAAGATAATTAGAATTATATACGTAGTAAAAATAATTTATACTACTCATATAACTCTTTTATATATTATACGCGTTTATATTTTAAGACAAATAAAAATTTATAATTTTTGTATATATATTCTTACATAAACAAATAAACACAAACACAAACAACAAACACACATACATACGCACATATACACACATGTTTATGTAAGAATTTAAAAATAGAAAACTTATAACTTATGTATATCTTTGAATTTAAATCACTTTAAATATCTTTATTCGTCTTTTTCATATCACAAACGTACAGAAAACTTAGATATATTGTATTATGCTTTACATAATAAATGCGTCTCGTGCCACCAGCCCATGTTTAATTCTCACACCTGTATGCGGAATCATTCTTGCAAGATGACCTCGAATGTCCCTGAGGAATAATCGCCCTTGTGCGCATTGCAAAGTTACTTCAACAGTTATTCAAGAACTGTGTTTCAAAAAGAATCCTCAGACATGTTCTCATTCACTGTGCAATTGCATTGCACAAGTTGAACGAGCCTCGAGGGAAAGAGATGGAGTGCCGTACTTCGAATAGGTAGATACTTGTATTATTCTTCTCCTTCTCTTTCTCTCTTTGCATTCTAAATCAGAGCCAACATCCAGGCACCGATAAAATACATGTCCGACAGATGAACAGCTCATTTTCGCGCAAATTATTTTTAGTTATTTTTTTTTATTAAAATTGCGTTTTTGCTAAAAAAATTAATGAATTAATTTATTTTATAATTACATCTTGCTTTTCTATGCCTTTTTGAAATATGCGAATAAAAAGATCTTAAAGATGAAACAGAATATTGTTTTGGTCAAATGAATAAAATAAAATAAATAATATTTGCCAGTACGGTCGAGAGAAGAGTGTTACTTTTTTAAATTCTGTCTAGCAATTCTCAAATATCTACGTTTTTATTTTTTTAAATAAAATAAATAAAATATTGTTTTTGTGGAGACAAAAATAAATGATTAAAAATCTTAAGATCCTATTCAAAGTTAATAATTTTTCTCTTTCTAACAACGAATAATCTCACAATTTACGAAATATAAAATTACAATTTACTATTTAAATAACATAGCTTGTTTTATCACTGTTGTAACAAAAAGCTTCAAAAGCAGTCAAAATTATGCTTCTGAAGCTTGTCACAAATTTCATAAAACACCCTGTATTTTTGGAATCATGATATATATATATATATATATATATATATATATATATATATATATATATACGCGCGCATATATAATAACATATATAGTATATTTCTAAATAGTTAATTTTCTTATTTCTTCTTTTTTTTTATTCTTAGAATACTCGCTTGTCTAATTACCATTTTCGTGACATTTTATTCCGTATACACTTCCCAGCCCACATAAAAAATCTCATACCATTTACAAATACAAAAGAGAGTTGTACCTTAAAAAAACTTCATATATATATAAATGAAGGTATAAAAAGACCAACATTACCTCTTTATAATTATTGTAGAACTTTTTCATTTCATCATCGCTGATCGAATCAATGCACGTTACAATTTACGTTTTTAGTCCCTCGATTACTTAATTTCACGAGTCATTTCACTAGTGGACGGACCTCAGCCGCGTCGTCACTTGTTTTTCATAATCATCGTTCGTCTGGTCACTCGACCGCAGAACATTCCGACGATGAAGATTGTTCCGACCATGGTAAAACCAACGATCATGAAGTAACGCCGCGCTGGGGAACGATTTACCGTCGAGTATAGCTCCTCAAACGAATTTGGCGCAATCAACTATAACACGACCAGTAAAATTCGATTATTCCAGGATACAAAAAATATATCAAAAATTATAAGTATTTTTGATAGCAGACCTTGGCAGCATTTCTAAACATTTCCATCCTCGTAGTCAACATCTTAAAGCAATCGGGTTGCAAGGGTTTATTACTGTCTTGCAACGCATTTTGCAAGCACATTATATCTGTAATATAATATATAATTAATATTTAAATCATTAACAAATGTTATCGTATGTAATACCGTAAATGTGTGTGTAAAGATTAATTATAATAATTAGACTACTAGAATACTTATATATCTATTTAATTATATGTATTTATATCTATTTTAGATTTAACAATAAGATATGTGTGACATATTTATATTGGATACACACTTAAAATCTATGCTTCATAAAAATCAATATAAACTTTGATAGTTTTCAATTTAAAAAAAGTGTATTCATTTTTTACCATTTTATCTCATCTGATTTTCATAATTATTCAGAAAAAACATATACGTACGTCTTCCTGCACCTTGAGGTACAGCACTGCAATACTTGCTGACATCCACAGCACAAGCTTTCTGCAACAAAGGATCTACATTGATATCAGCTCTCGTTTGTTCTATCAGATCAGCGATTTCCAAACGACATTCTTCCTTCATATCTCTATTTCCAGCATTGAATTCTTTTTTAAGACACTCCTCGACAGTACCAGGCTCATTTTCGTCCGATCGGCATATAGTTTCAATCTAACAGAAATCAAATTTTATAAACTTTAAAATTAAATTTTATATTGATTAAATTTATAATTATAAAATCTTATTAGAAAATTCTGAAATATCAAATAATTTTCTTTCAACGAAAATCTTTAGATTATTAAAATAAAATTATAAAATTATAAAATTGTTTTTTACCTCATGTGCACACATGGTTGCTAATAATGGATTTAAATGATAATTCAATGCAGCTTCTCTAAGAATGTTAGCCATTTGATGTTCACATTTAGTCGTCAGTTTCGATTCTCGAAATTTGATTTTCAGACATCTAATTACCTTTCCTTCAAGTTCTTTGTCAGTACGCTCATGTGCCAAAACCTAAATTAATATCAACATAATATAAAATATAAAATAATGTAATCACGCACACACACACGCGCGCACACACACACACACGCGCGTGCACACACATACACACACACACATATTTATATATATACATGTTTTTAAAAAATTTTAAATAAATTTAAATTATATTGTCTATAAATGTTCTCTTACTTCTTTGCAATGCCTGTCGATATCGTAACCACACGCGTTTTGCAATGCAGTGTTAAATCTGTAATCCGTATTCTGTTCGATCATTCTTCGAATCACAATATTCTTGCATTTATCATCGAAAGTGAGCTCATCTTTGTATCTTTTAAGGCAATCCAAAGTTTGTGATTTGCTCACATCGTGGCAGTATTGTCTAATCATAACTCGACAAGTATTCAATAATGGTACATCGCTGGAACTATCTTGAAACTCCTGTTTCCTCACTTTAAATAGTTGCTTATGACATATATCTGTCAACTTAGCCTTATGTGATGCCAAGCATTCTAATACCTGAAAAAATTTGAATTTTAAGAAAATCTATCATAATAGAATTGGCTTTTGTATTAGATAATATTATCTCTACCTGTGAATTGCCTGGTTGAACGTTAAAACAATACTGTTTGATATCTATTGCACAGGCCGATTGTAAGACAGGATCGAAATGAATATTTTCTCGCTGTTGATAAAGCTGTGCCCGTAGCTGTTGTCTGCAATCCTTCAACACACGATGCTGAGATTCTTTTATTATGTCCTCCTGCACGATCGAGCTTAAGCATTCTATCACATCTGCTTTCGTTTTTGATCTAAATTGTAACATATGCGTCAAAATGCATTAAGTTTCAAAATATTTATATTTCACAATCATATATTTGAAGAAACAAATATAATTACTTAGGACACCATCTTTTAACATAAGGCCTGCATGCCTCTTTGAACTTGTATGTAAAATGATAATTCTTTAAGGATATCAATTGAAAATGTTCCACTGCTGCTTTACATTTATAATCAGTGCGTGCATCCAGTTCGTTTTTATGCTCAATAAGGCATTCCATCATATCTCCCTCATCCTTTCCATATTTTAAAACTTCCTAAAATATATATAAATCTCATTGACAATATGTAAAATAATACAGTAAATTTAATAATTTACCTCGCAATGACGTTCCATAATATGTTGGCATGCAGAAGAAATAATAGGATTCAGCTCAACACGCTCTGCTTGTTCTTCTGTGAAATTTCCAACTGCAAGCTTACACTTTTTGTTTAAGCTGTAATTAACACAAATTCGATCAAAAATTTTAATATCGTTTAGTATAACAAAGATAATTTAATAATATCAAAAATAGTTTTAAATCACTTTTAACGAATTTTTTTAACAATATTTTATTATTATCAATAATATAATTTTAATAAATGATAAGTTAAGAATTAGTAAAATAGCTCCAATTTTCAATATATAGTTCTATTATTTTTATTTAAAAGTATATGCAATTTTTATTATTTAAAAATATAAATACTTGTCTAAATTATCCTGCAAGCAAAGAATCTCCTCTCCCTTTGCAGTTTTATCATAACAAAGTGACGCCAATTCATTAAAGCACACTTCTTCTATTTCTGGCTGTAAATCGACATTCACAGCACGCTGCCTCATGACTCTTCTAATTTCCTCCAAACAATCTGCTTTCAACTAAATAATAGAAAATAATGAAAAAATAAAAGGTAATTAGTACTAAAGATAATTAAAAAATAATTTTTCTTTGAATAACAAATTGGATTTTATTTTAATTTTAATATTTTTATATAGCTCAAATTATTTTAGCTCGTTATATTAATTTAAAGCTAACAATCTTACCGTCATATTTTTCTGATACACATGCCGATAAAGGCATGGCAGTACGAGAGGTCCTGTTTCAGGGTCCATCTGTTTGCCATCATTGGCCCATGCATTTCTCGCATGACACAAACGCACAGCATCAAACTTGCATGCTTTGTACAATTGTGGATCCAATTTGAAATCTCTAGCAATAAAGTATTGTATTTGTACTAAAGCTGTCTCACAGGCCTCGGTCATTCTCTCTGTTCCTAACTGTTCCATTAAACAGGATATCACTCTGGCATCTCCACCGTGTACCTTGATATTAAAAATAAGTGTTTAATTGAGAAATTCATATAAATCAAGAAAAATAAGTTTAATATTTTATATAGACAACACTTGCTTACAGCCTACATTCTTAAACTTACATCTCTACAAGCTAAGTTGACAACAGGTTGACATTGTTCTCTTAAAACCGGGTCAATTCTCCAATCTTCGCCTGCATCAGCTTCCATGATTAACTCCTCCAACTGAAATTTAGTCATGTAAAATATTTCATAAAGAGATTATGATATGCATATTTTGTTAGTATAATGAAATGTTGAAAATTTTTGAAAATATCTTTCAAAGAATATTGTAAATAAGTAACATTATCATTTATTTTAAAAACTTTGGTTCTTGAGATCTCTAGTTTCTCTATTAATTCTTTACCGCTCTTTGGCATTTTGACGTGACCCTCGATTTCTTCTTTCTCGTTCTCGTATGTTCCATCAGACAATGTATGGTAGCACCGCCGACTTCGAGGCTATTGCAAAAAGCCGTAATATCGTTGGCACATCCGTCCACAATCTCTGGTGATAATCTGTAATCTTCCATAAGGAGCTTTCTGTGATCGAACATTTCCGCTTGACAGTTTCCATCGATCTTACTGCCATTCTTTACGGCTGACTCCAAGCAAAGCAAGATTTGCGCTAACTTAATCTCCTTGTCGTCGGACACGGATCGCCTGCAGTGATTGCTTCTGATATCCTCTTTACACGCCTTAACCAGACCCTTGCTAATCTTATAGTCTGAAGCAATAAGCTTCTCTCTCCTCGTCAATTGTTCTTGACATTGAGCGGTCATCGATCTGTAAGTAGAATCACAATTTAAGAAATATAATGAGACAGGATTCCTAAATAAAGATATTAAATTCTTTAAATTACTATGTATAAATATTAAAATATTTAGCTTTTTAGACTCTTAAATTATTAAATTCCTAAATTTGAATTTGTAGACTTAATATTACAATATTTACTCTCAATATTTGAATATTTACCTATCAGTTTTATGTTGCATCAAGCATTTGTAGACTTGACCACTGCCTGGTCGAATGTTGGGACAGAACTTAATGTGATCATGAGTGCATGCCATGTATAGTTGACGATCTAGTTTGATATTTTCTGCTTGAATCTCAGACACATGAAGAATATGTCTCCTACATTCCTGTTGCAGTTGTTCAACATGTTCCTGCAAACAAGCTAGTATTTGACCTTGCGATATATCTCTGTATGGCTGCAGAATATCGCATTTAAAAGTTTTAATGTCATATGCACAATCTGTCTTAAAAGGAGTTAAAATTCTGAAATCACTAAATGCAATCCATTCTAATCTCTGAATGTAAGTAATACAGTCAGAATCTGTAACCCTCTCTCGCTGATCAATCAAACAAGAAAGATACGCCCCATGAGCTTTATCAGAATCAGAACATTGTAGAGTATCCAATTGTCTGCCACATGCCTTTCTGGCAAGTCTCTTTATATTTTGATTGTCTGTAATATTCTGAATATAAATCCAAATTGCCTCCTGACATTTCTGATTGATTCCGGATATCTCAGTAGGCTGTAAAATTTGCAATAACAGTTAGATATATCTTAAACAAAAATAATTTACCCTTTTCTTCTAAAACACACAGACATACCTTGAATGTTTGAATGCACTCAAGCAGCATAAGTTCATCATTATTCTTATCTATGTTTCCACAAAGACGATTCAATTTATCTCGGCAATTGCCACTTATAATTTTTGGCAAATTCCCATCATCCTCGAATTCTCTTATTATAGTTGCTCTTTGAACCCTCTTTGTCTTAATAGAGGCATCAGAAAAAAGCCAACCAATTTTGGAAGGCTCATCAATTTGTCGAGTGTCTCCAATATAAGTTGATGTTGTGTAATATAATGTTAATAGAATAATCAGTGTAGAGAATATCTGTCTTGTATATTCCATCCTCGTTACTCAAACTTTATATCTCCTAACGATATCATTCCAATAATGTTCTGTAAGAAATGCATAATTTTGTCAAGGACAGATCATTCAAAGTTATTTAATTTGCATATAATTCAGAATTGTCTAATATCAAAAATAAAAACAACAGAAAAGACATTGTTTAATTTAAAAAGTTAACAAAAACGAGAAAGGAGACAGTACAAACCTTGCAAATGCGTTTACACCACCGCCGCTTTTTATTAATTATTTTACTCTTGTCAATCATCTACTGTATGACGTAAACGTTACACGAAGGCATTATTGTAATCAGCAATTGCCAGCAATATAAGCACATAAAGAGTGATTGGTACAAAAAACGATCATAACGAGAACACTGTGCGTTCTGTAACTTTTACAACGTCATCTTATAGAATACATAACAGACTGTTTACAGTACACTATCGATCGTTTGCGTCGGTATAATAAATGTCGATAACGCAGGAATTTAAGTTTTAAAAAAAATATGGTTATTACAAGAAAATCTTAGCGCGATTTTTTCTGTATTTAAATATAAAACATATATATATATATATATATATATATATATATAAATTAAAAATAAATACATGAAAGAAAAATGTATATTATATTTTACACGAGGTATGTTATTCAATCGCCATGAATGTCAAACGAATTTATTTTATATAACGAGCCGGTATCTTATATCGCGATATCTTATCGTATTATTGATGTTTGCGAAAACGTAAAGAAGCTTGTATCTCCTTTACTTGAACAAGACGTCTTCGTATTTTCATGATCCCCAGGAGTCACGTGTCACGTGTTGACGTTCCAGTGCGCTCCTAGTTTTTCCTCCTGTCAGAGTGTTTTGACGAAGCAAAATTACTTTCCTCTCGCAATCGTATATAATTTACATTTACATCTCGTGATCAAGAGATCCCATCATGGTTCTGATGCCGAAAGATTCCGCGAAGTTGGTCGCCGGTTTGGCGAAGCACGTGTTCGTCGAGCAGAAGGGTGTGAGAAAACTGGCGTCGACGATCTTCGAGGGTATCAAAACGGGTAAGATTCGTCCAGGCAACAATTTCTCGCAGGTCAAATTTCATCCTCAGGGTGACGATCCCAGGGCGGCAGATTGGATATTCCTCCTGGACACGTTGAATTTTTCCTTCTGGACCGAGACGGGCGCGAAAAAGTGGACGGTCAGTGGAGAAACCGGATACTTCGCGTTTTGCGCCGCCGTCCAGAGGGCTATCGACGAGGGGAAGCCGATGTGGGATCCCAAGTATTATTCACAGCTGACGCATCAGGACGTTGAAAATATTTTCCGAGGCGACGACGGTGAGACCAACATTCCTCTCATTCAGGAAAGAATTAAGGGTCTGCACGAAGCCGGCAAGGTTCTGCTGGATAAATATCAAGGTACATTCGTGGAATGTATTAAGTCGTGCTCCGGTTCAGCTGAGAAGTTGCTCAAGTTGATCGTCGACGAGTTCGAGTCGTATCGGGACGAGGCCGATTACGAGGGTCACCGGATCAGTATCTACAAGAGAGCCCAGATCCTGATAGGCGACATATGGGCCTCCTTCGAAGGACGTGGACTCGGGGAATTCCGCGATATAGACAGCATCACTATGTTCGCCGATTACCGCATCCCTCAAGTTCTCGTACACTTCGGAGCTATGCGTTACAGCGATTCCCTCAGGAGCAAACTCGAATCCGACGTGCCGTTGAAGCAGGGTGACAAGGAGGAGGTCGAGATTCGTGCCTGCTCGATCGAGGTGGTCGAGCAAGTTTCCGACGAGGTGCGAAGATTGATCCAGGCCGATCCGAAGTTGAATTTGAACCCGTCGACAGCCGTCAACGCGATCCTCATCGATCATTTCTTGTGGGATTACCGGAGAGAATACGCTCGAGAATTGGAGCGCATCCCATTCCATAAAACTAGGACCATATACTATTAGAAATTACATGGTGCGATCAGGACCACTGAATTCTATACTCTAGAAATGAGCAGAGGTATTATATTATTGGATCCATTCCTTGGGAAATCATAGAGAAAAAATATCCATGTCTTTTTATATATTATATATATATATATATACTTTCACACATTTGAGAAAATATTAAGCTACGTGAGTTTATATGAAAAAATAATAACATTTTATTTTTTATGTGATTTTTGTATGATCTTACTAGCAGATTTACCAGTGCTCCTTCCAGTTAAAATAGAATTCAGTCATCAGAGCGTACAAAAAAATTAACAATTGATTAAGTAAAGAAATATAATTCACGTCGTTACACATACACACACAACACACAATATTTAACTAAATTACATCTGTGAATTGTATTTTACACTTTACACATTTTCTTACACATTTGTGAAAAAAGAAAGAAAACACAATAGGAATAAAATAGAATAACAATTATTATGTACATATTGTCGTAAAACAATCTCCTTAAAATATTATATAACAGAAAAAAATATAATAAATATTATCGATCAGATAAGATATAAATTTAATTGATAAGGTATAAGAGAAATATAAAATATTAATCGAGATTTTTAACTTTGACAGAATAAATACACGCACATACACATATATGCACACATATACATACACACATAATTTGATATAAGCTACATAAATTATATAAAATTTTTTAAAAATATAAACGCTCTCAATATATATATTTTTTGCCCTAAAAATGAAAAATACATTACTTATAATATATTTTTTCTATTTTTATATATCGGTTAGTATATATAAAGTATATTTTTAATATATATAAAAAACAATAACTTGTGTGTAAGAAACATGTTAATATTGAACAAGCAGAACGAAAATAATTATAATTTTATATATAATTAAAAACAGTTTGTTCTCAAATATTAAAATAAAAACTATAAAATAAGAAATGTGTTGTTATTATGTGTAATTTATTTTCTTAATTTCTTTCTAAATATATCTGAAGTTTAAAATATAATTTATAAAATTTTATTCAAAATAATATCAATGATATTTGAAATTATCATATTAAATATTATTACTTTTGATGAATATTATTACCTTTTATTAAGTTTTTCAAATTAAAAGATATCTATTATTCGGAACAGAAATAATAATTAGTAATATCCATACTATATATTTTAGAAAATATTTTCAGAAAATATATACTTTTGCATGGTTTGATTTTTTTATAACATAATAGTGTTATATTGTAACTATCATAAAAACTTTACAAAAATTATTCTACAATTGTTATCTTGATAAATTATAGATTTATCATCCTAAATTCATAGATTTAGAAATAAACTTAAAAATATTTTCAAAATTAAAAGTAAATTGAAAGTTGTGTCAGACTCGTAACATGTCTCCTATAACATTTTCATCATATATATATTTCTTACTGTATTATATTTACTTACTATATTATTTTAAAAGATAAAAAAAAAAGAAAAATTAAAAATTTACATTTAAATACAAAAATTGATGAAATATGACACAGATGGGTTATTATATAAATACTACTTAAGAAATATTTTAATTCTCATATAATATGATTCATATTTTATACATACATAAATCAGGATATTTTCCAAGTATCATTCATCATCTCATACATACATTTGTTATGGATTTGAATTGGATTTTTGTTAAATTAAACACATTATGCCAAATTTGTTTTTCTCCTATTTAGTTTCACATATAGATGAAATTAAATCTGAAACATAAATAAGAGCGATTTTATAAAGCTACATGTCTTCTCTTTTGTATCTAATATAAAACAGATTGTTTAAACTTACCTGCACAATGATTGTGGCAAAGATGAAATTATGGGACCATAACCTTGTGAATTATCATATAATTCAAACAATGGTGCAGCGACTAATTTATAATTCTTTGGTACAGCAAACAGAGCTAAACATATAAAAAGAAATTAATTAAATACATACATGAGATTAATTTAGATTATAAATCAATAAATTGATCTGACTTGTGCTATACCTTTTTCTTGCAGCTGTACTAGGAATAATCTCTTGTGCTCCTTTGGTTTTGTGATGTGTGGTGGTACATATGGATACTGAGGTGGTTCAAAGTTTGGACGCCACCAGTTTCCAATTGTGTCTTCTATAACCCATTCCTGCTTCACTCCATCCTGTCGTCCAAAAGTCTAGAAATCAATCCCATTCGTTGTCTGATACTGTGCTTTAACGAACAAACTATGAGATAAAATATATACATTCTTCTTCGGTCAGTACACTAAGAACATGGTTGCATACGTTTTATTATATTTCGAGACATTTACGGCGGTTACACTTAATAATATCGATTTCAACAACGTTCAAGTTTATCGACGAATTATATGTGATAAGTTTCTTTTTTTTTAAATCGAAAGTTGATATCGGCATTTCTCAAAAATATACATTTCTTTTCACCTATGGTGTTTATAATTTATATATATATATATCTATATATATATATATATATATATATATATGAATACCTAATTAAACGAAATAAGTATTGTTCATATACTGATAGAGCGATCAAAATATGTCAGAGATTATAAATCTCAAATTTATTGTCTTACAATTTGACAATTATGAATGAATTTGTAATGAATCCTTTTACATATTGTGCCAATCAGATATTTTTCCTCGCAATGAGAGATTTAAAACCCTTTGTCAATTTTCTTAAGCTTACAAATTTAAAAAAAAAAACATTTGCGATGCTTGTATACAGTCTTCTTGTCACTATTTTACATTCTTCTATTTTTGTCTCTTCTCTGTTTCTCTGTGCTAACACATACACAATGAGAACAATGTTCTTAGCCAACCAGATACAATAACAAGCGATCTTTTCATGAATTATCAACATTAAAGTGTCCGGGCATGCAGCACGTTGAAAGAGTACAAAATATTATAAGAATAAAAGAATAAGCCCGCATATACGGAGCTACAGGCCCGGTTACATAAGTTCTACAAACAGTTGCAGGATTTGTACAATAATGATGATATTTATAAAGACAATGTTACAATCTAACGATATGAAAGTGCCACTCCTAGCCAGCCTGTAAGGCAGCGTAAGGCGTCGTGCTAACTGTTACCTCTGTAAGGAGCCGTTTTAGGCCCTCTACCTCATCTTCTCCTGTATTGAGTTCTCCACCAGGCCTGGACAGAGAAAAGACATATATGTTAAATTCATATATTATCATTATACTGTGAATGCTTATTTGTATTTCCAAATGTATATATTTGTGCAATTTATTTAGCATAAACTACATAATTTTATATATTCTCAGAAACTTACAACTTGAAGAATGTTGTGCCGAGTTGCAGAAGGAGAACGTGTGGCAATCCATGCTCGTGTACCAGTAAAACTCCTTCTACGCTTCTCCGCATGCCGATTTTGTCGAATTCATCTCTCATGCGCTGAAATCTCGCTGGTACTGATGGATCTTTCTCGAAGAGTGGCTCTTTTGTTCCAAATGTATAGTTTGTCAAAGGATATCTATGATAAATGAGTTGTATGTTTTTGTTAGGCTCTTATATGTTTAACTTAACCCATCAATAAGTGAACCCAGTTTCTTCAAATACAACTTGATGCGGTATTACAATATTCAATCATCAAAACTATGTAAGTACAATGTAACAATTTATGTAAATTTTCTTCTACTTTAAATATTAAAATTAAATTTTTATATTGTAATGTACAAAATATTTATACTTTTGTAATTTAAGTAACAAATAAAATATTTACATATTTATAAGCTATAAAGAAAACAGCTCAAATGATCAAAAAGAGCCTTTATTATTATCAAATAGAATTTTTAATTAATGTTTGTCTTTTTTAATTTTGATTAAAATATTTTTTTTGTTAATAAATTATACAATGTAATATTAAATAAATTTACATCAAATATGCAAAATTTTGTAATAAAATATTATTCTTTTCTCATTTTGTAATAAAATATTAATCTTTTATCATTTTTTCTCTTGAAATTAGAATTTTAATACAATAAAATTTCTGATCTTTACTCTATTTCTTTCTTTACATGTTTAATAATAATTCCCCGACTTATCTTACAATTTAAACATAATTATAAAACATAGAGCGAAATACTAATAGTGAAATGTATAATAATATACATGTGTAACAAGCACATGTTTACACATAAAAAAACAACAAATTATGATTAAAGCAGCTTATTTGCCTAAAATTTTCGCTTTATGTTAAATTTTTACATATGCATATATAAAAATTTTTACACATTGATATACTAAAAGTTTTGGGTTCATTTTTACATTTAGTACAAATTAATAATACAGCAAATATAATTTCTTGTATCATTACAATCATATTGCTACAGATACTTTTTAAAGTAATCAATAATCAATGAATATTATTATATTGTTATATTTTCAGATTTTTATATAGTTTTTCACACTTAAAAACTTGTTTGTTGTAATTATTTTATAAAATATAAATTTATTTCTATATAATTCATTAATTTTCTTCAAATTTCTCTTTATATATATAAAACTCATAATATATTTATTATATGATTGTAACGATATATTGCATATGAAGTTTAAAAAAGATAATGAAATGGATATTTGTATGATAAAAAGAGACTAAACAAATCAAAGATTAGTTATTAAATTAGTTATTTTGATAAAAATGTATGCAAAAATTTCTCGTCATGTTACTGACATACATTGATATACATATATATATTTTATAATAAATACATACTATCATAATAAATATCTATTTTATAACAATTTAATTTATGATTTAAAGCATTCTAAGTGTGACATTATAAATGCACATAAAATATTTAACACAAATGGTCATTTATATAATGTGTCATTTATAATATGTTACATAAATCTTATATACAAATTATTTCCTTTCATTGTCTTTTTATAACAAATTAGGCAGAACAATCCACACCTTTATATATTATGTACTATCTTAAAATATAAAATAAATCTAGATATATATCGATATATATATTTATAAAAACTACCTCACACAAGGTAGTATATACATATATATAATACATATAGATATATTATATTTTATATAAAGTATAGAATGCAAGAGTGAAATAATGGGGAAAATATGTATGGAATTTGTTTAGCACATTAAACATTAATTGTAAACAAACTTAGGATAGATTTTATTTAACCTTTATATAGTTGATCTAAAAATTTCAAGTATTCTGCATTTTAACAATTCAAATAAAAAATGACAATAGAAATTCCTTCTATTACACGCACAAAGAATCAATAATCAATTCATATTATGGATGCAAGAGAAAATCAAGATTTGTAACAATAATCACACAAGTAGATTTACAAACATTGTAAGAAAAAATAATATTTGACATTGTGTATGAACCAAACATTCATAAATTTAATAATAGCTTTTGTAAGTAAATTTTACATGAACTATGAACGTTTAAATTCGAGAATTTTCAACAAATAATATTCTCACACCTTTCATATAATACAGTTATATGTAACTATCACAATAGTCGCTCTTTTATCATGTCATAACACATTCATACAATAATAAATAAAATGCATAAGTTCGCATATAAAAATATCTTGGACACGAATATTTTAAAATTTCTGTAAACTTCGTGTTTAAAGAAAAAAATAAATAGCCGCTTCGCGATTATTTACGCCGCGCAAAATACAACGAAATGTTTTTAAAAGGGGCTATAAGTTTAATTAGCATTATGTATAATGGTTTACAATTGCGTTCTATCGACCGGTCCTACAGAGGAAAGAGGCAGTTTAGATATAATAGTTCTACAAAGTATCGTGAAAAATAGATATATATCGTGTGTATCATACAGCCACTTACAAATTTACAGTTCTGTTAATGGTGACCGATTGATTCTGCACCACTTTTCCCTCGAACGAGCTATTGCTCGCACGCCTTGGCCATCCGCTGCCCTTGACTTGATTCGTCGTCATCGCCATTTTCCGCAATCCCTATTCAAAGTATCGCCGGCAAACGGACACGGACAAATGGAACGACCGATAATAAAATACAACAAGCAAACGGTGGCGTACCGCTGGATCGCAAACCTAACCTCTCTACGGCGCAAAAACGCCGCTACACGAACGTAGAGACGCACACACGCACAAATACTTCGGGCGACCTCTGCCGAGTACTGCCGAGCGCGCGCGAGTTGCCGCGAATGTCAGCCGCGGGGCGGAATTGGCGGCGAGCGCTCACGAGCGCGGCCGAGCGCCGCCGAGCGTTCCCGAGCGCCGCCGAGTGACATCGGCCGCGCTCGGCCGACTCCACTGCGTCACGGGGTTCACACGACCGAGTGCACGGCGTAGACGGGCGGCCATTTCGACGCTCTCCTTCTCCTTCACGGTCACGGATACGCATCAAAGCGCGGGATCCGATCGCTTCTTCTCGTCGTGTCTACAAAATTGTTTTCGTCATTTGTAGTCGGCGTCCTTCGCTTGAAATGCCCTTCGCTTCCGCGTAATCTCGGTGAGTGAGAACATTTCGGCGTGTGCCGACTATTTTCATCCATTACTCCGTATTTCGTCCCCCCCTCCCTTCCCCCCGGCCCCCGATCGCATCGACATGGCGGATTATTGGGTAACGCGATACACACGAAAAGACGCTTCACTATTTTACGCGAATTTCCGCGAGATTCTAGCTCCCTTCTTTTTTCTCGAGATGTGATTTTTAAGATGTTTCTTTTTCGCGCTTTCGTGTTCGTCGATCGATGATCCACGGTAAGAAATTCTGTGTACGTAGCTCTGTAATTCTCGCTTTTGCGATTCATCGTATTACAAGTGTTAACAACGCTCTCGCGGTGTGGCGTCATTAACAAGTTCGTAAATGAAAACTGGAGTTCGCGCGATATTTACTTGAAATCTGAAAATTTCGCACACGTTATATTTGTTTTTATTATTATTTTATGTTTTATATATATAGTAATCGTACTTCTAATATTTACGCGAGTTGAGCGAGAGGTAGAAGAAATTCAATTGTGTAAAGTGTAACATGTAGAGAAATATTTCGGGCATTAATATTATATATATATATATATAAAATTATATATATATATATATATATATTATATATTTAGTTTCATCATTATAAAGTGCGTGAAAGGTGGTATGGTGTGGTGTATATAGAAACCACGTGGAGAATCCTTAAAACATTCGATCGATTCCTGAGTTTGATACAGACAGTTTAAAAAAAATAAGCTTGAGAAATTACAAAAGTATGTATAAGAATTCAATTTAGGTACAATTTAAGAATTTTTTATCGTTTCCTGGCGTCAATGCAATAGGATACGATAAAAAAACAAATCGACAAAGATTCAAACATAACCTTGATTTAGTAGTAAGGAAAATAATTAAAGAAAATTTTTAAAAGAATAAAAAGAGATAAAAAGGACAAACAAAATGTAATACTATCTTAAAAAGAATTAAGTAATATTTATATGTATATATATTTTTTCAAAAATTTATTCTTTACCTCTCACTCAAGCAGTCTTCATTCAGATTTTGTCACATGTTAGTGCTCGATACCTTCTGTTTGACTTTCTGTTCTTAATAATATTATTATTGTATAATATTTACATTTTGGAGTTATTTATAATCTTAGTTTGTACATACATACTTGATTAACATAAATGTATTAATATTTAGTATGTATAATATAAAATAGAAGAAATAGGGAGACAAATTTCATTAAAAATATTTTGGAAAAGAATTTAACATCATCGTTTCACAACTACTGCATTTCCTTTCAGTAGCAGATATATTAATGAATATATATTTATATATAACACTTAATTATAGAAATAATTTGAATTAATATTAAAAATTTAAACCTAAGGCAAATTATGAATTTATTAGTTTTTTTATTAAATAAAAATTTGCAATCTTGTGTTAGAGTAGAGTATTATCTGCAACTAAAAGCAAATACTATTAGTATGGGACAAATCTATATGAAATATACATTCAAACTTGTAATTTGATAGATAATATCTCAAACATAAGAAATTGAATGCGACTGCCACAAAATTATTTACAGTGAGAGGGAACTTGATATATGTTGCAGGACAGTGTTGTTAGGTATCAAGAACAAATCGGCCTGCTCCAGAGATTTTATAGAATGACAATGATGCAGCTAACTTAACATATTGTTCATCATCATTGATGACTGCTACTGGTGGCTCAATCATCTTTGTTCTCAATCACCTCTTATCTCTTGTCATATATTTCATCTAAGAGAGAGAAAGAGAGAGAGAGAGAGAGAGAGAACAAAAGACAGAGCAAAGAAGAAAGAAGTCAAGTAGAGTCTAAAAGGTAATGTTTTATAATGTAATAAAATTAGTTTATAATTTTGGAGGAAAAAATATTATAATCCATCATATCATACAGACAATCGTAATTGTCTGTCGTTTTTTTAGCACTTTGTGAAGTATCTTTATTTATGTATCTTTATATATCCATATTTTTTTCTTATATTGATTTCTCTGCTATATATATATATATTTAGAATCTTATATATAACGGTAAGTAGTTTATAATCCCCACTTTACAAAAATAAAGAAATTTTTAAAAACGATGGGAATGAAATGGATGACATGATTTGCATATCTCTTCATGCGTCCTTCATAAGATTATGAATCGCAAGGATTTCATCAATGACTTCTTAAAGTTAAATAAAACGTTAGGCAGGATGAAATGTAGCTTTTTCTGCTACAAATAAAGTCATATATATATATATAATTGCTCATTGAAACAATTATATAATGCTACTTCCTAAAGAAAATATGAGAGAAAAACTGTTAAAGCTGTCTTTTATTCTAGATGAGTCTTAAATTAATATCATATTTGTAATAAGTTTTATTAGTTTATTGGTAATCTTCTTTTACGCCTTTATATACTATCTTTAATTAATTATAGTTGTAAAAGAAATGAAATAAGCCATTTCTACTCTAATCTTATATTGTGTACATAACAGCTTTAACTTTATCATATTTTTTAAGGCAATTATTGAATAACCTTAATAACATTTTTTAAGAAAATATTATATATAACATAATTTTTTTAATAAAAAAGAAAGGTAAGTTTAATTTGATCTGTCATTGCTTTATGCAATGATTAATATATTGTTCCGTGTTATTTTTTCTTGAAAAATTAATTTTATGTTGGAATAAGAAATATGAAACATTTTGAATTATAAAACTATAAAATATTTAAGCAGAATTATAAATTTTAATATTAAATTAAATACAATAAAAATAAATAATATCCTTTGCTTTGCTAAGAGGAAATCGATTTTAATTTAATCAAAAATTAACATGTTTTTCAATTGAAATTTTGAAATCTAAAATAAAGGCAGAAAGAAGTTTTATTTTAAAATCTAAAAAGATGTAACTTCCGAGCGGAATGCAATATATTTGACTTGTGCGGCGAAATGCAGTTTTTGCAACATGGTTTTTGAAGCTCGGAATCAAGATTTTTTTTAGACAAGCTTTGAGTTATTGTCATTCTTGATATTAAATAATTTCTTCGTTTTCTATTAGGACGCAAAAGTGCTAAAATTTATTTAACTAACATACCCGTGTAACAAAAAAGCGTGAGAAATATATCTTAAAATACGAAAAAGAGAAGTCAATATTTATATTATCGTGATCCAAAATAATATAAATAATAAAATTAACTTTTACGCTAAAAAAAGTTATGCAGAAAATTACCCTGTACACGAATATACGAAAGTAAGCGACAAAGTTTTCGTTTTAAGACATTTTACGTTCCTATCTCGATAATACTTTATGATTATGATAATGTGATTTGTTCGTAAAGGTATGAAAGAGATAAATGGAATTATCATCAAAAATAAAATAAAGAATCATTATTATCATAATCATTATTTCCAAATGGAGAGAATCATTGAAGTAGGAATCTATGTAAAGACGAGTGAAACGATTCTTTCTGTGATTGAAGATCTTTGGGGCTTCAAATATTTCTAACAATTTATATACATATGTTCTTGTTCGGTGCGGTCTTTTTATAGATTGATTATAATATATTATATGTATATATATATACATGCACCTGTAATTCAGCAAGGAAGCGCAGCAACGGATAACTAAAATGGCGGCTGTGATTTATTGACTTGCTTCTATCGTCGCGAACGCTTTTTTTTTTACTACGCATAATGCATTTCAGATGGAGGACACGTAAATCAAGTTTTTTTCTCTTCATACGTGTCAAACATAAACCCATATCACAGCCGAAAAAATCTACATTTCTCTTTTATTTTTTATTTTTATTTTATTTTGTGCCTATCGAGTCGGTGTTTTTTCTCCTTCATCGTGCAATCTTTATGATGGAATTTAATTACGTGACAAGCAGTATAATTTCATAATTAATTTTATATGATCCTGACCTGTGTCGACGAGGGGAAATCTAAAGAATCTAATCATCTTACTTGATTAAAGGGGAGTAATCATCTGTGAGGGACGACCTTGATACCAGAAGGTCAGATTATTTGGACAAAGAATGGCGAACTGCAATTGTTATGTCTCGTTGGTCAATACGGTGTTTCGTCTACGTTTTACGTGATTTCTTTATGGTGTTCAAGCTGAACGTGAATCGCGACAGTCCGTATTTGCATACGATTTTCTCTTTTCCTCGCCCCCTTCTCTCCTCCCCCTCCGAATTCCCCCTTTTTAATTATTGTTCTACATCTCGCGAAATTGCATGACATTACGAGATGTTGACCGGTTTCTACTAAGAACAAAATGCCGTATTCTGACGGTATTTATCGATATGAAATACGATTTTACACGCGAATTGTTAATAAAACATGCAGCATTTTTACGATATTACGCTTCTGGCAAACGCGAGATTTAATAAAATACAAAAAAGGAACTTTTAATTGAGTTATATACAATAATAAATTACTTATTTTACTGCTTTCTTTCAAATGCAATCTTATATGCAAATATACATAAACGCGACGAAGCTTACGATAATCCAGATTTAGATTGTATTATTATCAATGTTAAATTAATTATCACCGCATACTTTTTAACATTAAATGTTACGTTAAATGTATTTATAGAAATGAATCAATTCATTCGCACACGTACTTGAATTCCAGCTTTATGCAACGTTCATCTATATTATTTAAATTAATCAATTTCTAAAGGGGAATGTAAATTATTAGATGAATTATCTTTGTTACTTATCGCATCGATACATCATGAATTTCGAATGAAATAATCTTCGAATTTCAGCTTCGTTTTATATCATCTTTGATATCTCATTCATTTAAGTCTTGCTGAAAAAAATATTACGATGAGATATCGTAATTAAGTACTTTCTAGCGTTATAGTTAGATATTTTTTAACATAATGCGACACCAACTATTCATCCACACATCGCATCAATGTTGCTGGGAATTCGAATACAAAATATTTGGATCCTCTCCAGTTTTGCACCGCTGTCTCCGCATCGTTGAATTAAAAAAAATCTACTTAAGGAATATCTTAGATGACGAAAACACATTGTGTAATATTGTACCATCGTACTCATTCATCCTCGGTGTGTCGACCGACTCCGAAGAATTTCTGCTAAGAACACTTGACGACTTGGCTTCTCATTTTCGTCGCAAGCCCTCTCCCAAGTACTTCGAAAGTACTTCCCTGTTAAGTCCTGCGAAGAAGTCTGTGCCGCGCTGTCAACGAATAAGACACTCTTGCGTTCGATATAACGCGGATTCGGATTTTTTTTTTGGCTCGATTTCAACGAAAGGATTCAGCAGTTCATACCAGATGGAAGCCGAAGAGACGAGGAGCGCGCGGGCGGCGTCTTCGTGTTCGTCGACAGAAAACAGACACGTGTATCTGACACTTCGCACTCCTATAAAACAGCACAGCAGACCTACTGATTAGTTGATCGAGAAAGAAATTGACCATTTTTTGTCTTTGCCAAATTTGATTCCGGAAAAAAAGGATCTCCGCATTGCATGGATCAACCTCTGTGAAAACTTGGGAGTGAATTTAATAGACATTCCGATTATTTATAGCACGACGTCTTTCGATCGTTTTGGTTTTTTGAGATATTACCGTTAATGCGCGTGAAAACGTATTTATTATGTTTTTTATCGCACTTCTGTCTTGTCAGATCTGATCGTTCGTTTTAGGATTAGAATGATAAACGACGTTAGTTTCTAATGACTGGGCTGGTAATCACAGTGTCGCAACACGGTGGAACGAGTAATATGTGTAGCCGTAAATAGCGGTAATCAGGGAACGATTGCTACTTCGGTGGCGTGAAAATAACCGGTTACGACGACTACCATAACTATAAATCGAAATACGATCATTTTCGAGTAATATTCAACAGAGTAGAACTCGATAAATTGCGTCAAATGCTTTCCCTATAAAAGAAAAGTTTCCTTCTCACTTGGACCAGTTAGAGATTGAATTTTATTTCGATCGTGTATACCACTCTGAATGAATATTATTTTTACTTTCTATTAAAAAGAAACTCATAACTCTCAAAACACTTAGATTAAACTGCATTTCGCTGAATCGATTTATAAAAATTTATAAAAATTTATAAAAATGCAAATTTTTTTTCTCAGCTGACCTATGACTCACAATTAGAATATTTAGTGATGAACTCTTATTTCATTTGGAATATTTATAGATTGAACAACAAACTCCACAAAATAATTAACATTTACAATTAACTCGTAAATGAAAATTATTTTCTTATCCTTTATAATCCTTAGGAAGTAAAGAACGAGGAAGTCTTCCTCGCTCAAAAATTGATGTTTAGATTTATTCGAAAAAAAAATGTTTTTTCATTATTTCAACAGATAAAACATTTGGAGATCAAACTTATTCAAAGACTGATTGTTATATATACAATTTATATATTCACTCATCTATTTAAAATTAGTTTTCTTATTTATTTTAAAGATCAAATAAAATTTGTTTCAAGATCAAAATTTAATTTCAGTCACAAATAAAAATTATCTCAATTATTTTATTTGTAGATTAGTTTATCGTTTAAAAATACTTATAAATCGATTTTTTTCATTATTTGTGCTTGAAATTTAATATGAAAATCTCATAGATTGATTACACATCCATTTTACATATGTTTATGATTTTCATCTCTTCAGCCTTGAGTTTTTCGCGCGTATGTCTGAAGAATTTATACGATCAATAAAAAAAATAAACTAAACTCAATGTTCGATTGTTGATTCACTGCCGCAACATTCGTGGGTGTTTGTATGCCTTGAGGCGCTCCTGTGCCAAACCTTCGGCGCCTTCGGAATTTGCTGTAATAAATAAAGCCGTCGAGTACACACGTGTAGGTTTTTAGATGTTTTCTAGATTTTTTAAGTCTATGATTGCTCTGGATATAAAACACGTTTGCATCAACGCTACCTCGTGCGCTTTAACTAGATTTATTGGATGGCGAGACTGAAGTGAATTTGTTTTTCTGTCTATAACAGATTGTCATTCAGTCTTTGAGCTCCGAATCTATTTATTGAGAAAAAGATTTAATTTTTTTAGATCTTAATTTTTAGATGTTGGAAACGTAGCTGTAAATTACAACTGATTCAGCGAATATTTTTGAGATGTTGCGCGAACTGCAAATTAATAGAGCGATTGATTTATATCGCTCTTCGTATATAAAATAACATTGTCACTACAAAATCTTTCTTCGACTATAAAGTATATAAATGAAAACGGAAATTGGCACGCCTGTAAAATTATTAAAAACATTACGGTTATATTTTGTCCGTGAATCAGCTATAAGGCTCGTAAATGGATGTTCTCCTTTAATGTTCTCCTTCCTTTACACCATTCATTTGTCACGTGTGAGAAAGATAGAGTGCACATTTTCATTCTATCTTTTTATTTTAAATATATACTGCTAGAATATAGACTGAAGAAAAGTATAATAAACATAATGTTTGACTTCGATGATTTCGCAATACAAGCAATAAATTGCAATTAATCGTTAATATTTATTTTGCTAAAAAAAAGTACTAAAAATTAAACTAAAAAATTAAACTATTTTTATTATTAAAATACACGTAAGATTTTTTAAAATGTATATTTTAGAGTTAATATTATTTTCACGAAATTATTTATAGCTGATTATTTCAAATTTATTTTTATAAATTGACTAGTTAAAGAATAATAACTCAATTCATGTAAACCAATTTAACATATAATTTATTCACGTTAAATTTATATACTTTTGATAATTCTGAGAATAAATTTATTATATATATTTTAAATAATATAAAATACATTTAACGATATAAAATATATATTTTAAATAATATAAAATACATTTAAATCTCAAAACTTTTTCAAATATATCAAACTCTTCGCTAATTTAATGATCAGTATATAATTATCACTGACGTAATAATTACATACAATCATGAAGTCAAATATTAAAATTTTCCCTTTTATGAGAAAACGAAAAAAAGGGCTGTAATAGGTCTACGCTTTACTTTTAGTACATAAGTATTATATAGTTATTTTTATAATTAGCCACCACATAAAGGAAACAATTCTTCAACTCAACATTGTAAATAACATAGACGCATGATAAGAAATTTTTCCCAATGCCGTCATGATTTTATAGCATGGACAATTTATCATCGGATTTAAAATCAATGAGATCTATGTTTCACAACTTCTGCGATGCAATGCTAAGTATCAGCGGTATTATCATTCTGAATAAAAATAATTGATTACTTGCGTAACTAAAATTAATCTCCTGAAATTAATAAAGCTGCAAATTAAACCATGAGCGATTGTGTTAGTTGCGCAAATGTGAGAATATACGCGCGCAACATCCGAATGATTAATAGGACTGCAATTAACAGCCGGTACTTCATGCACACAAACTCGATGCAAGCAATTTAACAAGGACTCGTTCGCCGTATGAAATTCAATGCCATATGAATCGTCGATATGAAAAAAGATAACACAATGTGTACAATTTTTTAAGAAAACGGAAGACTATATACGCAACATTTAATATCTTTTTAGCTAATTTTATACTTTTATTATATTTGTATCAAATATAATGTTTACAAATGATAAATTATGAATATCGCAGAAAGATGCAGACGGTTGCATTTTTGTAACATTTAGTACAAAATTAAATAAAATCTATTTTAGATACGAAAAATAAATTATTAAAATAAAATATACATATTAAAATGTAAATTTACAAAATAAATAATATACTGCGAAAAAGTCTAGTGCTCTAATATTATAAAAAAAATAATTATTATATAAAATAATTAGAATATATTGTGTTGTTAACTTTTTATTTTAAATCTCTAAAATTATATCTTACATTGTTTAAATATAATGAATAATAATAAATGTAAATAATAAAAGCGTTTCATATTTTATAAAAATTCAAATAATAACGCAGTAATAAATATTGATAAATACCTTAATAATAAATATTACTTGTGCCTCTGTCTTTCGCGGTTTTTTTATTCAAAATAAAAATTGATAAGAGATTTTTCCTATTAAACATATCTCTTTATATAATAGAAATAAATTATTTAAACACTAAATAAAGTAAACAAAAGATTTTTTCATTGAGATATTGAAATTGATATTTCGTCGAGCGTAACACAAGCACTTAAACGTTCATTTCACGCATACGATTAAACATGTAAAGCGCATGTTTTTCGTAGAAACATCGCTCAAACACCTTTTATGCTAATAAATCCGATTACTCGTTTCTATTCACGTGCCTGTTCTTGCGTGGCCTTCGGCAATGGTTGAGCACACACCGTTAAATGTAAATGACAAAAAAATTGTAATAGAGTATTCAACAATGTCTCACCACTTATATATTCACGAAAGAAATGAATGAAGCGGCTTGGATTATTTCGAATACCAGGAGGGTCATCGATGTGTGCGTGTCGCTCGATTAAGGAGTTATCTACTATCTTTGTTATCTACCATCTTTCGTTTTTCATCAGCAATGTAGAGAGAAAGTTTACTTGCCGTTGCACAGCATTGCGCAAGTCGTGAGAGGAACACGCTGCACGTGAATATGAGAAATATCCACTCATAAACTTCGTCGAAAATCGGAGATTATTTTTACGTGGCCAATTAAAGAGTTGTCATTGATTGTGAGATTAGAACCCGCTACGAGAAAGAGATAAATGTCAGATTTCTCCTATATATAAATTTTTCCAGTTTTTTTTGTTCGTGCAATTACAATTACATGAGCAGACGACATTACACAGTCTTGTATAAAGAATAATCGATTGACCATGAAATAAAAAGCGTGCATTGTAAAACTTGCATTGTAACACGAAAGCATTTGTATGGACGAAAGATGTGTCTCGACAAAATATTGAACATTTCAATAAACCAATGCTATTCATCCTCAGCATAACTTATTCAAGTCACGTCGAAAATAATATCCTGCAACTTGCACTTGCATTTGCAATTTACAAGCAAACTCGAATATTTATACAATTGAAGTAGATCTATACGATATTCATCTTAATCTATTAAAATTTAAGAAAAAGAAGAGAATTGTTTATCATTCGGGTAAAAAGATTTAAAAGGTTTCTTCCCTTGGATGCAAAAATAAAACAAGAACATTTAAATTAAGAGAACGCAATACCTAGAGAGGTCAAGCTTTATTTGGACATTAGGATTAATCAAGAAGAACAGTTGAGAGAAATAAAAGAAAAAAAAATTTAAAAACAGCATTTTATACTTGTTCATTAATCTAATGAATCATAATGAGTAACACATTAATATAAGTTTTCATGAAAAAAATCACGAAATAATAAAAATAAATAAACATAAATATATATATGTATATAAATAATAATCTTATGTGATTTGTAAAATATTAAATTTTCTAAGCAATATATTATTATAAAAAAATATAATTTAATATGCTATAAAGAATATCCTAATAATAAATAAAAGACTAATATAAAATGTAAAAGAACGTGTATAAATCTCTGAGAAAAAATATTTTTCTTCTCAGTTCTGCCTTCTCTTCGATGATATTACGTCTTGACAAGTATTTGCCAATCATCCTAATAACGAGCAAATTGACGATCGATTTAGTTCATGATTGCGGGCTCATAATCACATTGCAGATGTTCATTATCTTCGTCGTTTATAATTTCGTTACCTCACGGCTCGGTTGCAGATACATCGAACGAGCTGTCGAAAATGAGCGTCATAATCAGGCTGCAAAATCTGGCGTGGTCCGCCAACGCATTGGACATACGCCAGTTTTTCAGAGGTCTCAGCATCCCGGAAGGAGGCGTCCATATTGTCGGCGGCGAATTGGGAGATGCGTTCATCGCATTCAGGTAAGCGCTGTCGCGCACAAATTGGTTGCGTTTGAAAAGAGAGATCTGGCAATCGACGCAATGGATATGTTTTACATCTCATTTCCTCTGCAATGTCGTTCGCTCAGCTGCTGTGGCTCAAATATTTTATACCATTATTGGATTACTCCTCTCACGACTTCAAATTACGGGGTGTATACTCCCTGGAAAAACCTGGAATTCTCAGGGACTTTTTGTTCTACCTTGAAAAATCCTGGAATTATCATGGAATTTGATTTAAACTCAGGGAATTTTTTTAAAAATTGCTCCTTTGATGTTAAAATATAGCTTTAAAGAATATAAAATTTATTAGTTTTATATAAAGTATATATTAAAATATATTTTATTATAATATAATATGATATTACATTATTATATTAAAAATACTTCATTTACGTTAAAAATTATGTATAACATATACCCTTATTTCAAAATTGTATTCTAAATATTATTTAAAATACTTTAATTTTACAAGAAATTTTGAACAAAAGTAACAAACATCATAAAATACTCAGGGAATTTATTTCTAAGATTTGAGTATACACCCTGAATTACAAGTCTACGGTCGTAAATAAAAATTCTATCCTTAAATAGAATGAGTAGAATTTTAGCAGATTAAAAACGTATTATAGATTATCTTTTTCGTTATTTTTAGACTCATTTGTAAAACTCGTTTAAGCCTGCAACGATCATGATAACAATTTAATAGATAAATGAGTAGCAAATGATCTTTTCCACTTGACTTGTGATTAATTTTACTTCAGCATTTTGATGAATTAATCGTGTCTTATTTAAGAGACTATTAGAGGTAGAAAGTTATAAGAAGTTGGCTCATATGGACGTATAAAATAGAAATGTAATTTCCGGTTATTACCGGACCTTGTTATTATTCGCAGTAATAGTGTAATAATTATCCATTATATACTCGTATCGCATATCTAAAACCAATTATCTGACGCAAGGACGTGATCAATATCCGTCATATGATATATACATTAGCATGACGGGTTGGCCATTTACGGGATAAAACTGCAATTTTTTGCGCACAATTCGAAAGCAGTAAAACAGAAAAATATATATACTGAAATCTTTAAAACGAGCTTAGCTGTCTAACGAATTTAACAAGGAGAAAACGGAGTCTCACGAAAACGTTATTGCAGCACCGACGAGGACGCCCGTCAAGCGATGATGCACGATGGCGGCAAGATCAAGGAGATGAAGATCAAGCTGCTGTTGAGCTCGCGCACGGAAATGCAAAAAGTGATCGAAAACGCGCGACAGCAGACCTTGAGCTTGCAATGCATCATGCAAACAGCGCCCGTAGCGGTACCGGCCGTGGTTCCTGGCAAGCAGCCCGGTTCGCCGACTGAGAACAACAGGAGGGACAAGGACAACGACAGCGAGTCCAGCAATAAAGACCGCAAGGATAGGCGCGATCGCTCAAGATCACGGGATCGTTCCCGATCGCGCGATCGTGATCGCGATCGCGACCGTCGTGACCGGGATCGCGGCAGAGATCGACGACGGCGGGATCGCAGCAGGTCGCGTGATCGGGAACGTGACAGACGTGATCGGCGGCGTCGTAGGGATCGGTCGAGATCGCGCGATCGCACACGGTCGCGCGACCGCGACTCGAAGAGAGGTTCCACGAACGATCGCCGCAAAGACGTCAACGAGGACGACAACAACGATGTCGTCTGCGTAGGTCAGTTTCACAAGGATAAAGCGTCGGCCGCGTCGAAGAAGCCGTTGGAAAACGGCGTCTGGGAGGTCCCACCTCAGACGCAGATGCAAGCCGCACTGTTGGCGCCCGGTATTTTAGGCGCCGGGGTCGCTGCTCTGTCGCAAGATTCCGAGACTCAGCGCTCGGCTATTGCCGGTTTCGGTACGTCCGTCATAGGGCAGCAGCCGATGCTGCAATCGGGACAATTCTCCATAAACGGTCTCAACGGCGTCGGGAATCTGATGCAACCGCACGTGCAGGCGCTCGGCCACACGGTAGGAATGACGTCGTTAACGCAAAATCTAAGCACCGCCAATCTACCGAGTTTGAGTAGTCTGGGAACTCGCTCGAAGGAGCCCTGGAGTCAGAACGAGCAAAGCAGACTGGATCAGGCTGGACGATTCTCCAGCCGATCGAATCAGTTCAACAATCAGGATTACAGCACGAGCAGCAGTTATCGTGGCAACAGACCGAATAATAACTTCTTGAGTAAAATGCAGGAACTCGAGGGTCGACGTAATCCGCATGCGTTTCAGGCCGGCGCCAACTTCGGAAACTACGAGAATGATCGCCAATCGTCCGGCAGGAAGTCCGGCAGTTCGAGATTCTCCGACAGCAAGAACAACGGCAGCAGCAGCGGTCATTGCGTGGAAGTACGTAACATGCCGTTGAGTGCGTCGTATGCGGATATACGTCACGCATTCCAGGGTATCTATATCAGGAAGGACGGTATGAAGCTAATCAACGACACCCATGGTAATCGCGTAGGTATTGCTTATGTTAAGTTCGGCAAGGCCGAAGGTAAGGAACAAGCTTTAAGCGGAACAAGATACGTGCGAGGTTCCGAGGTAGAGGTACTTCACTTGGACGAAAGTATCTTCGACAAGGCAGTGAACTCTTATTCACCTGACAAGGAGGACGACGGCGACGTGAGAAATTCCATGTGTATCCTCTTGACCGAACTACCATCCTTCACCAAAGAGATGGATATAGCTAAACTATTCCACGACTGGAAGATCAACGATCTCTTCATCACGAATACCAAGGAGTCCGGCACCACCCAGTACATGGCTTACGTTCAGTTCGCGCGACTCGAGGATGCCAAATCGTCCTTGACCACGACACTGAAGATCGGCAGCAAACAGGTGACCGCGACCGCGATCAGCGAGGAGAAGTTTGCACAGGCAAAGCGCGAACACGAGCAACTGACCCTGAATCAAACGGATTGTATCTTCATGCGCGGTTTACCCTTTCAGACAATCGACCGCGACATCTTTGACTTCTTCTCAGACATCGGTATCGTGCCGCTCTACATCCATATGATGCTAAATCAACAGGGCAAACCATCCGGAGAGTGTTACTGCGAATTCGACTCGGCCGAGAAGGCGGAACGCGCCATTGCTAAGAACGGTCTGCCGCTCGGCAAGAACGTACCCACCATCGAGCTAGTACCTCGCGCCAAGATGCTGGAAACCCTCGGCAATATGCCGGAAGTGCAGCAGCAGACGCAACAGCACTTCCCGCCGATAGAGCAGCACCAGAGACCGCCACGCTTCTCGGCCGGTCCGTTGGGCCACATGCCGCGATTCGGCAATACTGGTTTTGGGCCCCGCTGCCCACCCGGCTTGATGATGCCGCGACACATGCTGGGCCGTCACCCGCCGTCCATCGACTACGTAGACGGAGCTATGGGCTTCGGCAAACCCGGTTGCGTACTGTCCCTGGAAAATGTGCCGTTCAAAGCGGACATTAATGAGATTATCGAGTTCTTTGGTGACTTTGATATTAAACGGGAGAACGTAATTCGTCGTTACAACGACAGGGGAATGCCGACCGGAGACGCACGAGTCGCCTTTTCGTCGCCTAGCGAAGCTCAACGCGCACTCAAGGAACTCAAGCATTGCAAGATGCGAGAGCGCACGATATACATGAAGTTGGCGTGAGTTCCGCCGCTTCGTCGCGCGAAGACTGACGCTGAGACGTGAAAGGACACCATCGTTGGACCATGTTTCAGGTGGGAGTTCGAAATACAAGGACAATTGCAATATTTAATATCGGAAGACGTGTATCTTCGGTGAATTAATGTAAGAGTTTGGTGAATTATTGTAAAGTTTTATACGAGAATCCTCACCAATAAGCGCCACAAAGGGATAAAGGACGCTTTGACAGTTGGAAACGTCTTCTTCTTCTGTAAAAAAACTACTTCCCTTTTATTATATAAAGGCGCGAGACTCCTTAGCGCGTCCATAATTTTTATCTTTGTGTACATAGAACGCATAGGTTTAAAAACGATTCATTTTCTTCGCTCAATCACATTCTGATTTGCGAAGTGACCACATCCAAACTGAATTTGTCCAGCGTTATTGAAGATGCTCAATGGGCAAATTTTATTTTCTGTGCGTTAAGGACTGAGGTAGTATTTAAGTGACGATTGGAAAAACGCGCTCGTCGCTGATGATTCCTTGAACTACATTAAGAACGTAGACTAATTGTAGGATTTCTCATCAGAGAATAAGTTTTTCTTTTTTTCTTTTTTTTTCTTTTATAAAATTCATCTTGTAAAAATTCTTTAATTATTTTTTACAGATCGGCACTTTTTATTCTAGAATTTTAGTAAAAAGGCTGAATTTACAAAAAAAATACAATACACATATAAAAGATTACATATTTTTTTATTATTATTATTATTATTAATATTACTATTTTCAATACTATTGCAATACCAAAAAATAATGTTTTAGTTATGCGAATGGCGGAAGCAGAGTACAAAGTTAGTGGTTTAACCAGTTACGTTTGCTTTACGTTTCGTGTAAAAACATTTGGACGAGCGCGAGTCAAGTATAGCAGGCCGTGCAACGTATTTTCTATACAAGAATGAGAGTATATGTACATTACATGCATTACATATCTTATGTAATATATGTAATATATGTATATATTTATACTTTACTCGATAGGTAAAATATATGTATATTACATATATTAAATGTACATAGACAGAGAGATTATGCGTACGTCATAATCTTAGTGCAACTATAAGTGTCTACTGTGCGTGGACTTGTAAAATAATTTATAAAAACGAATGAGAAAAAAATAAAAATTTATAGATACATACGATATTCACAGGCATTGTCATAAGTTTGTGTTACACGATAATGAACACTTCAATAAATTTTTATCTAAACTTTTGCCTTTTTGCCCACCAAAGAAATATCTAAAACATTAGCATTAAAGCGCGATAAGTTTAAAATTAAATATATTCAAAATATCTATTTTTCTAAGCAAATGTAATAATTTGCAAAAAAATTTGCAAGCTTTTAAATCTCTTGGAATATAGATTTCGAAGATCGAAATAAGAGAAAGCTGTTCTCTTTCTCTGTCGATTTATATAAAAAATCAATCGTACTGATTAGAATGTATTCAATCAACTGCAATACAACCATATGCTGGTGTCGATGACAAATTTCCTGGCAAATTGCTGGTAGGGTCGCACCGTCCTACGGGACGGTTCCGTGACGAAAGAGTGCTGCATCGAATCGGTGCTGCCTAAATATTGAGTCACGAGCTATTTCTGTAGCCGCGCCTCAGCCACAAGTCCGTGACACGTCGAACAGCAGTAGCGCATTTCAACTTGTGACGAATGGGACCCTTCCCTCCGCATATATTACACTAAATTAGTTATAAAAATAAGAAATGTAAAATATTTTAATTGAGAATAAATTACACTCTCATATGTAACACATTCTTGTTTAGAATGATGCAAAGTTTCTCGTAATATGAGAGAGAAATATTCTAAAGAGACTCTCTTATTCGTAGTTCTGAGATATAGAAACACGTAGATCTAAGATCTCTCTTTATTAAGATAAATATGCAATATATATAGTTTAAATCAAATTTTGAATGTGATTTTTTAAATAAACAAATATATTCAATCAAAATGAAAGACATATATTTAAACGATATAAACTATATATATATAACTATTTTTTATTATAATATGTGAACGTATATTTATGCTATTAAGCTTTGAATTTAGAACTTATTTTCTTATTAAATTAAATATTTCAGAACCGAGATCATTTTCTTTAAATTTATTTATGTTCTTCTAGCTTCCCAGCTGCAATATATAAATTCGAGTGCCAAGAATGTTTTGCTGTTGAGTGCCCAAACACTTTGTTATAGCTCGCGTACGCACATGATCATTATATTCTAAAACACCGGCTGATGCATGTCTCGCTTAAATTCACGATTGCCAAGGAACATTCATTCTAAGCAAATGCACGACTGAAAATGAAATTTATAACATCGAGTATTAATATCGAATGTATATGTCATAAAAAATATTTTTATTGCATACAAGCGACTTAATCGACCGTAGTTTTTTTTTCTCATTAATTATATTATGATATCACATTTTATGGCTATGCAAAAACAATTTATTTTATTTTTTGCATTATTATAGAAAAAAGTTAAAATGTATATATATTTAATTATATTACTATAAGTATATATTAATATTTAGCGCGCGAAGAGATTTTGTTTTCGATTAAACTTGAAGTACAGCTAATGTAGCGGATGATTCGTTCGATTCTATTCAATGATTTCCAACAATTTCCATCATAATGCGTATCGCATACAGGAAGATTGCGATTAACCTTGTTCGATTTACCGGTTCGATACCGGAAGTTTGACTTTACCTATAAATACATATATCCAAACAAAAAAAAGAGAGAAACGAACAAAAAAATTTGACATTTTTATCTTACAATTAGTTAGATTTTTTTTCATTAAAGAAGTTAAGAGAGAAAAACACTTAAATTTATAAATCTTAAAAAGCGCAGCCGCAGTTATAAATGCATAATTAAGAAACGCATTCATCTATCGGCTTAGAACCCAATTTGCATATCTCTATCCAATACATTTGTTAACAGTTGTGTAATAAATAATTACTTCCTATATATGATCGGGAACTGACAAAACGAGAGATCTCCCGTTGCGTTACAAATTACATAATCGATATTCGATATCATCGCGATGCAAATTACGGTGCTGACGCTATATATCTACGCCCCTTCGCGCGCATCTGCGGACCGATGAAGAGACGCAAGGACGAAACTGAAATAGAGGCGGTGAACAAAGAGCGGAAATCTCTCGGCGAAGGCGTGACAAACGGATTCGCTTTGCGCCAGCCTAAAAACAGACGGGATCTCCGGAAGTAACAAAAACAAATTGTGCATATAGCGTAGATTTACTTGCTGCTCCGCTCAAGCGCACCATCCGTATTGTATTTTTCGTCCTTCGTTTATATCCTTTCTAGGAGATAAAAAACTTGCCCTTTTTTCTTAAGAGAACGTTTTCTTACCATTACTTAAAAACTCAATTAAACACTTGGAAAAATAATTTTAAAAAACCCAGTATAGGTGAAAAACAAAGAGGAATAGATGCCATAAAAAAAGATCTGTGCATTTCATACGATAATAGATAAAATGTCAAAAGATTCTATAATAGTCGATCATCATGTTTTGCAATCGCATACGGTGGAGTCCGAAGAAAATTATAAAGCAATCTCGAGCAAAGCAAAAAATTCCAATTAACAGGACACTGAAACAAATCACTTGTATGTCATCGTCCTATTACTTTATCGCTGTTGGAGTTCACCGCATGTGATCGGAAAATGCTGCTGGAGAAGAGCTAGTGAATCCTTTGACTTTTTATCTGGTATATTCTCGACCAGGATTCCTCTTTTCGATGGAACCATATATTATCCTTCTTCTTTCAAATCGATATGTTTTTTACATATATTGTATATAAATAAAAGTCATCGGAGTATGCTTGTATGTGCACCATAAGGGAAGAATTGTGTTACCGTCTTAACAGATACAATTGCGTCATAAAATGATATATCTCGTCGAGATCTCTTTCCTTTTAATGACTCGATTCGTGACTCGCAAAGGAAATTTCATCCGCTGTATTTCGTGTCAGCGCCCACTCGGGATTACGCATCTACCACTTTAGGTAACGCGTTATCATCGCACGCATTGCGAGATTATCGATGACAAGTATATTAAGGAATTTCAGTCGTCTGGCAAAACGATGGAGCTTAACCGCGATGACCATTTACGTGTGTTAATGATATAAACAATTGGTACAAAGAAAAAGAGTGGCACAAAAATATCTAAAACAAAATATATCAGCTAGTTAAATTTTTCCCTGAAGATTAGAAGTCTTAACAAAAATTTAATTGCAAAATTATTGATACTAAATATATAGATAATAAATATTGAGGAAAAAAAATACAGAAAATTTGAGGTCGTCGACACAAGTTGGTATACAAATTTACGTATTCACGAGACGATAGATTTAAAGCACGATGAGAATCTTGAGTATATGGAAGAAGCAGAAGAACAAAAAATCTACCTACCTACGTTAAATTTTCCGAATAATATATTCCATGGCTCCGAGTGATTCATATCTCTCATCTCGACACTCGAGATGGAGAACTCGTCCAGATTGCGAGCGTAGATGAAGAGGAGCGTGGAGAATGAGCTAAGAGTAGATCATAGAAGGAGGAACCCTCGAGTATGGGAACGAAGAGAAGAGAGAACGCACCTGCGAGGGCTTTTGTGCCGCGTAATGCTGAAGAGAAACCGAGCGAGCGGATGGTAATTGATTACAGCCCGGGAAACATACTCATTCTTCAGCGACGCAAGGAGAACGAGAACTCCGCGCTACCACTACGATTTTAAACTGGATATTTTCGCTACGAAGGACGTTTCCATCTGGCCGAACGTAACTTGGATCTGATGAGCCGAGATCCGACCGTAGATCTGATACTGGCGCATATTTCGAATTCTTTCGCGGCCGCGATGATAAAGTTACGCATCAGGTATTATGCACACGTTATTGCAATCAATCATTCAGATAAGTAATCGTTAATTGCTGGCGCTTGTTATATCTTTATGAAAAGAAGGACAATGTGATTACATTCTTTTTTTTATGACATGATATTAATTTTTAATTTTTTTTATATTAATATTCTCAATTAAAATAATTACCAGAATTAATAATTATATTATCTAAGCTTTATACATTTTTTAAGCTTTGGTTCGATCATATTATAAGATCGAAATAATTTTCTTCGGCTCAAACAGTTGCATTATTCTTAAGATTTCCACGCAATGAATTTTATTTTATGTTAGACATCATATACACAATATCAATATTCTATTTATTAATTATTAATTTGTGATTTCGCGGGGTAAAATTTGATTAGAAGCTTAAACGCGGTATAGACATAAGATTTAGATTTAATAATTAATTTAATATAGGTACGCGCATGTTTTTTCGTTCAAGCATGATGAAATAACAAGCAAAATAGCGATTGTCATATTCTTTACCGTGGTATGCAGAGAGCAGACTTGTAATAATAAGGTCAACAAATTTTCCTCCGCATAATTCTAGCCGGCGAATACGAGACGTCTGATGCACATGTCTAATCTAAAACGCGTATCTCGCCGTCATGAAGCTGAGTTAGCTCAGACTGATGCTGCGATTTTGTATTCCTCGCAATTCTTCTCGTAAAAAATAGGGATATCTTGTCTTTCAATATTATATTTATAAATATTAGCGCCGAAATATAAAAATCACTTGTGTCACTGCATGTAACAATATTTCGCAGCAAAGATACAATAATTAATTCTTCAAAGTACGTCGCGTAAAAATGATTCTGATTTTATTTATTGTTTTCGTGAAAATTGATATTACTTTTGTTTACCTTATGGTTTTGCTCGAAAGAAATTTATACCGCGACGTGTCTTTCCTCCTTTTACTTATATCTAACTCCCAAATTTTTCATAACTTTATAATATAATATTACAGTCATGTCTTTTAGTTCGAGGTCGATTCGTGTCTCTTTACTTGTCAAAAGAATTTCACGTGTGCGAACAATGTGTCGGGAATATCGAATTATATTTCTGCGCATGTTTCGATATTTTATAAGTGCTACAATTTTCATGATCTAATTGCCAAAACATGACAGAATCTAAAATTTTGATTTTCCAGAAAGTACTCAAGTATTCGTTGTTTAAATCGCGAAGAGTTTTTTGCACGTTTCTTGTTCCACGTAAAATTAATGAGGGACATAAAACTGTGAGAAAAAGCAATTAGCATTTGCGTCACTGAAAATATTTGTGTGAGTTGTTTATAACAAGATGCTAAAGTAGACAAAGATAAACAGACAATTGATCGGTTGTGAAAATACTCTTGCTTTTTAATCAAAATTAATGACTTCTATTCAATACATCCAATTAATCCAATTAACAGCTCCGATATAATCCAATTATAGCTAATGTCTCTTTCTAAATTAAGCATTAGCAGATAAAAATAAAAAAAACGTCGATAATTAATAACCGTACTCGTTTCTTTTTCTTCTTCCGCATCCGCTTTACAATTATGTCATCCTGATTATACGTTATCGATATCGATTTTATACGATATACAATATAAAGAAAGAAAACACGAGGATGCGCCACATGAGTTTGCTCGATGATAAAATTAATATGTCCGCATAGTAATATAAAATTATTTATTTTACGTGCGGTTCTCCGCACACAATGACCTGGTATGCTAATACTTTCCTTCTCGTTTAATGTTCTCTTTCGTTTCGTGCGCCATTGCACCTTGCATTGTTCCACGCGTATTACACAGTCGTGTTCAATGACAGACGACAACGACCTCCCTATCGTTGACTCTTTGAGGACATTATGAATGGCAGAAGAATGCCCGCGCCTGTTTCCTTCGCGACTCATAACGAGATATTCTTCGCGCCAAGACAATTGTTTGTTTTTAGATCCCAGCCATTTTCTTCAACGCTTCATCTATTTTGCTAATAACTCCGCTGTATATAATTAACTGGAATTTAATTACATCGTATAGATCTGTATACATTTTTATTTTTATACTGTTTGTTTAATCAACTACTCTACATATCTTATGAAGAAGAGTCATTATTTTCGATTTATTTGCATGAAAGAAGTAATTATCTTACGTATAAGAGATTTATTGTATTTAAAAAAAATATACCATTCAATATCTTTTTTTCACTCATTTTTCTTTAAATAATTTGTTCCATTCTTTTTGTATACTATCTTATATAAAACGAAAATCAGTCAAGAAAAATAAAAGTCTGTAACACAGATCTTGTATGATATTATGTTAATCAATTTTTCATTAAGAAAATAGTGTGTACTTTAATCATTTTAGGCAATTTTCAAGAAATTATTGGAGATCTCAGAAAAAACACATTCTCAATAAAAAAATTAAGATAAGGAACTGCAGCAAAACTTGGACAACACGGTTTCTGGACACATATATTGTTCCATCGATTTTCTTTTATCAGATTTGATTTCAGGTACTCGTATATAAGAATAGGATACATTATTGTTCGGAGAGGAAAGAAATAAGATAAACACGAGACGACGGAATAAAGATAAGTACATGATCGATGGTATCTGCGGGGTGGCTCTAATCTGGGCCTCCCGTTTCGTCGAACTGGTGAGGCCCGCAATAAACGTCCGCGGAATAAAATATTGGCCCGGCGTAAACAGTGTAAGTATCTATCTCTCGCTATTTATAAACTAGATCGCCTCGTCGGTCGCCGAACAGTCGATTCAATTAAATAATGTATACTGTTATCTTTACAGAGCAAGTTATGCTGGGTGCAAGATGATTAACGCAATGGCTCCTTCCCCCAGTCTCTCCTTCCAGAATATATATGCACACGTAAGCCTTTTTTTAATATCAAAAGTCGCCGAGTCGGTACCGCATTAATTAACCATCGTTAATGTGGGAATACCACAAATAGATATTGGTATATATCCAGTGTTGCGCTTAGATGGTTTTAAAACTTGCTAGATAAAGATGAGATGAAAGTGTGTAAATTTATCTTAGATTTTGTTTTAAATATGTCTAGATAAAAAATAAAATTATATGGTGATGGTAAACAGTTATAAAAAATTTGTTAATTATAAAAGGGATATAAAAATGTATTTTTATCTTTATTTAAATATAAATTATAGCTCTGTTACTTAATAATAATATTGAAATATTTTTATGTGCTATGACTCTAAACTAAATTATATATATGAACAGTATTGTAGACAATTTAATAAAAATAACACTTTTCATCTAAGATACAGATATCTATAACAGCACAAGGATATGCAGAGGATGTCTGAATGTCCTCTGAACGTATTTCGGATATGTTGTGCCGTTAGGGACAATAATAAATATTTTTCTGATCTATATAAAGATAAGATGAGACCAGAGCTTCATCTAGATGATCATCAATTTAATTTAAATAACCGCAAACACTGTATATATCCTTACTTTACATACGGTGCACGCTCGCTCATTCTCCCTCTTTCGTAGCCCCTTCAACATGCCTGAAGTGAGAGAAGCGGGTGGGAGAGAGAGAGAAAAAGAGAGAGGAGAGCGAGTCCCCCTCGGGGAGGCCTTTTGTATGTATACTCCCGCGCGATGTGCCGGGTCTGGTCTGGTCTCGGTGGACCCGAGATGGTCCGCGTAGAGCTACAGTAGTTCGGTGGCTGCCGCCGCACGGGAATTGAACTGGACGGTCGCGGCGGCCGCGCTCTTCTTCTCCTTTTCTTCTTCTCTTTCCTCGACTCCTCTCGCATCACGAGAAACGTCCAGGTGCGCGGATCCAGGCACCGAGTAGCGGCTCTCCTCCGACCAGATTCTCTTCCTCTCATTGATCTCCCGCGATCGCGCAGGTGAAAGTATACCTATATACTCGAAAGAGGGAATATACGCGATATGAACTCCACGTGGTGCTGGACGACGTAGAGGAGGTTGCTGCTGCGAGGACGCTCTGATTCTCGGATACTCTTTCTTTTTCTCTCTCTCTCTCTCTGCGTCGTTGCGAATTAATCCAAGGACGATGAGGCTGCTCGTGGACCTCTTCTCCGCCTGGATGCTGCTGCTGCTGTTGATCCCGTCACTCCTGCTGGCGGCTGATCCCTCGAGGACGACGACGACGGAATGCCCGCAGAAGTGCGTGTGCTTAATGTTGCATGTGCAATGCATATTCCAGAAGCTGAGCCAGATGCCCCGGGTACCTGCCAACACCACCGTTCTGTAAGTTCTTTACCCTTTTATTCCCTTGATCAATAATTAGCTCACGTTCGATACCTTATTGCGATGCAAGCTTTACGTCTTACTACGGTGTAACGAGATTCTTGTAAAAAAGGAGAGCTTGAAAATTATTCTGTGTCTCTTCGAATTTTTATTTTATTGATTCTCTTGTTTTAACAAATAATGAATTTTTTATTTGACGCTATATATTTAATAATCGTGAAAGACTTAATCTGGCAATGTAAATAGTTTCTTCGTGCATGTAAAATATATGTATGTAAGAGTTTTAAAATTACACAAAAATGCAAAATGATCGTGCAGTGCAGTTGATATTAGGGTATATAAGTATGATAAAAGGTCAAGAGAAAGTATGTTATATAGATGCATATTCCTTTATAGGAATTAATCGAGACGTATATAATCATCCCGGTTAAGAAAGATCGAGACTGCGCTTTCAGTAGGGAATGCATTTGCTCTCCTCGCAATTATTTGGCAAGAAAGATAACATTGTATATTTAATGAAACCTGTTTATAAAGAATTGAATACATTATAAAAATAATCGATAAAAGTCATAATAATTGTATAGCATTGTTTAACAAGTATCTACAATCGAGGTGCTTCTTATAGATTCAGAATAAAGTTGACTACATTATAATAAAATTGATAAAAACTAAAAACCCAATTACCAGATTTAACTGCGAATGAAGCTAATGAAGTCAAGTATTGATTTAAGATAAGTAAATGCAGAAGAAAAAAAAACAGAAAATTATGCTGCTCTCAGAACTATATATAAGTTACGCTGTAATGCTAAAGTGGAGCTTCGGAGAAAGGAATAAACGATGCAGTAAATAAAGCAACGTGATTCGATGCAAAGCTAGAAATTTATTTAATCTGACATCCTGAGATATTGTAATATCACAAATAATATACATATATTTAAATTTATTTTTTTATTTAAATTTTATTTCATTTTTTTAAATCATATGAATTATAAGATATATATACATATATGTATATATAAATATATATTAATTAAATTGAATATATAATTAATTAAATTTTATTTTTATTTGATTAATTAAATATTGCTAACATTAACTTAAATGTTACAAACAATTAAGTATGCATCACATATAAATCGAAAGAAAAATTTAATTAACTAATCACACAAATTAAAAATGTATTAAGATTGATTTTGAACAATCAGCTGTTATGTACGATCCTGTGTCTAGCTTTGTATTGTTAGGGGGGATGTTTCTTTCGTCTCAAAAGAACACGTAGCATATTATCAACAAACGTGTCTTTCCGTTGAAAATAAGAATGATATATCATATCTGACCTCTTCAGTTCTCCTACTTTGCGTGAAATACGCAAGTATCCCGAAAAAGATTCAATATTTGAAGAAAGCGATAAGGTGCTATCTCGGCGTAGAGACAACCGACTTTGCTTTATCATTTCACCCCGATTTAGCTCGCGAGCTTCGATATCTGTCATTGATCTCGCATAGGTATCCGTCTAAATTTCAATATCTCTCGTTGAAAGAAGAAAAGAAAAATACGGATGATAATCTGTATGAACAGCTCTATCATTTTTACTACATATTGTTGCGCAAAATTTCTTGGATAAAAACGGAATAACGTGACAAATAGTCGACAAAGTTTGCGATTCATTTATGAATCAACGCAGTTAAATCTCGTTGTCCTAATGTAATTTCGAAGTGACATATCGTGTCATAGTCATATGTATATCTCTTTTATTCGATTCACATAAAGCAATCTAAAAATAGTATTACTAAGGAGTGTTGCAATTTATTTATCTCAAAAGTAAGATATTTTTTTACTTTAGTACTTGCTATTATTTATTCCAACTTTATTACTTATATAAATATATATTCTTGCTATATATTTATATAATTATTTATTTAAATAATTTTTTTTAATTTAAGCTAGTATATTTCAAAACAAACAACATCATATTCAATGAAGACTTTTAACCATGACCTGTTCTGCATTGGATAATATAGATCATTGTAGCCTTGGAACCACATTGTGGAATCACAAGCTACAATAGAACTCATTTAGAAATATAATTGCTTACGCTTAATGTTTTTGTTTAAACAATGCTTTTCTCTTGCCTGCGTTATTAGAATAAAAAAAAATTTTAATTGTTATCGTAGCACAATTTTACAATTGTGAATAATTTACAAAGTTCTATTTTATTTTTTTCGCAATTTTAGTATTTAAAAAAAACAATTATCAGCATCTAAAAATAGCAAGTTGATTCATACAGAAAGAATAATTAATATAGTAATTTTTTGTAATGATCACTAAATTAATTTTCTCAAAAGTTGGAGAATATAAATAGCAACACATTATTTGGAATGTATAATTCGGCTGCGAGATAATTCGCTGATTAATTCTGTGCTTGTGCGACGGTGATAAAATTTTATTGAAATAAGTAACAAGTAAACATACGATCTGCAGAAATTATACATACGTATGTATATTAGCACATGAGGCACGCATGAGCTTGTAAGCGGAAAAGACGAGAGTTCTCCGGCGTGTTAAATCCTTTCTCCTTGCATTCTATGTATAAATGAGCTCATAATTTATATTATCCTGTCCGCTATTTACGTAACGAGGAGTTACCCGACTCCAGTTCCCTGTACACTGTCCAATTCAGGCTTTGTTCAGGCGAACGCGAGGTAAAGGGACCCTCTAAACGTTTTCTTTAAGAAATTATAGATAAACGCTAGTTTGTTCTCTCCTCCGGCAATTTCAATGCCGAGGAGGCACTTCGTCGAATAATGATACGCGCGAAAAAGTTCATAGGTTCGGTCATCGCGTGACCGTTGCACAAGATTCAGAGATTAGGATATATATGATACAAAGAAACGCTAAGCATAGCTTATTAAATGATGTCAAACGATCTGAGTCAAGTGTTATCGTAATTATATCTCTCGATAACGTGCAATAATTCAAAAATGTTATTTCAAGGCATTCATTACATCAAACTGCAGTTTGATTTGTCATCCGTTATCATTATTATGTCTTTGTCTAAGAAATTTTATTTAAAGCCTCTGTACTTTATTTCTCTATTTTAATTAATTTATTATTTGATTTATTTATTTTATTTATTTTACTTATAAATAATTAAAAATAATTTATTGAACCTAAAATATCTGTACCTGGCTCTTATCAGCCCTTTTTATATCCGAATTTGTATTTACATCAGAGCTTTTTCGATTTATTATTTTATTTAATATCTTCTCTGCCTCTCTTTATCTATCTCCGATCGCGATAATGAAACATTACGATTATTGCGCGTTTGACTGAGTTTTTTAACATATCCGGTTTTACCGTTAAATCCTCCGTCGTGTTTACGATAATCACTAGTTTACGATCTTGTAAAATTACAGAGAGATAGACGGTCATTCATGATAGAGAGATGATTGATGGAATATTATGGACGCGTTGTCTCCAACATCTTTAAATATCCATTTTTTGGGAATAGAGTCTCTTCGTTGATTAAATATATATAATTATTTATATTATTAATATATAATAAATATTAATACATAATAAATTATTAAAAAATATATATGTATATAATTAAATATATATTACTACTACTACTCTACTACCACTACTACTATTACTACTACTAATTAAATATATAATAATATAATAAATACTCTTGTCTCCGGTTACGCGATATCTTGGCAAGTTGCGAGACATCGTCTCTCGTACCATAATTTCTAATTACATGGTAAAATAGCGTGCACGAAAAATTGCGGTCGTCCTGCAAAGCAAGTCGGAATTTATGCGCCAGTTCTTAAACTATCCACGTTTTATATATATGTATTACAGTTGGCTAAATCCGATAAAATATACATAATAAGTACATACAGGACGAACGCGTCAGTGGTTCTCAATATTTTGAGAAATTTCTCTACTATGTTAAAAATTTTATAATAATCTATGCATTTTTCGTATCCTTTTCTTCTTATTATGCAAATAATATATCAGCGTCACCCCTAAACCTTTCATCCTAGTTTTAATCTAATTGTAAGAGGAGATCTTTATTAGCATGAAATTGAGAGGCGCATATACACGCAGGATTCACATTACACAAGGGGGACGGATTGTGTCATCGTTATAATTATAGGTATTCGTGCATCTTTCTCAGAATCGAATGGCGACGACGCGACTTTAACGAGATTCGAAGTTTGCGGTTTGGCTGCATATGATGACGGAAAGAGAAAAAGAGATCGAATGTGCTCTTTCCTCGAAACTATTCTTGTACATACGTTTTTCCCATCCGTCACTTTTAACGTCACTAATTTGCTCGCGCGATTCGTGTTATTATAATACGAATCGTCTTCAATCGCGCCGCGATTAAATGAATGAGCCGCCGATATCTCGACTTCTACGGTCGAAGAAAGATCGAAGTGGCAGCACGCGATGGCTGGCGCTATAAATAACAATGCAGAAATATATTTCTGAGAAGCAGATTCGACAATTCAGTTCTTTTTTTTTTCAAAACAAGTCAGCTGGGAAAAGAAACATTTTTGTAATAATTTAGATTAATCAATAAGATATAATATGAATTTTTAATTTGTTCTCCCTTTTAAAATTAAATCTAACTATGTCTTGATAATTTCAGATCTTCTTCTGCTTTTCAGATTAAAAAAAAATACATATATATGCTGATATAATTTTATTTTATCAAGGCCACTATTTAAGGTATTTAATTATCGTGAGAAGTAATTATATCGTCTCGAGGAGTAATTTTTCGTAATTAAACAAACTGTGGGGAAACTGAAATTACTTTCTCAATCTATTGACGTCAATTGACGCAGACAATTTGCCGACGTGTTCGATTAAATATAGAGAGATTCATTATTATAAATTTAGATAAAACCTCATATCATATATGAAAATGTTTACATTAATCGCGCATATATGATTGACACGTTACTTCGACACTTCGCGTAAATGCTCGTGTAATTCGAAATGAAAAAGCACAAGGGTATCGCATTGCGGCCAATTTACGCTAGTTAAATGACGTTTGTAGGGGAAGGGGATGAAAGGAGGAGGGAGGAAGACTTCTTCCACTTTTTCTCGCGGCACGCGTGTTCACGCCGGCGATTAGCCGGTAAGATAAGGAGATTAAAATACCGCCGGGTCGAGCTCTCGAGGCCATAATTTAGAAAGGAAGCAATGTGCGAGGGCTGAGTAAAATTGTTAATTAAGGGCCCCAGATAGCACAAGCTATTCGAAAAGAATTCATTTGTATGTCACCAATTTTGAGTCCCTTTTCAAATACATATAAAATTCAGTTTACAAAATGAATTCTATATGTATTTGAAAAGGGACTCATTTTGTAAAATGAATTCTATATGTATTTGAAAAGGGACTCAAAATTGGTGACATACAAATGAATTTTTTTCGAATAGCTTGTGCTATCTGGGGCCCTAATAACCGGCGGAGATATCTCTGTTGCGACGTCGTAATAATTACGCTTGATGAATTTCTGAATCCTCGCATCTGAATATAAATCTACTCTTGTACATCTCTAACGTGACGTTAATAAGACCGCCTTTTAATTCGGCGGTTTTGACGATTTTTATTTAATAAAAGTAGGTTCGCGTAGGTCGTCCCGCTATAATATAATTTAATATAATCTCCATTATACTCTCTCGACTCGCCGTTAATTAATATGCCGATGAGAATGATCTATGCCATTTATCTCGCTCCGTTCCCGAGAAAAGCATTCACGAGCATTCACTTTGTTCGGGTGGGCGGCGGGTTAGCGGGTTACAGTTATACGATATTCTCGCCCATGCAAAAATCTCTATTTGAATATATTTATATATCTCACATTTAGCACAGAATTCCAACGTCACCTAAACGTTCCATTTTCAATCCGAAAGATTGTACGTGCGATTTTCGTATCAAACTATTATTAGAATCTATTATTAAAATCGACTTATTTATTATTATAGCGTCTCCATTTTGCTTCAAATAAATATTAGCATATACAAATAATAATATTATATTAATGATATGCAATAATAATACATTAATAATATTAAAAATAATATATAAATATAACAATATTATACATTATTAAAAATAATATTTAATATATATTATATATATATATATATATATATATATATATATATATATAATTTTTTTTAATGTGAGTCGCGCAATCTCTTCTTATTTTTCACGAGTCGTTCAGAGAGTGGGAATTCTTTTCCAGGGACCTGCGCTTCAACAGCATCACGGAGGTGCGACCGGGAACATTTCGCGGTCTCGACAAGCTGCACACCCTACTGCTAAACGACAACCACATCCGACGACTGGCCGCGGGCGCGTTCGATGGCGCGCCGAATCTACGGACACTCTACTTGTACAAAAATCGGATCGAGTACATCGCGCCGGGCGCGTTCGCGCGGCTGCCGCGGCTCGAACAGCTGTATCTACATCACAACCACCTGCGGGAGATACGTCCGGGCACGTTCAACGATCTGCCCGCACTCGAACGGCTCTTCCTTTATAGCAACAAGCTGCACCGGCTGCCGGCCGACGCGTTCATCAACGTCGGCCCGATGACGCGGCTTCGTCTCGACAGCAACGCCCTGATCTGCGACTGCAACCTGGTCTGGCTGGTCGAACGCACCAGGGACAGACCCACGGAGATGGCGGCGGTCTGTCAGTTTCCGCACAGGATGAAGGGTCGCTCCCTGACGACGATGTTACCCGAGGACTTTCATTGCAGTTGAGTAGAAGAAGGTCCCCCACCTCCTCCGCGAGGTTTATACATTTTCGGATATTGTGTACTCACTGTATATGTTTGATGTGATGTTTTGATGCCGTTGTAGCTCGATGATTATACCGCCGCGGTCGTTGACATCATTGCGGTTGCATGATGCCTGCAGGCATAATATCGCGTGACGATGCCTCGATGATTTGCGTGATTTCTTCATCGGAAGGTTGAATCGAGACTCCCATTCAATAATTTTAAAGCTTCCTTCTCAGTTCGATGATGAATGACAGTCGCGCGATCACGAAATTACGTCCATTAGCATCCATTTTTCGCAGGTTTCTCTATTGAAAAAAAAGTAATTAGCATGTAGCTAAATATTATGGAAGACTCGAAGGATAAATTTCACATCTCTTATGTATTTTTTAAATGATTATTTCGAGAGGAATAATCACACACGGAATATTTTTCACAACTAGAAGATGATGTGGTAATATAAATTGCCAAACATTAAGGATTCAAATCTTATTCATTTTTTTTATTCTCTGTCGAGTTTTTTCATGAATAATAGAAACACAAATTAGTAAATAAAGGAAAGAAAGAATAACAATGCATAAAATATAAATAATATTAACTTACTTAATTAATCCGCTTTTTAATTGCCAAAGTAACAACGAAGAATTCTTTTTGTAGCAAAACCGCGCATAATAGAAGACCCGGAAGATACCGCGGTGCAATTCGGCGAGACGATGACATTGAAGTGTCGAGTAACAGGCGATCCGACCCCGAAGATCAAATGGATGAAGGACAAATGGAGGTACTCGGATGCGGATGACGATGACAGCGGGAAGTACGTGATCCATGAGGACGGCGAGAAGTACGTGATCCGCGAAGACGGCACTCTGGTGGTCACCGATATGACCGAGCAGGACAGCGGGACGTACGAGTGCGTGGCCAGTAGCGATATGGGCTCGACCAAGTCGAGGAAGGCGAGAGCAGTGATCACGGCGACGTCCCACCTGATATTCGCCGAGAGGCCGGAATCGCAAAACGTCACCGTCGGCGCCAACGTGACCTTCTCATGCCGAGCGCTCAGCAAGCCCAGACCCAACATTAGCTGGCTTCGGGACAACCAATCGATCCCGTTCAGTGACCGAATCTCGCTCACAAACGACAATACCCTGCTGCGCATCCTCGCGGTCAAAGAGAGCGACGCGGGCAGGTACCAGTGTCACCTCAGAAACGTCGACAGAACCTGGATGGACCTCTTCGCAGATCTGCGCGTCACTGACTTTACTGCACCCCGATTGATTTACAAGCCGCAGGACATGGAAGCGGAACTGGATGCCACGGTCGAGGTACCATGCCGAGCCGAAGGCAGGCCGAAGCCGATAATACAGTGGAAGAAGGACGGCAGCGCAGTCGATGGCAATAGAATTAAGGTCACTCGCGGCGGGAGTCTTCTCATTTTCAACGTGATCCCGCAAGACACCGGCAGGTGAGATTGGGGTAATGTAACCTTGATCACACTAGTAATTATCAGTCTTCAACTCGAGATGATGACGATCTCTTGATGACTGCAAGCACAGATAATTAAAATCAGATAATGAATATCAGGACACGCTCCTTTGTTACAAGTCTCTGCATAACAATGTTGCGCTTTTACAGATACGAGTGTTCAGCCATAAATGATTACGGCCGTGCAACTGCTGATGCTCTGGTACGCGTTCGGCAATTTGATGCGACAGACACGCTCGTGATACGAGCTTTCCAGAGCGCCACCGAGGAGATCGATCGCGCCATCAATAAGACGTTGACATCCTTATTCAATCCTGACAACTCGTCCAGGCACGTCAATCCGTACAGGCTAGCACGGTTCCCGAATGCAATCAGTCGCGCGGCTGCCAGACCTGCCGAGCTGTTCGAGAGGACCCTTGTCAACATACGACGTATGGTGAACGCCGGCGCCAAAGCGAACGTGACTACTGAGTTTCGTTACGAGGAGTTCCTGACGCACGAACAGGTAAAAAAGATAAATATAAGACCTTATGCGATAACGAATCGCACCTAATCGGAAATCTAAGATCCCGTTTCCCCGTTTCAAGGTCCAAAAAATTGAACAATTATCTGGATGCACTGGTCATAGACATCGGCAGAATTGCACCAACAGGTGCTTCCATCGCAAATACCGCACCATAGACGGCAGTTGCAACAATCTGCGTCATCCCACTTGGGGCTCGTCACACACGGGATTCCGTCGAGTGTTGCAGCCCATCTATGAGAACGGTTTCTCGACGCCGATCGGTTGGGAGAAGGATCGACGATATTTCGGTTACGCGAAACCAGCCGCGCGTCTCATATCGACCACCCTGATATCTACTCATGACATCACGTCCGATCATCAGATCACCCACATGGTGATGCAATGGGGCCAGTTCCTGGACCACGATCTCGACCACGCGTTGCCATCAGTGTCGAGCGAGTCCTGGGACGGAATCGACTGCAAGAAGTCATGCGACAACGCCGCACCTTGCTTTCCGATGGAGGTTCCACCAGGTGATCCGCGGGTCAACAATAGACGGTGTATCGACTTTATAAGAACCAGCGCCGTCTGCGGTTCAGGCGCGACCAGCGTCTTATGGGGCGGCCTGACACCACGAGAGCAACTGAATCAGCTAACCAGCTACCTAGACGCGTCGCAGGTCTACGGCTACAACGACGAAGTGGCGCGCGATCTGCGTGATCTCACGACGGATCACGGATTATTGCGGGAGGGTCCCACGATTCCCGGTCACAAGCCTCTGCTGCCGTACGCGGCCAATCAGTTCGTCGACTGTCGCAGGAATCCGCTGGAGAGCTCGATAAACTGCTTCGTCGCCGGTGACATTCGCGCAAACGAGCAAGTCGGCCTGCTAGCCATGCACACCATATGGCTACGCGAGCACAACCGTCTCGCTCGCGCGTTACGCGAGATGAATCCGCACTGGAACGGCGAGAAGCTGTATCAGGAAGCCAGACGTATCGTCGGCGCTGAGATGCAACACATTACTTATCAGCATTGGTTACCCCGGGTATTCGGTCCGACGATCAACGACTTTGTGTCGTCTTATCGCGGTTACGATCCCAGTGTCGACGCCAGTATATCCAACGTCTTCGCCACCGCGGCTCTGCGCTTCGGTCACTCGCTCATCCAGCCGCGTCTCGAGCGTCTGAATGCCTCGTACCAATCGATTCCTCAGGGTCCTCTAGATCTACGTGACGCCTTCTTCGCGCCATGGAGACTGGTGGATGAGGGTGGTATCGATCCCCTGATCCGTGGTATGTACGCCACCGCAGCGAAGCTGAAACTACCAGAACAGAATCTCAACGTCGAGCTCACCGAACAGCTGTTTCGCAGCGCGCACGCGGTCGCGTTGGACCTAGCGGCGATGAATATTCAACGGGGACGAGATCACGGAATACCCGGATATCTGGAATGGCGCGATTATTGCAACATGTCGCGCGCGGAGACGTTCGAGCATCTGGCCGGCGAGATTAGCAGCGGTCGGGTGCGACAAAAGCTGCGCGAATTGTACGGCCATCCGGGCAACATAGACGTCTGGGTCGGCGGGATTCTGGAGGATCAGTTGCCAGGCGAGAAAGTCGGGCCGCTGTTCAAGTGTCTTCTGCTGGAGCAATTCCAACGCACCCGGGACGGCGATCGATTCTGGTACCAGAATCTCGGTGTCTTCCGCGCGGAGCAACTCGCGCAGATCCAGCAAGTGTCGCTCGCCAGAATCCTCTGCGACAACGGCGATAACATCACTCAAGTGCAACCAGATGTGTTCCTGCTGCCCGAGGGTCGCAACAACTTCGTCAGCTGCGACGAGATTCCCGACATGGATCTGAACGCGTGGTCCGACTGCTGTGACAACTGCGAGGACGGCGACAACACGATTTCTCGCGTGCGCAGGGAAGCTGAGAAATACCTCGCGCCTGATCGCGACTATGCAAGGAACGTGGAATCGTTAAATCCTAACGAAAAAGTGAAATACTTGGAGAGTATGCTGGAGAAAAGCGATCGGGATGCTAAGAGATTGCGAGAGCAGGCTCACGACTTATTGCAGACAGTAGGAAAACTTAGGTCATTATTAGAAGACGTTAAAACGCGATAATAGGTGAATCGTGTTAAGCTGCCCGTGCTTGGATCGTCTTCCTTCAGCTGCAAGGTAAGCGAGCTCTTGCACTTTCTCTGATATGTCTTACTTTTCTCTTGCATTTATTAGAAATACTCGCAACACAATGTAAATAGAAACGCACAGATAACAATAACGCTGCGCGATCTTTCTTATTAGTAATGCAACTATAGCACAAATTGTAATTGTATGCGCGTATCGCAGCAAAACTTAAATATTTACAATGATCTACTAAAAGATGTATTAAAATATAAAAATATATTCCATTTTTTATTATGTACTTAATGACACATTTGGGTCTGTTAAGTTATTACCGAATAATTTCATTTTTTAGTTGGCGCAACATATTTGGTATGTTGTCCACGGGCAACGACATCCTTACCGTCGTTCTTCGTCAGCTCCACCGCAAGAAACGCCAAGGTCTTACCAGCACGTATAGTCTCAGCATTGACGGTAACTACATCACCAGGAAGCGCAGCCTTCAAAAACCTGTGCCATCAAATGTTCATTTTACTGTATATTATAAGCATTTGTATGTGTATTTTGTATTAATGAAAATGATTAAGTTACAATTATCATATGTTTTTCAACTCTTCTAGGTTTCTCCCAATACACATCTCGTCTTAGATTATGTATATATTTATCAACATGAAGAATAAAGATTCGATTTATCAAAATATTGAGAAAATAATATCAATGTGTAAAAAACATCGCAATTATATTAACTGTATGCATCAATGCTACTAAAATATAATAAAATATAATTGAAATAAAGAAATCTTAAATATAATTGAAATAATCTAATAATAAAGATTTTTAGACTTAGATTCTTACGTCACATGCAGGTCTACAGAAGCTCCAGTAGTATTAAGATTTTTATAAGATGTAAGAGCGTAAGAAGATATAACATCTATAACAGAACTAGTGAAACCACCATGTAGAGTGCCAAAATGATTTAAATGCTCTTCAGTCACAGTGAATTGTGCTTTACACTTTCCATCGACATTTGATAGTATTTGTACCTGTTAAGAAAAAGATATATACATATATATACAGTTATGTACAAAATAATAGCACCGATTAAAAAAATAAGGGGAATTTGTATGTTTCCCCCATCATGTTTAACTGTCTTGACTCTAAGATTAAATTCTGACTTTTATGATCTTTGAACAAACTGACGAATATCAGGAAATCTTTTAATAATCACTTTTTGATGGTGAAGGAAATATACAAATTCCCCTCATTTTTTCAACCGATGCTATTATTTTGCACATACTGTATATGTGTGTGTAACAATATAATACAGTTTCAATAGAGAAAATGGATTACATATTTACATTCATATCATTTTGTTACATGTTACAAGTGTATAAATGTACAAACTGAAATTAGAAACATTAATCTATATTTTACTTTTATATATATATATATATATATATTTATTTTTATTTTGAAATCTCAATTTTCTTTATTATTTATTTGTCTAAAAAATGAATAAATTGTAAATAATTAAAAAATGGAAGAAAATACTAAAATAGATACTTTTTTATCAAAACATTGAATTCTGTTAAAAAATTAGCGGAAAAGATATCGTGTATAAGAAAAAAAATTGAAAGTGAGCTTGAAAAAAAATCTTACAGTAATTTTTAACAATAAAAATTTGTTGTTTTACTAACAGTAGCATATTCAAAATGATTATAAAGGTAAAATCATAAAATATGCAAGGTAAAATTTTAAAATATGCAAATTCAAGATAAGTGAATGATAAATGTCATTAAAATATATAGATTACATGTATAATTGTTATTGATGAATTGAATTGAATGGCACACACTTGTCAGACTTACATTTTTTAGACACCGATCGAAACCTTTGCTGTTCACCGATTTCTCGAATGCGGTATGCAAAAATCTCATCTTTTGTAACATGATTGAATTTCTTAGATTTTATACAATTTTTCTCAATAATCTCGCGTACACTCCAAACTATAAATAAATACGTACACGCACGGAGTTAAATAGTCACTTGATCAAAGTTCTATTTTTTCACGGTTAGACGTGCGCAAAACATTTTTTCCTTTTTGTAAAGTTCCGCTCATCACAAGAGATATAAAATATGTAGATGGAGTACTAGTAGGAATAAGGTTATATTTTAACCTGACAAAAATGGAGGAGATTTTGCGCGCTATTTTTTGAAAAATGTATAAATATAAAATGTTATCAGTAACCAATATTCGTACGATGACTTCGTATATTCGTTAAACGATTATTATGTAGGCATTTATTATCATATGGAATAAATAACACATATAATACCACAGAGAATTATAAAGGAAATAAAAATTATTTATTTCTGCTTATTGGAAAAGTTGATAATAAAAGTATATCTCAAAAATATCAAGAAATATTAATAGGATTACCATTGGTATCTAATAAATGATCCTCTGGATTATCAAGATATTTAGGCCCATCTCCCACTTTAGTATGTATTATGTATTTAAGTTGTCCCGGTTGTTGTTTTTGGAACTTTAGATTCTCCAGTAAGTCCTACACAAAAGTGAATGTAAAAATATTGCCTATTCAAATAATTACTATTCTGAATTGCTTATAATACTCGAAATACATACTTTTGTAGGTTTGACTTCTTCGATAGGTAATCCTCTTTTGTATTCAATCGCAACATTTTCAAGAGGAGGAAGGAAATGATTTAGAACACCTATCACTGTTGGCACATCCTTCTCTAATAAATATAGTGTAGCATTTGGTCCAGCATCAAAAGTGTAAGCAACCTAGCAATTTTTCTTAATGAGAAAAGAATTATGTATCTAACAAATTATTTCATACTATAATTTATTTAAAAAAGTGCAAATAAGATATAATAAAGATATTTTGTACCTTTACATCATTAACTGCATCGTTATAGGAATGTATAAGATTCATGATACTGGTAGAAATATCGTTCATATAAACACATGGAGGATATGTATCAAGACACACAGCATGCATCTGATTCGAATCCTTCATAGTGAGTTCAGCAAAAGTTTTGAAGTCCTTCTCAACGATTGCCTGTTGAATTTTATTAGTTCTTTCCAGAACTGTATGTGTTATCCTATATTGCAGAAATTCAGACGTTTCCATACTTCGTTTCATACCTATTGCACTTGGAACCTTCTTCTTTTCATCATTCACCTATAAATTTAAATTAATATTTTACAAATTATTAAGTATCTTTTTATATATTCATTAAATACACCCACTCATATATATTTTTACATAGAGAACTATTTTTTTGTCCTTACAACTAGCACCAGAATCCTCATCTCCGGCCAGTGAGAAGCAGGCACAATCTGCTTTGCCAAGCTGTCTGTTCCATACTTATCTACACCCATATGCCATCTCACAAAACCACCCATAATACTACGACAAGCTGACCCAGAACCAGAACGCGCTATAACACTAATGTCTCCCTATAACAAATGCTTATTTTAATAATATAACAATTTTTTAATTGTATTAAATAGAAATTACCTCTACTTTATAAAGCTTGGCTAAAGCTGCTGCAAGACATGCGTATCCTGCTGCACTGGAAGCTAGACCGGCAGCAGTTGGAAAATTGTTCTTGGAACAGATGTGAATCTTCCAGTCATTCATATAACCAGGTAATTGCGAACGTTGCTTAACTTGAAAAAAAAAGAAATTTTAAAAATCTTATTTACAGCATATATATCTTTAATCAATTTTTCCCTGAATTAACTTACTCTCTTTCAAACAATTTTGAAGTCTTGGATTTTTTATATCTTCTTCCCTGAAAATATATTTTATATATTATAATATGAATATAACAAAAAATATATAAGTGTAATGAAAATCAATGTTATCAATTACTTTTCATTCAACCAAATATGATCTTCCTTGAAATCAAGACTAATCATGACAGTAGTTTTTGCGTGTAGCTATGAACAAAATAAAACAAGAATGTGTGTTAATTTGCTTTGCCATAGACCTTTAATATTTATTTTGACTTGGAAATTTAAATTATATTTACCTGATCCGTGTCTAAAGTAGCACTTATAGAATCATTGGTTGGTAGAATTAAAGATTCATTTCTCTTTCCCCCTTAAACCATAAATATTTGAAAAATTAATTTTATCCTTGAAAAATATAAAAATAAAACTATCGTGTAAGAGGAAAGACATTTTCATATATTATCATTACAATTGCTCTGATAAGTAGCTATTCAAATGTAAATACTTTGTACAGTACAAACTGCTCTCAAATACTGCTCGAAATTATAAAAAAATATATGTGTAGAAATGTAAAGTTAACAATAATGAATTCGTTACAATGCATCTATTATTTATAAATTTAAATAAATCGTATGAAATTTTTAAAAAACGACTAGTATCGCTTTAACTAGAAATTCGAGAGATTGACAATATTTTTTCTATATAGATAATGCGTTATCTATAATATAATCGAAAATAATCTTATCGTAAATATCTTTTTTTTTTTAAGAAGTCTAAGAAATTTTATAAATAATAAAAACTTGCAAAATTTTAAAATGCAGCTTAATGTAATATAGTGAATGTTTTATTTGATTTTATGGAAAATAACATTATCGTACAATTAATCGCTAATTAAATACTATAATAAATTATGTGATTGCATAAGCACATACAATATTTAATAACTGCAATATTAACCGGTGCAATGCACGTAACGGTATTCATGATTAAAATTTGTATACACTTGCACTTCCTGTCCAACTACTATCGCGACTGCGGCTTCAAATCGTCTGCGTGAATTTATATACGAGGTGGGGAGAAAGGAAAGAGAGAAGGGGATCCACGTGGCACAAACGATATATACATTTCTATTGAACTCAATGAATTATGAATTTTAAATAAGCTAGACATTTTTCTCACAACCAGACTGCTTTAATTTAGTGCCTATCTATTCAAAAAAATCAATACACGTTAATCAAATTTCTTTGTATATAAATTTATTTGTATATTATATTTTTACCTAATAACATTTGCTAACATATTCTTTTCATGTAGAAATAAGTTATAAATATATATTCAAAACTATACACATTGAAAAATTCTTTCTCTCCACAATTATTATTATTATAAGATTTACCAGCGTTCACTAAACTATCACATAGTTTAAAACAAATGATGAAATGTGTATAAAAGATATACAATTTTTTGCCATAGATATTTCAAGTTCCCAAGATACTTAAAGTTCTCTTTAATATTTTAACTAAATCATAAATAAAAAAATGACGCACAACCTTGAACACACATAAACATTCCTCTTGGATAAATGAGGAATCTGAATAGAGAAATATACGATCTGCAATAAATATTACGTTATATATACTACACGCGTGCAATAGAATAAAATAAATATTTGTTGAAGACTATGCTGGATTAGATGGTAATCCCATAGACCATGCATCCAATAACTTTTTGTCCTGAGGTCCAGCACCCAAACTGAGCATCAGTCCAGAGAGATCACCACGATGACCTCGTCCGCGCATCGCGTGAACAACTTTCGCGATACTGCAACAATAATGAAAATTCAGTTAATACTCAGTAATTTAATAAATAACATTTGTCTTAAAATAATATATATAATATATATTGTTATTATAATATATTATATATACAGTGATCGAAATTTCCATAGTTCCATGTAATATTACAAAAGATACGTGGAACTATGAAAATTTCGGGCACTGTATATAATATATAAATAATAATATAATTCACTAGAGAGAAATAATCTCTAGTATTAAGAATTTATTCAATCAAAATACTTTAAATAATGGAATTGTAAATGGAATTTATACTTGGCCCATTCTTCCAAAAGGGTTGCAAAATGTGCTTTGAGAACTGAATTTCCGAGTTTCTCATTGTCGAGTGATTTTTCAATCTTCGTTAACAAGGTTGGTAATTTTGATGGTAATGCACCGGTCCATTTAACTATATGGGATTTTGCATCTTCGATTTTGTGTTCTTCAAGTATAATATCGAGCCTGCATACACTTGCACAAGGTAAAGGAATCGCCACTGAGGTATCTACGCCTAAAGATTTGAATGTTATATACATTACGAAATTTTTTTAGAAATAATTAATCATATTTTTCTAGAATAATACGATACCAATAAAGTTACACATGTCAGGATCCATATATTCCGATGTTTCTGCTTTCACCCTTCGACATGCTCTTGGGATAAGACTGCTAAGTCCATACAAAGATTCCAATCTTTGAATTTTCGGGCCTCTCACCAGGACTTGCACGCCAGTTAGGCAGGAATACAGCAGCTGTCTAAACTGATCCTTCCCCAGTATTTGTTTCAAATGTCGCAAAATTACGGCGATAGATTTTTCCGTGATTTCAGAAAATTCTGGCAAAAGTTCTGAGTCATCCGAGTTAAGATTTAAATTTATTGGCAATTTTGCGTTTACTAAAGTAAAATTTTCTTCTGTTTCTACAAATTATTTGCAACATTAGAATTTCCATTAAGAAAAAGATGTGTTTATAATGTCAACTATATTATAGACAAATATATAATTGCTAACCAATTTGATGTTCAAAATTATAATTAAGTTCATCATCTAATAAATTCATTGGAAAAATTTCTATGAAATGCCTTGCACCAGCACTAAGGATCCATACTAACCACATGTGAATTCTGAAACAGATACATGTAAGATGTGATTAAAAGATAATATTACTAATTTATTATAAATAATTGTATATATATTTTTTTTTCTATTACAACTTATATTTATATATTAATAGTTACCTTACAAAAACGTGTTTTTCATTTGTTATATCAGTAAGTGTTCTGGGTTGCTTAGTTATAGGACCATGACCACCTGCACTATTATTTGCTGTTGTTAACCTCATTGCTCTCTGTGGGCATTCTGCTTCTTCTGCATTATATCTTTTCTCTGCAAAATCTTGCAGCTCTCTAATTACTTCCTTTAAATTATCAATTAAAAATGGCCACATGTTTAACAAAAATTGCTTATCTCTCATGAAAACAATAAAACTGCACCACCTCCTAAATCCTCTTGCCTGTTAAAAGAAAATATATATTAACATAAAAAAAGTTGAATATTATAACAAAATGTTAAGCTCTAATGATTTCAGTAGTGACATGATTTGAAAAATTTGTTGTAATAACTACCAAACATGCTTTTTCGTTGCATAATTCACCTGGGCATCTTTCAATGTAAAAGTATGACTTAAAACATGCCCCCTGTATTCATCTCCAAAGTAGCAAACACCTTCCTTACCAGGATGCACTTCACAGCTTAGGCTCCTTGAAAAAAGAAATTGATAATAATGAAAAAGTTTTCTTAAGAATTATATATATTAAATAATATGTTTAATATTTCACATAAAAAGAACTTTAATTTATAATGAAAGTAAATTGATAATTGATAATAAATTTTAGGAAATTCTCTTAATATAACTTTAAAAATTTGTAAACTGAATGCCATCATTGTACCTAATGCAAGCATGTTTTAACAAATTTCCAATATCTTGCATCAATGATTGCTGAGCAGATAGGAAAGATGTTCTCGTTTCATGCTCGTTGCTCAAGTATTTCACATTTCCAATACTTTGACAGCCCTCACACTCATCCTGAACGTCCTCCATAATATTATGGCTTTGTCTTAATACTTCTTTGGGTCCATAAAATTTCAATTTTTCTACGTTTTGAGTATCATAGTTACGATACGTTTGTGTAGTAAATATCACTTTAGGTCCATGCATTTCACAGAAAGTGCACAATGCAATTGCAGCATTCATTGCTTTTGAAAGGCACAAGGGTTTCTGTGAATCTTTTTTATTTATCTCAGATAACAGAATTCACAGTATTATAATTATTTACATGATCCTTGTTAATCTATAGATTGTATAGCCTAAAATCATATCTCACATAAATATATATACACAATTATCTTCACTGAACATTTATAAAATTAATAAAATTACGAATATTAATAAAATTACATATTTGTAAAAAATAATATTTTATAATGTTGTTAAAATATTGTAATACATTATCATTCTCCAAATGTGTAACTACTACATATTCTCATACACAGAATATAATTCATACAAACATATGTTACTTGAATATGATTATAATTGCAATATAAAATTACATTAAATGATCTAATTTGATAAAATGCTATTTATAAAGAATACTTGAAGAATTAAAGAACAAACATATACATACAAACTTTATATTAAAATACATATATGTATCTTTAAATACATGGCACATGAGATAATAAATAGAATTTTATTCTGAATATTTTTGCAAATTAGAGATCAAAATGTGTTCTGTGATTCACAAATTTAAAACAATTTACATAATTGATGAAAATATCATAATAATTTATGACATAACCTTAACCAAAATATTTTTATAACATAAATCTCATCAGTTACTTGTTTGCTTGTAGATTGTTCAGCAAAACTTGACAGCAAAGTTAATTTTTTTCATCCTTTTCACGTGATAAAACAAAAATGAAGTCGAGGCAGAGACACGTGACATTATGATAGCTAATCTCGACATTGGCTTGGCAAGATGAGAATATATATATACATATCATACACATGTGTAGGACAACATATGTACATGTATATATACGTATATACTACACATATGCAAACACAAAACTAAATTTACACAATTGCATATCGGGTTGCCGATCAAAAGGTGCTTGACATATGTCAAAATGATCTCATGCATAGAAGCTATATAATGTATATATATATATATATATATATATATATATGTACTTCTTGTACATACATGATCTTAACAGAATAAAAGATGTATGTGGAAAGAGAAAAATAAAAGAGAAGATATTTTATTTCTTTTCTTACACATCAAATTCACAGCCAAATTTTAATTTAAAACCTTCATAAGCAGCTCTCATCCATATACCTACAGCATGTGCTCCAGGATCTGGATACTTGAATGTCTATAATGTATAAATTACAATTTTATCAATTATAATTAATTTTATTATTAATTATAATTTTTTAAGTATTTAAATCAATATTACATAATATGTATAAAATGTTTTAGTTAAATAGTACCTTGCAAATTGTAGAATCAACAGAATGTGATCCTGACATGTGCACAGTTTGCATAGCAGAAGTTTCAGCAGCCTTGACAGCTTCTCCAAATGCATCAATTGGTTTCGAGCCCGAATTCAATGCATCTTTTAATTTATGTTGCACAGGTATTAAGGCATCCAGCATACTTCGTTCACCGATTGATGTTCCACTAACTTCGGATATCATTTCGTTTGCAGATGTCAAGACACTTAACCACATGTTTGCAGTCAATTGCTCATCATCTTGAAATCTAAGAAAGCTCTAAAATATATTTCAAGATTTCTTTCCTCAGACTTAAAAATTAAAAAGAGATTACTGATCTTACCTTTGCAATAGTATAAAAAAATAATGAATATATTCCACCTTCTAAGCCACCCATTTCTCTCTCAATAATTCGACTTATCTGTGTAAATGTTATAAAAGGTCTTGTTGCTGAAATTCTACCTTCCTATATAAAATAATATATAATTATATATAAATAAGATAATAGGCAATATATAAAATAATTACTATCATTCAAACCATATTTGTATTATCATTTATGTCACCTTAATTGCTTCTTTTATGACACTGGCACTATGAGCAAGTGTAGTTCCATAATTTCCATCACCGCATTCCTCATCCATTATGTTCAGTTGTCTAACACATGCTATTACAGAGTCGCATGCAAATGTTAAGACTACAAGAAATGCTGAACCACTCTGAGGATGTATCATTGGTCCTATATTAGATACACTATTTTTGCTTGTGGTCTGCAATTAAAAGATTTATTGAATTATATACATTATACATGTAATTAATAGCAAAATATTTACAAAAATAATCAGCAAAAATAATAGCAAAATAATTACAAAAAATATAATTAATAATTAATATACAATTAAATGTGACTTGTAATAATTACTTGTGAATTTTGTGACGTTATTTCATCGGTCTTCATCGTAAAATCTGTAAAATAAATTTCTGTTTTTGCATGAAGCATATATAAATACCTACTCTTACCATATAAAAGCTAATATAAACAAACCTTTATTCCGTCCTCCCTCTAATTGGAACAGCTGATTTTACGCTTGCGCGAAAGAACTTCTCCGTCTGACAAGTCAGAAGAGATTTCGTTGACCAGATGATTTCAATAACAGATCAAATAATTTCGGAATTCGCGCGAATTCAATGACAAGCTTAGATAAGCTTCGATTCTTACACGCGTATCGACATATTAAAAAAAAAAGGAACGAAAAGTGAAAGTGAAAAAATATTAAAGTAATATAATTATACTGAAATAATTATGGTGAAAAGTTGTTGCGTCGTAAGTTGCAAGAATACTTGGCAGCCAAATAGCAGCATAACCTATCACAAGTAAGATACATATGCAAATATATATTTACATGCATTAAAAGAATGAAATTGCATATATACGTGACAATTGATTGACAGATTTCCTGTGAAAGACGAGGCAAGGTTTGCACAATGGATGTTAATCAATGAATTACGAGACATAAAAGTGACACCTGCAAAACGCATTTGTAGTGCACATTTTACCACAAAGTCTTTTGAAGAACACTGTGTGGTAAAAAGATTAAAAAAAGATGCAATTCCTTCTATTTTTGGAAACACTATTCATGTGAGTCTTTTCTAAATTATTTAGCTAGTCTTGGTGTTGAGTAATTATTTAATTTATATATATATATATTTTTTTTTTAGCAGATGGATATTTCTGAAGAAGCAGAGGATGTGTTAGAAGAAGTTTGTATAGATAACATATGTGAAAAACAAATAAATCTATTGGATAAGGTATGTATATTTAGAATTTAATTAAGTATACAAATTTATTTAGATTTAGAAGTGAAATGGGAACAACCTATTACATTCATAGCATTAAGAAGTTCTAGTGTGAGTGTGTTGTGTATAAATCTAATTTATTAATTTATTATCAAATGATATATTTTAGAGTATGAGCACAGAAAGAAGTATGCATGTTTCTGTTCAGACATCATGTACATATTTTGAGGATCGCAAAAATTTATTGTACTTGCGGAATAAAGTAAAAATACTGAAACAACAATTGAGGCGAAGAAATTTAAGGATTGCCAGTATGCAGAAAATTATTCATCATTTGACTGATAAGACTGATAAGACTTTGAATAAAAAAGAGATACATAAGGTATTACAACAGCATTTTAAATGGAAATTTTTTAATTTATTTCAAAATAAGTTTAACAAATTTACAAAGCTAATTACATGTGGTTTTTATTTATTAATTAATTATCTCTTTCACATATTAGGTCTCAAAAACTGATCTCTGTTCTAATGGAAGGAACACAGTTATTGTTTTCGGATTACATGAGGATTCTGTACTTCGTAGAAAGATAAATATTAAGAAATATTATTTTTTGAATAGTGAGCAACAACTATGTATATATTGGGTCAGTTTTAATCCATAGATATTTTTGTACTCATATCTCAGAAAAATTTTTTGTTTCATATTTAAAAATTTTTAAATGTTACTTATAGTACATGTTTATCAAAGAAAAAAATATAAAAGATTATATATTTATATATATTACATATATAAAATTGGATTAAATAAATACTATTGATCTAATTCTGTATGACAATATTTTTGTCAATTACAAAATATTTACATATTAATATTCTTTTTCAAATATCACATTGGAGATTTCATGAAAAATATTAAAAATAAAGATAATTGTTGAATGAATAATTATAATCCACAAATTTAACTATTATAAAGTTTTAACTTAGATAATGAGTTTAATAATAACAAAAATCTAACAATATAAATTTTTCTTGCAATATCAAATATATATATATGTATATATAGTTATATATAAATTTCGTTTGTACATCTGTATATTTTTAGATATGTAATCTATTAATATTTATTGCCTTATAAGAACGCGCAATTGGAGGTCACATGGATGTCAAATGGAGAATCAATGGATATAAAAAAAAAGAAAAGAAATGTGGCGTGTATAAAGAGATATTTATTCATGATCGTGTGTAATTCAGCCGCGCGTGGCCGAATTTGATTTATTACACTACATCACGACTACTCCTGCGAGCTTTGCTTTGTCGGACGCGTGATATATATATGGCATATAAATTGTCGCTAATCGGAGACCCGATTATACATATACAATTGCTCGACAAATACGTAACAATGCGAGAAATAGACAATTTAATCTGCCATAATATAACAATTCGATGGGCAAACTCTGCAATAGATCTCTATTTACTAACTGCGAGCTGGCGCGAATAACAATATGTGACTCTCAGCGAACAATAACAATATGACAATTCTCTTACATATTATCAGTCTACGAGTTTATGCTAAAAATCCTTTTGCTCATACATAAAAGTATATTCAGACATAATCGGCGTAACAGTACCCGTAACATTGTCATGCATTCACGCGATATCATTGCATGCAATATGTACAACCATTTTTTTTAGGATTAAAAAATTCATCAACTTCACGCAGGATTCACACAACGGGTCTTCGCTCATATTCAACTATTTTGGTATATGCATTGGTATACACTGCATGACGTCCTCGGGGCTTCAGTTGCTTGTGTGTGATGATTCTTTTAAATCTAATGAAAAAAAAACTCAAGTATATTTTCTCTAACATGATGGGACGTTTGCATTCGCATATATTCTTGTTATTCTACTTATTGTCTACCAAAAGTTTCGTAAAACTTTGTTGCTGCTGTTTCTCGAAGCTCTCTGTACAAGAAGCACAGTTAAACACATTCTCCGCGTGCTTATTAAAATTGAGCAATTCTAATTCAATAGTGCAACAAAATAGTTATTTATAGTCTGTAAAAATGCATATAAACAATAATAGTTTGTAACAATCTGATAATGAACAATTTTATAATCACTAATGATATTTACTGCTATTGCATACGCCCATGCATTCTCGAAGCTCGTGAATATAACTAGTTTATTGCTTTTTTTCTATTTTGTAACAAATAAGACGCGGTCGTAGTAATTCGAGCGTAGTATTACACACGATTCGAGCGATATTAATTTGACAAGATATAATACCTTGAACTTTCATCCGAGTAATTTATATTTAAACCACTCTGTTTATACCAATTTTCAGACCCGGTCAGACTTAAAACGCGACACTGGCTAATTTGTGTAATGTAACAGTTGCTCCCAATTACAGACTACTTTCAAGTACATCCTTAGGAAATCGTTTTCAGTTTTCTGAATGTCTCAGAGCGACTTCGTGATGTTGTTATACAATCGACTGCCCCACCAAGTTTCCAAATCAAATGGTTTAAAGTCTGAAATAATTTATTCATATTGTAGCAACTTTCAGAATTTTACAGTACAGTTAATTATTGTGAGTATAATGAGAAATAAAGATAATAATTAATGCTATAACGTATTCATTTGTATAAGAAAAAATAGAATTGTAAATAGTGATATTATCACTTACCTTGAAGATTATCATTTGGTTCACCATCATTGTAATATACTATTGAATTAGAATCTGTAGCAAGAAAAACATGTAATATATTAAAATATATTCGAATGTTTTTCCTTAGAAAATACATTTATGTATAGAACTAAAAACCTCATAGTATAACAGAGATGGAATGATTTTGTTCATGAAAAAAATAAGTAAAAAAAAAAATTTTTTTTTTAATTATATGTATGTTGATTGCAGTTGAAAAAAAATTATTTATATATAAAAATACCTGTATGTATGTTGATTGCAGTTGAAAAAAATTATTTTAAATATAAAAATACCTGTAGATGTGTGTATGTGTACGCGAAGAAAATGACACATAATACTGTGATTGCAAATCATTATCTAACGATAAGTTTGATCTGCCATATTAGTATTACTTACTGCAAAGTTCTGTACATTCTGTGCCATTGCAACATTCGCATCTTTGCAACGTGCTAACTTGATTCCATGCTATCAAAAAGAATAATAAAAATTTGACTTAATTTTAGAGAGAAAATAAATATAATATCACATTGATTACATATGTAAGATCTTTATTTTCTCTTTAAACTTACGAATTTTGTATTAGCAATAAACCTCTCTTTCGCAAAATTTACACAATTTTTTCTATCACACTTTATTTAGTCTATTCATTTTATACTTCACGTTCAAGAAAACAACTATCTATCTCATGCATGCAAAATCTTTTTTACCTACATTGTTGAATAAATAAGATAAGTTCCATGTGCTGTGGTGAGATATTTTCTTGCATTTGATGTCGCTGTGAGATGAGCTTTGATTTTCCATTCATAAGGAAGACCGGTACATCACTGTGAGCGTGAAATATATGAAAAGACCTTATTATAGATAATAATGAAACAAATAATTTGTTTTTGTCATGCATTATTACACACACTTACAATCTTATGTAATATATATGATGGATTGTTGAAGTTGTTTTTGTCATGTAAATATATAGGAGTGATTTATAAATGTTTGCGTTTTATGTGAACAGTTACAAAACGTACTTCACATAGTTAGCATATGATGTAATATGTAATAAAAGACTTTATTTAAAAAAATTTTTTATTTAAAACAAAATAAATTAATTTACGAACATTTTTACGAGCGCAATTAGAATTGGTCCATATAAATGTTAGGATTTCTTTTCTCATTATATTATTTCATCTTACTTCTTTCTTATTACATCACATGCTCTATAGCACTCTAAAAAAACATGTAAATCATTGCGCAAATTTTTTACAATTGCATATTGCATGAAATAAAACGAGAATTCTCGATAAGTGACATATGAGTATTACAAGATAAATTAAAATATCGCATAAATTGGAATATAATTACTAATATATGTATAAAACTCGGGCAATTTTCCACGAGGTTTCTCATTATCATTATCAGAAAAGCCAAACTATTTTTTGTAAAGTCCATAATTTTCGAGCATGAATCTGTTGAAATTAAGAAATTGATGAAAAAACAAAGTTGATTAATTTGACTTCTGAGAGATTCATACGATGCATTGCGTAATGCGCGGCACGCTGGGGGAGAGGTGGAGAGGGGGCAGGAAGGGAAGAAACGCATGGAAAATGCAGCGTTCGAAAAAGGGAGCCAAGATCACACAACATGTATCTCATTCTCTCTCTATAGACCTCTCACCGGGTGATCTCGTGGTCATCCTCGGGATCGGCCTTCCTCGTCGTGTCGCGTAGAGTTTCTAGTCTCTCGAATTTCTGACTGATCCCTAAAATGTCACGAGAAAATTCAGAAGAATCGGTCAATTTTTTTCTTTTCGCGATTCCTCTCCGCGAGAAAAAATCGAGTACCTCGTCGTGTTTTCGCTACGAGTCCCTTGCTGGGTCCCTTCGACACGGCATACATGATCCTCGGATGCGTGCAGGAACCTTCTCTCGCGTGCCCGATGTCCAGATCATCCGCGAACGGGTCCTCGCTACGCTTGTCGCGTGCCCACGGACGAAAAACGTTGCAACAAACCGTGCGCACTCGCCTGCCGATAGCAGCGGAGGCAAGAAACCCGGCGATATTCCCGGCTCACCACCACGCTTACGAAATCGCCGAAGACTGGTGCTGCTCATGATATGATGTTGCACATCTGAACGAAGGGGCGAGCGGGAGAGACGGGGCGAAAGTGGAGGAGGAATATCGCTCTGATGTCGATATATCGATATGCTCGCTTATCAGCATATACCTTCTTATCGGGGGATTGTTGTTCCTTATTGTGATAAGATATGTAAACATCTTGTTTTCTGGAAAAATTATTTTAAGATATTTATTGTGTCATCACTTATCTAGTTAAATTTTTAATTGATTAAAAAAAATTCCAATGCATAAGATTTATTCAATATCAACAAATTCAAAACACGTCAGAGTAGTTTTTATATTTTTCGGATATAATAAAATTATATAATATAATAAATATATATTATATAATAAAAATTATATATATATATATATATATATATATATATATATAAGATAAATGTAATACAAAAGAATAAAAGAAAAATAAAAATGATAAAAGAAAATTTTGACATTTGAACAAATATATAGAAAATACAGAGACAAAAAATTTGGTTATGATGCACAGTTTTATTTTCTGCGTAAGTGAAGAGTACATATTATATCCTTATTAACTGCGAGTTCAGTCAATACAGGCACCGCAGGTGTACTTTTTTCTTTTTTTAACCATCTATTCGCCCTAAGTATGCATAAATACAGTATAGAAACATAAGCAAATAAACTTAAAAATTAACAATATTGAATGTTTTTGGGATTAAATAATAAAATTCTGATGGATAAAGCTAAAATATCACTTTTTCTCAAGAGCTGTCACATAAGATATGAAAAAAAAAAACATCTCTGGTCACCAATATTACTGCTGCATTTACAATAATTCCAGAGAATATATTAATCATTTGTATAATATAATATTATAATATTACATAACTGTATTAATGGATACTAGCAGTAATAATAAATTCATGCTTCTAAAATTTATATATTAATAAGTTATTAATATTCTCTACAATAGTAGGAAATATAATAGTAAATATAATAACTCTGTAGAATGTGTGTTATGTGTGTGTGTGTACTTTTGTATAGAATGTCAAACAGCTGAGACAAAATTTACTTCAACATAGAAAAATAGTTTGTCAATATATAGATAAGATCGATTATATTCAATTGTGGACATCTGTCCGAATATCCATGCATCAGTTCGGAAATTTGATCTAAATGCGATCTTATTCGATTCTGATTCAATCAGACAAAATTTCATAACAGAGATCTATTATGATCTCTGTAAATTTTCATGGACGCATATTGTCACTTATGTACAAACATAAATTAATCCTTAACATGCTATCATTCACATAATAATAGTCACAACTTTGAAGCAACTTATCCATATTACGACCACAATTTTATAACAGAAATAATATCTCAAACATGATTGTATAGTATATCAGTTATCTTATTAAGTACGTACAAGCACAAAGCATTTTTTTTTTCCTGTATGTACTTTGTCTCCCATGCTTTTGTGTATGTTCTATATTTTATTCCAGCTCCTAATGTTAAAAATACAAATCGGTACTTTAAATTATCAATGATACAGCCAGGAGCGGTGATGACAATCAGAAAAAAATCATACGTGCCGTTTAAACTTAGCACGACAGTCCCAGTGAAAGTTTAGCCTCCTGTGTTTTACAACAACAGAGAGTTCCAAGGTACTTAAAGAGCGAATAATGATTTGTCCTGATCCTTGTTAATTTGGCGCTGAATATTCTGATTACCGCTGGTCGAGGAGTTCGAGGTGGCAGTTGTCGCTGTAGGGAGACTTGGCAAAGCTTCAGCCGCGGCTGCACGTTCTGCTAAGAAACGCTCGAATTCCGACGATGTCAAGGATTCCTGATCGCCTTGTCCTCCAGGCTGTAACACAAATTAATGCCTATTAGACAATGATTTTCTTGCAAAATCTAATTGTAAAAAAAATCAAATAGCAAGTGTATTACATCATTTTGACATTTAATGACGTCAGTTTGCTACTTGGGAAGTGATATATAATCTTTCTTAAACTTATGTGTTACGAATTTTATAAAGATTTGTGGCCTGCTTTCAACAATTATAAAAAAATTCATTTTTACACCTTTTGCGATACTTACTGTGCGATCTAACCAGGCTGCCATTTCATTGAATTCAGATTCCAGATTTGGCTGAGTATCGAAAAACAAACACAAACATTGAACAAAATCACACAAAAAAATGTAAACAATATAAACAATAATGTGAATGTGAAAAAAACCCAACAACAGAATTAAAAATTTGTATGCCTTCAAAAGCAATGTGCAATTGTGACAACGAATATTTAACATGTGCAAGCAAGACGCATCAAGTTACTGTACCTTGATCCCTTTTAGTGCCTGTATGTTTCTCTTAATTTTATCTATTATCTCTACTTAAGGCAATTTCGTAAAAATTTTAATACCTTTATTAATTATTAACTGCTTAATTGCTTTAATAAATTTCTTTAGTGATTAACAAACATCCTCTATTTATCCTTATTATTAAATAATTTAAAGTATTATATGTAATATCCGAAGTTGCCTTATAAGAGATTTATAATAGTGCCATCAATACTCAAATATTTGATTATCTTGAATGTATTTACCAAGAATATCAGATTTATAATGAATATGTGTGTACTTGACTATTATTAATCATTACAGATAACAAATTGATACCTAGATACCTGGGCATACAGACTATCATACTGACAATGAGTACTGACAACACTTATTACATTTAAACATCAAACTTGAATAAATGTAGAATTTGAATGTTAAATCATAATTTATAAAAAGGAATAAGTTTGTTGTATGATTCTAGAAGAATAATTATTAACTTAGCTAATATAATTTAGTTAAAGAATTAATTTAAGGAGAAAAGAGAATGTTACGCACACTAGCACTAGTAGCAGTCTGCTGGGGTAGCTTTGGGTTATTGCGGTTGAGAATTGCCGTACTTAGGCTACCTCCTCTCACCTGCTCCAAGTTATCCTCGTATTTGCTGCCACTGTAAATTTGAAAATATTAAATTATTATTGATTCAAATTAATCTATGATTACATATAAAGCAAATTTATAATGTGATTTGTGTATATTTTGAAATGATTAAATATACAATATAATTCGTATTTTCTTGTCATTTTTGCTCATACTTTTTAAAATAATCATATAGTAAAAAAATTTTAATTATTTTTGTTTTCTACTAATTCTAAATTGTTTTGTTTTTCTAGTACTTTTTCTTACATAACATTATTTTTGACCATATAATTATTGTAAATTTTCTTGATATTTAAAAGAATAATCTCTCATAGCATATATATGTATACCTCGATATTGTGAACTATATAGAAAAGTTCCATTAACATAATTTCAATTTCGTTAAAACAATCTCTTGTGCTATTACAAAAATAACGAAATTTTAATTATACAACAAAATAAAATATAATACCTATTCTTTGTTGTTTCATATGTCGCATTGCGCGATTGTGCAAACATATCAAATTCATCATTATCTCCTTCTTTTTCTTCTTTTGGTCCGTTTTGTTTTTATCCACATCTTCAGCTGCACCTACTATTTCAAACAAAATAGAATAGAATAATATCAAAGAAAACAAGTTATAGCACATATGATATAGAAAATATATGAGCAAATTATATAATTGATGGTATACAAGGGTGATCGTGCACGCAGCGTCGCCGCAACTCGCTTAAAAATTATAAATATATTAATTTTGATGCTTACCGACTTCACTCATCTGTTTTGTCAAATCCTGCACATCGTCGGACAAATCTATGAGCGATTCCGCTTCTCGTTTAGTGGTAGGTGGAGTCGATTCGGCATTCGGTGGATGTCCGATCGCCTGAGCTAATATAGTACTTGCCGGCATTTGCGTCTTATTCTTCGTATAACGTGAATAACGAAGAAATAAATTATTTAATTCATCGTTAATACGTAATAATTCTGCTGTCATTTCGTCGTGAGCCAGTTTACCGATTAAATCGACAACACGCTCTTGCATTGCCTTACATGTTGAATAAAGTTCCTGCAAAAATAATTATTTTAATATATTATATAAAGTATACAAGGAGTATCGGGTGATATACAAGGGTGATCGTGCACGCTGTGTCGCCGAAGGTTGCTTAAAAAACGAATAGTATGGCGAAACGATATAAAATAAAGATTGGATAAAGTCTCTGTGGCAAAAGCTGGGGACTCTAAACAAGCGTTATCTATATAATGTATACAAGCTTGTGTACTCTGTAAGTTATAAAAATATAATCTTACAAAGTAATAATGTACAAAGTATATATATGTAAAAAAAATTATTTAAAAATTCTATAAACAAAACTTGAAATTTAAAAACTGCATATAAAATTCATACATTTAATAGTTCAAGATCCGCAGAATCTGGTTGTTGTTTACTACTTTGATCAGGGCTTGTGAAGTATGCCAACATTTCCGATAATACACGCATGTTCCCTTGAACGACATCAAGCTCGCTTTGTAATTTGGCCAGTTGTTGTTCATTCAACTGATTTAACGGACCAATAGATTGTGATGTTTGAGGTGGTAAATGTGTTCCCAAAGAGGCAGGTTGCTCGCATGTAGTCAGACTTGCTGGAATTTGCTCTGTTTCAGGTACACTCTGCAAAAAATTATTTAAGAAAGTTTTAATTTGATAAAACACGAATGGTTTATATTTTATTCGAGTAGAAGACGTCTCTCACTCTTTCTGGCGTGATAATTGGTGCCATGGCATCCAGATCAGTCATGGGGAATTGTATGCCTTTTATCTTCAATTCTTGATAAACCTGCACAACGCCTTGAGTGTGCGGCTGATGACGGAATGTATCTGCCCATGTTTGGATCATACTTAGAACTTTCTCCTGAACTGCTGTTGGTGGTTCATTTTTGGGACCGATTAATTTAACTAGGTCCTGTACAAATTCTCTTGAACAAGCAAGAGCGTGAAAACGTTTTCCACAATTCTTCACACACGTCTCCAATACCTATTACATACACAGAAACAGCATCATAAGATTATTTATATAATTATGTAATAAATACATTCATATTTACAGTATTATAATATGTAATTGCAATATTAAAAATAGTTTGATTAAAGATACTCTCATATTTGTCATAGATATGACAATACAGACTAGCTGATCTAATTGACACTAATTGTATAAATTGATCAAAGGTCAAAAATGTCAATGATGCCTGATTATATCATTTACAACATTATGTTATAAAGATATATGTACAAATGACATATCTTACATTGAGTTACACAATATTATGTAAAGCAAACTTTAGCATGTCCAATATGATTCTATCATTACAGTTTAATACTAACGGTAAGTGTATACATGACTATTGTATAATTTTTGCCAGCTGACTGATTGAGCCTGCGTTTGATCGCTTTAATAGCGTCTTTCGGCCCGTCCTCGGTTTCGTTTATAATGTCACATATTTCCATATTAAGCGTCCAATTTTCACTTGGTAAGCTACCATCTGTAGCGGACTCTGAAATGACAAGAGAAATATTGAAGATGCGAGCTACAAAAGTAAGACTCACCATTGTGTAGCTTATCTACAGTATTATCAATATGTAAACAACGCTTTTATTTACAGTTAAATTAATCCGTAAAAATGAGAAAAAATACGTAGAGTCGTGTTTAGAGTACATAGATTTCTAACTCTCTAAATTGATGTCAAATGCGACAATTGGCACTCGTAGAAAAAGACAGAAATACGTCTACGTAACATAACTCGCGGTGTAAATAAAAAAAAATAGACTTACCGATCTTTTGCCCTACTGGCGTGGAAAAGGGGTTGCCTACCCCGAAAAGTGACATTTTCTCGTGGCGCGTAGTAGAGAACCTGCGTTGTCGAAACCTGACGCGTTTTTACACTCACTCGCATACGTTACACGGGAAACGCGGCCACGATGAACAACAGCCTGACAGCGATGACAATTGGCGTGCACTGACAATTTGTCAATCTCGCGTAACACCGATTGACAAAATCATATGACGGTACGCAACGGCGTACTATATGTATATGTATGTGTACGTATCTACAAGGCAGATACGCGAAATCGTGCAAATGTCACGAAACCGTGCGCCAATCAGCGCTGCGTAAGGATAGGTGCGAAACGCCCTTTAAATAGGTCCCCCTCTTTTATAAGCGCGCACACGTTCTCCAAGCGCACTTCGGCGCACTTTCTTGCCCCATCTCTCTCCTTGTTCCGCGAACCGCACGTCTCGTCTCTCGTCCCGTTTTTGAGTGCAGAAAGCGCAGTCCGTAAGGGCAGCAATTCTCGACCTATACGTCATTCGCTCCGTGATTCACTTCACTTTTCTACGATGGTAGGGATTACACCGCGTAGAAAAAATGGGAGCCAATCGGCGAACGCATTATCCGGCACAGCGGCGTGACGTTGTTTTGCCGCACTAATTGTGAATCGTGCCGAATAAGATTTTCATACATGTCATTTCGCGTTTTGCGATAGATGTATCGTCGAGTGAAAAATAACAGAATCTTTTTAACCACGATGATCTTTCAGATTTATTCCAAGGCGATATGAATTTTTTGTGAATCAACCGCTGGGATAATTTATTATCAGCTGATTGCTCGTTAATTGTCAACGATTTCCCATGTAAGAGAAAAGTATTGGATCGCACACATTCAGGTATGCGAATTTTTCATATTTAATTGAGTAGAAATAATTTAATGCGCATAATTCGATACAAATATTACATTTTATTTTTGTAGTGTCGATGTAAGCTACGTCAGAGACTCCTTCATGACATCAGCGGAACATTTTATTAGTCTTATAACAGTAGCAAGTGCAAAGAAATTAGCTACTGCGCTTGTTATCTGTTTTATTATATACCATGGAGTCATACATCTTATTTACGGTATAATAGAAGTCTTGGATGCATTATCTGACTGCTGATTTATTTATCTCATGTTATCACATAATATAAAGTTCTGAGATAAACTAACAATTTTTATTTTATTATTTTTTTTTTATGAATTTCAAGATATTTCAATTCTACGACAACTTGTTTTAGTTATTTTTTAATTTTCTCAAAAATATTTTGTTTTAATTATAATTTAATGTCAAAAATTTTTTCCATAGGTAGCGATTCTTGTAAATGGTTATTGACAGAAGGTAGATACAAAGGAGATAAAGAATGGCAACCTTACGGTTGCATGATGCATCATTATACGCAAACGTAAGATTGTCTTTAATTTGCTTTGGAGAGTAACTTTTCCATGTGTAAAAAAGATTTGTATTTTGTAGAGACAGCAGAAGATGTATGAGATATCTAGCTTTCATGGGCCACCATAATTATTTTGTATTTATTGGCGATGCTAGAGTAAGGCAACTATATAAATCTTTTGTTTCGCAATTTGTGATTGATGGCAAAGCATCAGATCTCACAGAGTTACCAGAAAACTCTGATTTGGGCTTCAATGATGGGCAGCTCAAATTAAATGTACAGTTTTTATGGCGACCACGACTCGATAACTCTATGATAGCAAACCTTAGAAACTGGATGGTAATATTTTATTATAATATATATATATATTATATTTATTATATATTATATAGTAAAGAAATATGTGAGATTATAAGAAGTGATACAATTTTTATATGTAATCTGATTTAATTACAGCAAACAGATGCGCCTAGTGTAGTCGTCGCGGGTTCTGCCGCAGCTGTGATTCTTGCAAACAATAATAGTGATACGCAACTCTACTCGGAATACAGTACGGGTCTGATTCGACTGGTGCAACCAGTAGATTTTCTAGCTAAAAAAGGATCGCGATTTCTCTGGCTCTTGCAGGATCCTATACTCAAAGAAAGACTGCCTGCACAATTGTCGAGTTTGGACAACAAGCAGATCAATTTGTGCAACAAAGCAGCCGAGAAGGTAATAAATTTATGAAATATAATTCACGAAGAGAAAATATAAAGAAAAAGAATAAATAAATATTCTGTAATTGTCGCGTACACAGATACTGTCTCATAGTGAGGCTCGTATATGGCAAAGCAGCAAACTAGTCGGTATGGGTGTTCTTGAGCAAAGTCCAGATGGTTATTTGGCAAGTCCATTATCGCTTCGTCATAAAGTTCAAATACTATTAAACACATATTGTAATGATCATATGAATTTTGACGATGGAAGCTGTTGCAGTTATCCTGAACCAGCAACTACTCTACAGCTGCTAAGTCTATCTGCGCTTGCATTATTGTAATTAAGTATTTAATTTATTATTTGTATGTTCTATACAATATAGTTTCTTTCCAAAAAGAGTAAGTGATCATCTGTTATAGTATAACAATAGGAGGAGGAGTATGGCTATACAGAAAAATGTGCAAGTATCGTTCTGATGTGTCTTATTCTCATGTTACTACTGAGGAAGTGGAGGATACAGAGGAGACAGGTGCTTCAGAAGTCATACAAATTAAGCAACCTGAAATACAAGATTTCTATACTCTTATTACATCATTGGCTCTCTTTTCTATTATATTAGCTTACTTTTACTTATGTGATAGGTAAGTAATAAATGCTTCATTTGAACTTGAAATTTTATATTCTTATTATATATTTTAAATAATTCTCCATTTTCTTATTTTTTTACTTGCAGAACAAATTTCTTCATGAAAGAGAATAAATATTACAGTGAGTTCAGTTTCTGGTTACCACTAGGATATATCTTGGCTCTTGGATTATTTTTCACTGAAGATCGTGAAAGAGGACCAAGAGTGTTAAATAGAGAGCAAACTGATGAATGGAGAGGCTTAATGCAAGCAGTTGTGCTCATATATCATGTCACTGGTGCCAAAAATGTTTTACCAATTTATATGTACTTAAGATTAATTAATTCTGCCTATTTATTTCTATCCGGGTATGGACACTTTTATTATTTTTGGCAAACCGGCGACGTGTCTCTTATCAGATTTGCTAGAGTATGTATAAAAAAATTATATAAATAGTATAAGTTTAAGTTATATTTACATAAATTATATAATTATATAGCTATGCTTTTACAATAAAGTATAATTGTTATGTTTTAGGTCATGTTCAGATTAAACTTATTGACAGTATCGTTATGCCTTTGCATGAATAGGCCGTATCAATTCTACCATTTTGTACCATTGGTGTCATTCTGGTTTCTGGTGATTTATTTTCTAGCCTGGCTACCACCTAGAATATATTCTGGAAGTTTAGCGGAATACGGGCCGAGAGCCTTGCTGTATTTTGCTTTGAAACTCTTGGGTCTTGTGTCGATAATTACTATATTGTATATGTCAGAGGTAATGAGTGACTTTTATGAAAGAGATTAGGTTCAAAATGTAACACCTATTTTATCAGCACAGGTATTTTTTGAGAAAGTTTTCGTCACGAGGCCCTGGAAGGCGTTATTCGTAACGACTGACGATGACATTCGCGAATGGTGGTCTCGCTGGAGAGTCGATAGATATAGCGTAGTTTGGGGTTTGACTTTCGGAGCCGGTCTCGTCGCTCTTCAGAGACTAGACCATATACCGGGCACCGCATTATCCTCCGTGCTGGCGTTGGTCTCCTTAATAGCGTATACTACTTTCACAATTTTGTGTCACTCTGTATCAGAGTGCGAGGAGATTCATTCATACGTCGCTTTTATTCCGGTAAATTTTATCTTGTATATTATTAATTAATCTTTATTTTTCTCTCTTCTGTTTATTAATATTTTTCTTATTATTACTCTATAATATCAATGTTACATATCTTTGATCTAATATTTGATTCTAATAATGTAAAAATATTATATCTCTATATTATATGTTGTTCTATATTTCTATATTATTTTTTGTTTTCTCAGATTATAGGATATATCGCTCTTCGAAATGCATCATTGGCATTACGGGGAAAACACTCTGCACTTTTAGCTGGATTGGGTAGGATAAGTTTAGAGACGTTAGTCGCACAAGGCCACATATGGCTGGCAGCAGATTCACATGGAGTGCTTGTGTTATTACCTAGATTCCCAGTATTGAATCTGCTGGTTACATCGTTTATTTTCATCTGTGCCAGTCATGAGGTAACTTTCCTACAATATTTCTTGTATTAAAAAAAAATTATAATTTTGTTAATAATGCAATTACAATAGATTTTTTTATCAGTAATTGAAATTTTATCTTTCAGATTCATAGATTAACACACGTTTTAGCACCATATGCAGTACCAAATGATTGGAAATTAGTAGCTCGTAATTTGCTACTGTTCACAGCTGTATTGGTACCAATTGGTATTCATGATGGAATGTTTTAAAAAGTGGATATTCCAAAAAAATCAAAAATACTTGCAATTTATTAATGTGCAGAGTATAAAATGACTTCATATCATAATAAATAGGCCAATTAAAGTGAAAAGAGGAGATTAATTAGGTAAACATATATATTACAGCTTTTCTTATAGATAAGAAAATTGCATATCAAATTACAATATATTTACAAAATTATTGTGTGACGTAAAGTAATATTTTTTTACATTATTTTTTTATGATAAATGAATTTAAAAAATAGCCGTCTTTTTATTTATTTATTTGTCTATTTTATTTATATTGTCTATAATTTATATTTATAATTTTATAAACCTATTCAATTTTAATTCTATGATATATATATATTATATACAAAGTGTGTACAATATATATATCCAATTAAATGTTACAATAAAACATGTCAGAAATTGAGATCTTAATCCTGCCTGCAGGGATTATAAAGGGCATAAAAATCGTGATACAGGAAAAGCTTTCTACAAATTAACAAATAAGTTCTACTTGTTATTTAAATTCTGTTTATATTTGTAATTTCATTCAAATTCTATTAATCAAAATCGCTATTAACTTCATATATTGTGCTTCACATGACTGGTATAGACATCATAACCAAGAGATATCATATTATCATAAAGCACTCTGTATCGTGTAGGAAGGAAATAGAAATTAATGACCTGTGCTGGAGGCCATATAACCCATTCAGCTATGTACAATCTATGTGCTTTTTTTCGGATTTCGTCTTTAAACTCTTTGAAGCTACTGTTCTCCAGCATGGCTAGCGTCAAGAAAAACATACTTATACAAAGAGGTGAGCAAATCAATTGATCTACAACCACTTTTTTTAAAACTATACCAATGGTGCGTCCGGCCATTCTAGTGTCCAAAAACTTATACCAGTAATGACAAACTATCCCAATAGACATGCCAGATATGGCCATATTTCTTGTCCTGACAAAACTCCATCTATCCCAATCACCCTGAAAAGCACAGAGATGAGTTAGTGTCATAAAATTTAGTGAAATGTCAAATCTAAATGTATGGTGGACAAACCTTTAACATCTCATAATGTTGCTCTAAAATATCTCCTGTCCCAGAAAGAGAAATTGATATGCCTACATTTGTATATAATAAGTTTTTAGGCGAGAATAAGCGTTCCTTCAAATGATTTAGCCTACCAAAAACTAATTCCACTCCTCTTGCAATGTTCATTGTCTAAAAAATAATAAAAAAGATATAATTTACAAGATTTTACTTGGTTTTTATTCTATATTAAACAGTTAATTATTTTTATATATATAAAGATTGTAATAGTTGGAGTTTTGTTAGATATAAGATAATGAAAAATAATTATACAACAGAAAAAAATGCTTTGTTTTCTAAAACGTTATAGAGGATTGTGTGTTTGTATGTACAGTATACAAAGCTTGTTTATAATTTTATTTTAAGAATAAGTTTCCAAATGAAAGAGAAAGTTACATTTTTTAGGTTAAATAAAACAAAATTAATTCTCTAGAGTAAGAAATTAATCGAATTACTGTTATGGTCTCAAACTGTCGCAAACATTTACCATATTTTCTTCATAATATACCACTATTTATTTTAATCTATTTTATTTTTATTAGACTAAATTTAATTATATTTAATGTCACTTGCCATTCCGAGAACACATATGTCACCGAACTCGATGCATAATTGGAAGGAGTTTTGGCGCTCAAGAAGCGAGAGCGAAAGATAATAACCGAGATATTTTGATTATCGGTACGGTCCAAAAGTTTACGAAATAATTGATGGACCAATTACAACGAGAGAGCAAGGATTTTTTGCTCTAATTATAATCGATCAAACCGCTTTAAACAGACCGCGGTCCACAGTTTATAAACAACCTAGAGAGACAATACACCAAAATATCTTCCTCGGTTAACATTTTTACCGCTAGAGTTCGCTTTTGACATTTCAGGGATCTGATCTATATACGTCGCTCTCGATGACACAATCAGCTGATTCAACGGCGGTTTTGCGTCGAACGGATAAAAAGGCGGGCTTTCGAGAAGCAGAGCGACAATAACCTCCTGCCCTGTTTGCGATATTTAACAAACATATTACATCGTAATATCATGTCGCAGCCATCGGTTACGGCGTACTTTAATACGCGCAAACGTCAGGCGTGCGACGAGATACGCGGGAAATCTAAGGTTTTGCTGCTGGAGCGAGATCACTCGGGCAGCCAAACGTTGACATCTGCCAGCGACTCGGAACAGGCTGATGAACGAGGCGATAAGAGAACGAGTCCGAGGATCATGCAGAGGGACGCCCCGGTTAAAGAGGTGAATCGCGCGAATAAAGCGGTCCGCAATATCCAGTTCGATTCTTCCAAGGCGACCCTCGACAAGACCCCGAATAGGCCCAGGACGCGTGCGATGCGTTCGCGTGCGTTGTCCACCACCGATGGTACCCACCCGGATATCAGGGATAGTCTGCTGAAGGCGAGCGGTGACTCGGAGACTAAGAAAGTCCTCTTCGAGAAGAAAGGTATGCTTGCAATGAGTATTTTGAAGAGAAAATAAAGGATAGACCTGAACATCTTAGAGCTCTATTTCAACATATTTTCAAATCAGTTTGCAATCAAAGGAAACAAGCAAAGTGTTCTTATAGTTTAAAACTGATTCATCTATTTTGAAACGAATCCTTTCTTAAAATGGTTCTGTTGTTTTTGTACTAATTCTTATGTTAATACTTCGGAAACGTCATGATGTATTATAATACAATAATTAACTATATATAAGTTAAAAAACCTTTAAAAAACATAAAAAGTATAGAAAAAATATATTATGACTTTTCTGACCACCTAATATAATATTAGACATTAAAACACTAAATAAAAATAAAGGCAAAATTGTAATATAAATACAATATTTAAAGATAAAGAACAAAATTAAGTTTTAAAAAAATGAACAAATTTAAAGGATAGCTACTTGAAAGAACTGTACTTTGAAATAAAGGATGTATGTACCATAGGTATGCTCAGCCCTCAGAAAAAGAAGCCGCAAACTCCCACCAAGTGTTCCATTGTCCCCAAGGACAGTGCGAGCAAGGTCGAGAATGAACGATCCGTCAGTGAGTGTCCACAGACTCCACCTTCTTCGAGAAAAATGTCAATGATGGAGAGGCTCGCGAAGAACGATGATTTAAGCTTGGCTGAGATCAAAAACAGAATTAACAAGTCCTCCAGATTAGCAGAGCTGAAAGCTATAACACAACGATTTGCAAATCATGAACGGGCGCTGGAGCAACTGCAGAAGCGGAATGAAGTTAAGAAACCTCAGATGCAAAAGTTTGAAAAGATAGAACTTGAAATTCCTGTGAGGTAAGAAGATTTTGCTGCTTGTGTATACTTAACAGTGGAGTATCTTAATCTTGTAACGTTTTTTTTTTTTTTTTTTACAAAGTCCACAGAAGGCATGCAAATCTCCAATCAAAGCATTGCGAACTCCAACCAAAAATGCAGATCTTTCAAAGCTAGCCAGTCCTCAGAGGAAAATTTTATTTGAACCTAAAGAAACAACACCAAGTCCGATCAAATCTAGCCCGATTAAGGCATATCAAAAGTATCTGTCATTGGCAGAAATACCTGGATTAGCGTTGCCTTATGACTATAGATTCCTTGCTGAAGCATTCAGATGTGTAGATACGGTAATATCTTATAAAATATCTTTATTCTATATTTTGAGTTTATATATTCTTTATATATTTTATATTACTATATATATATAAATATGTGTATATAGCATGGCTTAAATCTATGTTTATAATAAAGGTAAATATTTGATACTTTAGGTTTCAGCAATGCTGTTTAATAGAAAGGAATTGATAACATTCAATAAACTGAAACCTGCAGTTCAAGAGTTGCTGCGACGTAATTTTACACTGGAACATCTGGCTCAAATAAAAACTATTTATCCTGATGCATACACTTATCATCAAGAGAAACATCGCAATTTTGGTTCAATATCCAAACATGAGAGATATGAATTAATTGTGACACCTGTGGTTGAAAAAACTAATGGAAGAAATACTCCCGATGCGGATAATGTATTGAAGACTGCCTCTGAAAGTAGCATGAGTCCTACAATACTGCTTGAAAGAAGAAAGAAATTTTACAATATTTTATTAGGTATATAGAGACAAATATATGTTTTAAATAGATTTATTTATAATAGTAATTATGTAATAGTGGTCTTTATCATTAAATCACATATTTTTATTACAGAGAGAGTGAAAGATGAACATGAGAAATTTTTACTGAGTTTTGAAAGTCCAAGGTTAATGAATATATCAAGGGAGAAAATAGTACGCTGGCATCCCGAGTTTGATGTGGAATCTTGCAAGAAAATTGAACAAGCCGAATTACCGCAGCCACCTGTTGTCGAGAAGGCATCTGCTAAAGATGTTCTTGGTAAGAATTACAAGATATTATTACACTTGATAATAAAAAAGATATGATAAAAAATTAATTTTTTTTTATTAATGCATTTTCTGTTAATACGTAATTAAAATATTTGCGTATATAAATATTTTTTATATTATATATATTCATACATAAGGATGTAATATGGTTTTAATTAAAAAAAAAAGTAGGACAAAATATTGCACAAGAAGACTAAAACAATGCGTTTGCGTATTTGCGAAATCTGGTTTACATAGCTTTAATGTTGCAAAAATTTATTGATTAATCAGCAAATAATGCAATTGGTATAAAAGTATTGCTTACATTAGTTGAGCAGTTACATTATGCATCCTTGCATTATGGGTCACCGATCTTCAGTTAATAAATTAATTATAGAAAATGGATTTAAAATATCCCTTAAAAGAGATCGAATTATTAGTAGAATATGTAAGTTTCTATATAGTTTTGTTAGTGCTTGATAAAACAAATTTGTGAAATATTAATTATTTGTGAATATTTTGTTATTTGTTTTTCTTCTTTTTCTTTTGTAATTGTTTGCATTATTTTTCTTTTTACAGATAAAGCTAAATCTTTGTTCAATTGTGGTACACGCATGGAAAAAGCATTGAAAAGGTTGGCTGAAGCAAACTTAACTATGAAATCTAAATCCCCATCTTCACAAGATTCTACAATGCAAACCACAGAAGATGGTATTCCAAAAGTTAATATTGGCATTATAGATACTCCACCAATCACGCCGTCCACACAAACCAGTCATCCAAATACACTATTTAAAGGAATCCCCAAAGCTCTACTGGAAAAAGTAAGAATAACTATCCCAAGATAAAAGTCAACATTTATTTTATACTTACATATATACATTTTTTTAATATAATTTATATATATGTATATATTTGATCGCATTCCATAAATTGTAATATTTGTAGGTTCGAGCTAGGCAGGAGGCCAAAGCATTAGAAGCAATGACAAGAACACCTAATGCAGACAAGGAAGTTGCATTATACTCTAGACTTCCCGAATTGGCAAAACTGCTTCGCAATATTTTCGTAGCAGACAGGAAGGGCGTTTTGCCGTTGGAGACAGTGATACAACAGTTAGACAATTCTTTCAGAACGAAATTAACAGTGCAGGAAATGGAAGAGCATATACGACAATTGTGCAAGCTGTTACCTACGTGGGCTAGTATACACAACGTACGGAAAGTAAATTATCTGAAATTAGATAAAAATCTTGAACTTGCAAAGATAATTAAACGATTAGAAATTTTAACTAATGATAAAATCAAAACGCCATTATGATTTGGATTCTATAGAAAATGGCTTTCGGTAAAATTGGCTGAAATTTTACCATCTTATGCTTCAAGTAATGTTAATTAAAAGTTACCATTGTCACAAAACTATGAGTCGTTTTTGTTGGGGAAAGGCTCAAAGTTCGATAATGATGCCTATGATACTTTCTCCTCACTTTCAGAGTTATCTAGGATCAAGGACGTAGACCAAATCAGATATTCGCTATGTCACGTCGTTGATCTTGGATAACGCTAAAAGCGAGAAAGTAGGCACTATTATCAGTTGAGCCTTTACAGAACAAAAACGGCTCATAGGCTTGACTTGTGACAATGGTAACTTTTGATCAGCATTACTGGAAGTACAAAATAAGTTTCAGCTAATTTTATCGATAGCCATTTTCCATATGTTTGCCTGCATAGTCCTTTCAAGAAACTATAGTTTGAAAATATTTTTTTCACGTGTAATAATAATGAAACTATTATGTTTTATAGTTAGGCATGCTTAATTTTTGACTTTGAGTTAGATATGGATAAAAATGATTTAATACATCTTTATAATATAACGACGTCATTATTTCTATTTTTAACGCTTTACTTGAGCATCTTCGAATATTAGGAATTATAAAGCATGAAATAAAAAAATGCGAATGTATGTAACATTTTATGTTTCTTATCCTTTCTAATTTTATTAAAACTTTTGATTATTTTATTTTATTTGATTTTTTCAAAATTTAATTAATAAATTACGATATCGTAATAGGAATATTAAAATATATGAAGCTATTTTTAACAAAATATTAATATGTAAATTTATATGTTAAATCAAACAATTTTTCTAAATTTCTGAAACAAGACTACTGACAATGTATATATGTATGTAATGTACACTGCGCGCCTTTAATATATTAATGAAACTATTATAAAATGCAATCATATTCATGTATGTGAATATTTAGCCTGTATTAAATATCCACATACATATAATTTGACTTAAATGTACCATTATCAATTCAAAAATTTTACTAGAAATATTGAAAAATTAAAATTAACATTTATATCTTTATATAATTTTTTCTATTAAAAAAAAGATACATTATATCTTTTTAACCACGACCGATCATCGGATGCGCTCACATGCGTTCGCTAGCGAAAATGTAAATGTTGATGTAATGATGTAAAAATGTAGAGTTATAGGCTTGTAAGCAGAATATATTGGTAAATTTTTATTTTTATATTTATTATTATCTTTGATGGTTACTTGTCAGTATTACCGACAGAATAATTCTGTTTTATCGACATAGAAATAGTACATGTTTCATCTTAACCTAAAAATATAGCGAATCGTGTCAGAGGTACGATTAGTTGAATATTTATTTACGATAAATCATATGATAGATGTTTTGAATCGCACTATCGAAGAAAATTTCTGGCGTCATGTTCTTAACAAATGCGCTATTGAAAAAAGCAAAGAGCAAGTAAGTGATATAGTTTTAATCGAACGAATCCCTAACTTCGAGGTTAGAATATTGTAAATATCTAATCGCACTGAAAGCGGCAACATATACTACAAATAATCAAAGATACGTGTTAAAAATTGTGTAATTTTTATGAAAACGTAATTTGAGATCAATTAAATTGAATATTTTGGTCGTCAATATATGAGATAAATGAAATTAGACATAATTGTCAATTGTTTGAAAGATATTTGGTTTTATTTTTCATCAAAGATATTTGTGTCTGTTTAATTTAAATATCTAAACACGTGTTTCATTGCAGGCAAATCTTAGTCATGGTAGAAAGTCTTATAAGTGGTCATCGGTTGATACGTATTCGAGACAAACTGGGTGACAAACTGGAATTTCTACACTACGATCCTCTTGGTGAGTGATTATTTATGCACATAGCCTTTTTTATGTAAAACAATTTTTGTAGAATATATAAAATGATAGGATATATATGTATATAAAACAAAATTATTTTATTCAAAATTATAATTTCTTCATTTATGGTTCCAGCATGATCTTTTAATTAATAGAAAATGTCACTAAAGTTATATATATATATATATACACATTGTTTCATATTTATTCTAACATTGTAATGTTTCTTTACAGTTCGACAAGATGCGCTATACAGAGAGAAGAGGAAATTACGTAGTTTGAAGTAGTGTATATAATATTATAAACTTTTTATCAATGATGATAATAATGAAAGATATTCATTGTATATATCAGTATAGTGACATTCAGAAATGCAATCTGTATTTGTTATAAAATACAAAGATTGGATTCTAATAGTATGATATATTTTTATGTTTTATGATTGTATTTAATGTTTGACATATAAACATTAAAATACAAACCATTGTTATACAAATATAACAGAAAGAAATAAAAAATATCATGTACATAAGTGATATAAAAATGAATATTTCTCGCAAAATATTAATCAATTATATCTTAAAATGATCCTCATCTGACTTCATTGCACAAAAATATTGCAAGTTTCTTTTTTATTCATAAACTCGATAGTTATTTATCGATATGTTCGATGATACACCTTAATGTTATAAAATTGTTATCAAATTTCGGGTGATATATAATTGAATATTTCTCTCAATATTAATCCATTATATTATATTATAAGATCATCTTCATTCGACTCTATTGCACAAAAATATTGCAATTTTCTTTTCTTTTTTATTCATAAACTCGATAGATATTTATCGATATGTTGAATGTTAAATGAATATTTCTTACATAATTAATTAGTTATAAGATCATCCTTTACCTGACTCCATTGTACAAAAGTGTTTCAATTTTCTTTTCTTTTTAATCATCAATCTTGATAGATATTTATCGATATGTTCAATGATGCCCAACTTAACGTTATAAAATCTCGTTTCTATGGAAAAAAGTCTCGAATCTCGATTCCACTTTACGTATTATTACCGAAAGTTGTCAAGTAAAGCATACAGTCAGTAAACGCTTTTGCCTAAGTTTCATGCCGGTTGGAAAGACCGAAAGAGAGGAGGCGAACGGAGAGACCAGCCAAGAGTCTCGACATCGAGATTGGGGGTAGATTTCCTTTGATCCTTAACAAGGAACACAAAGTTGTATTATTTCCACCTGGGTTTCAAACGGTTCGGAATCCGCCAGGCGTGAAACGCGATCCACCCCTTCTCTCTCTCTCTCTCTCTCTTCTCTCTCTCTTTCTTTCCCCATCCCCTTGATCCTGGAGCTACTCCTTTCCACCGCCCTACCACCCTCCTGTCTTTTTGCTCCTCCGGTTTCTCGCTCCTTTTCGATTGCGGGAGACGAACTGCCGCGCAGTTTACTCTGATGTTGCAAATTCAATTTCTCTTTTCGCCCGCGGACCATTGTCCAGAGAAAGGGGGGAAAAACCACAGAAGGGTTGCGTCCCGGAGAGAGGGAATTGTCTCTCTATCTCTCGCGATTGTGCGCGTGACAGCTCGTGAGATTCGGAATCTTTCCCGCTTTTTCTTTCTCTCTCTTTTTCTCTTTCTTTCTTCTCGCTTCGAAGAAAAGGCTTCCCGACTTCCTCCTCGATGCACGCATGCGAGCCTTGTAATTGCGAGATACAAGCTTTCGCGCTTATTTCTGCGTCGCATCACTCGACATGTTGTTGAAGGTCTGTTAAAGTGTATTTAAAGTGAGAAACACACATCACAAAGAGCAAATATTATCGTAAGAGAATCGAGAGACTGCATACCTGAACAGAGAGAGAGAGAGAGGATCGGCGCAGAAATAAGCGTAAAATCCTCGGGGTCATTCATCGCTGATTATTCCGTGTTTACGCGAAATTTTCGTTTCGAATGAAACAGCCTGATTGACGTCCAAGAGCGAGAAGAAAGAAACAAGAGCAGGCAAAAAAAATACGCGATAGGGCCTGTGGAGGCCTCCCCTTGGAATCAGTAAAAAATTAAGCATTTGCTCTACTTTCGAAAGCACTGGAATTTATTTGCACATTTAATATAAAAAGATAAAATTTTTAAGAATTATGAAAGAATATAAAAATTAAAAAATTTAATTATGTCTTCTCCCCCTTGGAATCAATGAAAAAAATTAAGCAGTTGCTCTTCTTTCGAAAGCACTGGAATTCATTTGCATATTTAATATATAAACAAATAAAAATAACAAAATAAAATTTAAAAGACCTAAGAAAGAACAAAAATAAAAAAATTTAATTATACCCCCTCCTGGAAAAAATCCTGCGGAGAAGCCGCGCGAGGAGAGAGAAAGAGAGAGAGAAAATAAACAGTAAGCGAAAGGAGTTCGGTGGTTTTTCACGGGGTGAGTTTCAGTTGCCTCGCAGGTTCGAGGGCGTGTTTTTTTTTCTCTTCATATTCGCGCGAGTTATTCTCCGCGATTCTATGCGTTAACAGTGCACGCGAGCCCGTTAAAGTGGCCTGCTAATTAACTGCGTTATTTTTTACAACCCTCCCTCTTCTTTCGCGGCGCCCGGATGAGATTCGATATTTTTTTCGCGATTTCCACGTTTTATTTATCCCCCAGCTTTTATATATATTTGCCACGTCGATGAGAAAGAGACGCATGGAAATTCTATATAAGAGTTGATTTTTTTTTGTAATCTTTTGTCGCGCGAGAGTGAGAATTCGAGCTTCTTCGAGTTCAATTTGAAATATTTTAAAATAATAAGCGAACGTTGTAACGTTGTAAATTCTTCGTTCGGAGCAAAAAAATAAGAAGGCGTTTTCGAACACGAACAGTGATCGCTCGCCAGCAAATCGTATCGATCGAACGTCACGTTCAGAGGGGGTTAAAGGGGGATGACACGCGAGATGCGCGCGAGTCGACGACGTATAAACTCTAAAACCTTAATATCGTCGTGTCGAATCCACGTGCGAGATCGGTTGCGATATATATATATATTATATATATATATAATATAAGTATATATATATATATATATATATATATATATATATATATATAGATATATATATATATATTACTTATATATATATATATATATATATATATATATATATATAATATATAAGGTAGAGAGACGATGATATGGTATAGAGGTATCTCTCTGTATCGTGAAAGGGGTTGGGAGGGAGGCAACGCGGCGCGACACCCTTCTTTTCTCCGCCACGAAAAGGCACTTGAAATAAATTGAAAATGGCTGGTATCGCTCTGGTCCCCATCCGCCCCCTCTCGGATAAGTGATACCTACATCATCTACACGCACATCAACCGATATTTCTATATCTCTCTATCTCTCTCTATGGTCTCCTCCCTCCGTTTTTCTTCATGAATTCGAAACGCGACGTTCGGCATCGGAATCCAGTCGAATCGCTTCGATTAATTCGCGGTTGATATAAGATATAGGAACTCTGAGATCTTTGTGTTTCTATACTCTAATCAAATGTTTTAGATTCTTACTTAATTTTATATAATTTTCTACAATTACGTAGAGCCCTCAATTAAGTGTTAAAATGTTGGTATCCCTCCGCGAAGTGAAGAACAGATCTCAAATTGTGATCCTTCATCTTTTCATTTTTTTCCTCTAGGATGAAATTTCACCCTTCGGTTTTCCAAAAATTTATTAGACACAAAGATCGCCCTCTCTCTCTTCTCTCCAAATAAGAGACCGAATTCCACCCTTCATCATCGAAAGAAATAGTGTCGCGACATCCTCGGTTCCAAATTCGTCGGCTTTTCCTGTTAATGTAGAGGCGCATAAACGAGGGCGCGGCGGAAACACACCCCTACATAACTTCAGCGACGGGGCTACACACACATACATATACGTACATATATACAGCCGAGCACGTAGCAGTATAAGCAAAGGCACACACGAGCGACAAGGTGTATTGAATCGACGAGTATCATGCAGCTGACAGCTAGAGCTAATTGAATCTTGACTCTATCTATCTGTCGACCGAGGCTGAGACTCGCCACCGACGCAGCCACGAATTGCATTTCCCGTTCGGCGGTATCGCCCCCGAAGAATTCTATCCTTCCCACGCGTCTCGCTTTTCCTTCCTTCCTTCCGCGTTTTCCTTTTCCCTTTTATCCCATCCTCCTTTCCTTCCGCGGGCGTTTTAATCCCCGCCATTTTGCATCGCGAAAATATGTCGCGCAGTAAAGTGCAGCGTCTTTTAACCAGTTCATTATCTTCGATATAAATTTTCGGAAAGCAACTTTTATGCACGCGATTGTCTCTATCGGACTTTGTTCGGGTGTTCTTGATTTTTTCAGAATTTTTATTGCGAACGTCAGTGTTTCGAATTTTCTTCTTTTCTTTAAAAAAGACATTAATTTTAATTGAAGTATTAAGGCTCTTTTTCGCGATGCTGGTTGATTATGTCACGAAATTTGCTTCGCGGCTTGAATTACAACCAAGTCGTTTGACAGTTTTGCAGTTTGCGGTTAAACTTAATATTATTTTAATTTGCTGAGTTCCTATTATGCACATAATTTTAATTTGCCGCATTTCTTTTATGTGAATCATTTTAAATTCGCAACCTATTATGTACATAATATTATTGGTCGAATTTCTATTAATATGTATAATTTCACTTATTTACATAATAGAAATACGGCGAATTAAAATTAATATGTGCATAATAGAAATTCAAGAATTAAAATTATGTATATATAATGAAAAATTAAAAAAAAACCACTTCAATGTTTAAATCGACCAGACTGCAATAATTTATTATAATAATTATTTGAAATAACGTTTCGGCTGTCATTGCAGCCCTTTTAAGTACATCAATTAAAACAGTAAATCATGTGACTAAGATTCTTGCGAAAGTTAACATCTATTTAATATGTGCTTACTTCTGTCAGTCTTGCATTGTTCATCAAAACAAGCGTTAACATTGTCGGTATTTTGCATAGAGTTGATTTACTGTTTTAAATTTGATGTACTTGAAAAGGGCTGCAATGACAGAAACGTTGTTGTATTTCAAATAATTATTTATAATAAATTTTGCCAGTCTGGTCGACTTTAAACATTGAGGAGTGGTTTTTTATTAATTATTACTGGCAACCTTAAGGATTATTATTTATGAAAAATTAAAATTATATGTGTATAATAATAGAAAGTCGGCGAATTAAAATTATATATTCATAATAGAAATTTGGCGAATTAAAATTATGTACATAATTGAACTCCGGTGAATTAAAATTATGTACACTTGCTGATTATGTTATTTACTATTTACGCGTGCAAAACTCCCGCGCGTAGTACTACATGAAATCGGCCGATTTTGACGTGACGTCACGAACGTCGCGAACTTCAGCCAG